CGTTAGGAAGAGGAGTGTACTTTAGAGTATATAGCTTGAGCCTGCGGCCCTTCACGCCATATACCCTTCGGGAGGTCGGCCGCAAGGGCGGTTGCGCCCTTGCCGCCTCGGCGTTAAATACAACAACAACAACAACAACACCAAGGGCGCCTCTGGCGCGCTTCGGGAAATAACACAATGGGCACATTTGCCTGATCTTGAAGGCAGATGTTCTAGAGTAATTGAGAAGATCCAGTAAATATTACTATTTCTCGTGTTTTGATTTGATGGCCAGGCCATGGTGATCTGCATACAAATTCCAGCGAAATCGACAGTTCAACGGCGGACTCATTCCTTTTCGGCAGATGATGATGCCAAATTCTTCTCTGAAAGCTGAAAGACTGAATCTTCTACTTCTTTGTAGGCATTGTCCCCAAAGGCAGGCAGCGCAGCGGATACCGGTTACCGGCCCACCCGGCCCCCTCAGGGACCGGTTCCGAGACGTCGTATGATCAGTGGGGGCACCGGGGCCGCTGTGAGACCCCTGATGTCCACTCCTCGGGATGTCGTGCAGGGAGCCCAAGTTCAATTTCACTGCAGCTAGGGTAAGCTAGGAAAATTTTGGGGGAAAACTGCAAATCCAACCTCTCCACCACAGCGCGCGTAACGGGTACACTCTTCGTCATGGAACCCATTCCAATTCTCAAATATCGAGACCGTCAATGTTGGGCCGGAGCCCGGCGACTCCCACTCGGTACGCGAAGCCAGCCTGCCCGGAGCTCTCCCCAGCCTCCTCCCCCAACCACACGAGGCCGACATCTTCCGGCGACCCGCCGTGTGATTCTGCAGCTTCCCGTGGTCAGCTCACTCTTCACAACTTTGTGTTCCTGCGGCTATGGTCTATCCTGGTTGGTTGGGCAGCATGTCTCTGGATGTTCCAGCTGTCAATCCGCAAATGGCCGTTCAGTCGGAATCGGCGCACAGCTTGCCCAAAACGTCTTTAGAGGAGTCAATTGGCAAATCATTGGGATAGCTTGAGAATGGTGGACGGGCCAGTATTGACGATTGCCAGGTAATGAAAAGTGCGAACACGGTACAGCGCAGATACCCGTGGGATGGGCAAATTTTCCCAGAGCCATTTTTTCCAATCCTTTTTCTCTCCGTCTTGAATTGGTTTTGTATGAGCCCTGCTCGAAAGCATATTGACTTGGAACATCTCTGAAAGCTTCGGGGGTCTGAATCTCCCGTTGTTGTACTACCTGGTGACTTGGTCTGGCCACGCATCTCGATAAATTGCTTTGCCAGTTTCACTGCAGCAAAGGCACATTGTAATGCATTTCAGATTGTAATCGATGATGAAGAAAGCAGCAGGAACACCAAAATTCGGTCAACGGATTTTAGTACGCCCGTGACATGGAGCTTCTTTGCCCATGAGCACTGCCGTAGCTTGGGGTCCTTGCGGACATAGCCGCCGTCGCGGCGTGTCAGTTACCCCACGATCTCCGACACCCCGGTCTAAAACGGGGCCAGCTCCGAACCCCACCATCGGAATGCCACTGTCGATCGCCGGCCCCGCATCCGAAGACGTTGGTGTGAGATCTTGGCGGAGAACAGCCCAGCACATAGCGTCGTCTGGGGAAACTGTATTTGGAGGGAAAGAGAATATCTATGAGGAGCAGAACTCATTTGCAAACTGATAAGGGCAACATACACAGTCGATTCTAAAGCCTTGAATATTCCTCAAGTCTCCCCTAACTATTTCACAATAAGTCCCACAACATGGACTACCAAGGCAAAATTATAATCGTCACAGGGGCCGCCCATGGACTTGGCCGAGCCGTCGCTGTAAAATTCGCCACAGCCGGCGCCAAAGTCGTCCTGGCAGATATCCAGCAAGAGCCTCAGCTGGCCACAGTCGAAGCGCTGAGGCAAGCTGGACTCAAAGCTTGGGCCTTTCAATGCGATGTAGGAAGCGATGAGAGCGTCGCAGCCTTCGCAGCTGCTGTTCATAAAGACATTGGTGTTCCCGACATCATTTACAACAATGCTGTCTTGATCCGATCCGGAGGCATCATTGATCTCGATATGGCTAGCCTCCAGCAACAGGTCAACGTCAACGTCTTCGGATACATCCGCATGGTTCAAGCCTTTCTCCCAGGCATGACTGCTCGTGGAAGTGGATGGATCGTCAACACCGCCTCACCCAATGGTAACGTGCCCATACCACTCGTGGCAAGCAACCTCTTTTCCTACTGCTTGTGCAAGGCAGCCGATATTTCAATGAGTCAATGCATGGCCGTCTCTCTGAAGCCACTGGGTATTGGTGTGAGCGTTGTTTTCCCGGATATCACATACACGGAGACAGTAGACTCTTTGTCTGGTACCTCCTCCGATGAATTCCATCAAACCTTCACATCCTTCCTGAAACAACAGGGAAAGGACGTCGACGTCGTCGGCAAGAAAATTGTGGAAACGCTCCGGGCCGGTCAGTTCTTTGTCAATGTCTGTCCAAGATATGAGGAGGCATTGATCGAGCTAGCGAAGGGCAAGATGGATCCAACGGTGGATTTCTTTGCCGTGGTAAATGAGAAGTCGAAAACCGGGTGATCATCACTAGCTAGATGTTGTATTGACCCAGGAAATTGAGGTTAAGGGCATAATCAAGAGTAAGAGTGGCAGTGTCTTTTGTTTTGTTCTTTGGCCATCCTAACCACGTTGTGACTTAATGCAGGTTGTTTAATCAATGAAACAAACACAATAAGACCAGTTGACGCAGTGAGTAGCCTGGCGATTGTTAAAAGACATACAGCATAAAGTCAAATTATTTCTAGATCAACTAAGAAATCCGGAAAACCCTCGGAATTTGAATCAATCTGTTTGTAACCTGGAAAATAATTGACGTATCTACTAGATTCATAACTAACGTTAAATCCAGCTTCAATTACAGATGAGCGCTCGACTTCGCAACGAAAGTCTTGTCAAAGTCCAAGCCGAGATCCTCCATGACCCTCTTCGCAACTGGGCGGCCTCCGCCCCAAACACCACCACCGGGATGCATGAATGGTCCAGCGAGATACAATCCCTTCACACCTGGCACTCTATACTGAGCCAAAGCAGGGGTCGGGCGGCTCAATCCCATCTGGTCCGCAGCCATGGAAAGTCCGCAGATATCGCCACGCTGGAAGCTTGGGCTGTCGGACTGATGGTCCGGAGGAGCGACCGCGTGGTAAGAGCGGACGATGTCCGGTGTGAAGTTATCGAGGTACTTGGAGAAGTATGCAAACACTTTCTGCACCCAATCATCGCGACGGCGATCCCAGCCCTCCCAGCCGCCGTCTGCGGGCTCGGCCTTGCACATGACCACGCAGTGAAGCAGCGACTTGCCAGGTGGGCAACGCGTAGGGTCAGCCGAGCTCACACAAGAAGCACCTATCATAATCTTCTCTGGAAGAAGGCCGAGAGCCATGTCGTCGTAGCTCTTGAGTAAGTCCTTGAGAGTCCCCGGGCAGCAGGTGTTCATGACACTTCTGTCGGCGAGTGGGCCGGCTTTGAACTTCAGCGGACGCTCAAGAGCTGCGTGGATGACGAATAGGGTAAATTCAGAGACACGTGTTTGCAAGGCGGCCGCCGTTACAGACTCATCCAAGCCGTCTACAAGTTGATCCAACTTGTGGGGATGAATCTGGCCGACGACAGCTTCTCTCGCCCGCAACTCTCCGAAACGGGTTCTGACCCCCACCGCACGGCCATTCTCGGTGATGACTTTGATGACTTCGGTATCCAACTTGATGTCTCCGCCGTGGTCCTTGATGCAGCGAATGACCGACTCGGTGAAAGCCGTCCCAGAACCCTCAGGTACGGCAAGTCCGTACCTGTCGACAAGGCCAAATGCAAGGTATACCATGAGACCAGTACCCTTGGTCGTGGGGTGAGCCAGCTGAATTTCGGTTACAAAGCGCAAGAGAGCCACTTGGAGAATTTCGTTCTTGAAGTAACGCTGAATGATATCCAAGGACGAGCTAGCCCCGACAGTGGCGATCTCCTCCGCAAAGCCACTGCTAGCACTTTCTGCCGACGTGTCGCGGGGCGGCTCGAACATGGATGGCATCAGCAGATCAGTGATCTTTCGGGATGTGTCGACGAATTTCTCGTATGCGTCCGCGTCCTCGGGAGCGGCCTCTCGAATGGCTTCAACGGTGCGGTGTCGCTCGCGGTAGATGGGAAGGACTCTGTCCTCCATGACGATGGCGTAGCAGGGATCGAGTTGAAGGTACTTGAGGCCATACTTAGCCTGGAGGCCAAGTTCGTCGTTGGCGATAAGAGGATTGGCAAGAATCATCTGGTGGATGGCGCTGTGACGTTCGCTAATGAAGCCTTCCTCTGCCATTTGGAGGCCAGCTACACCGCCACCGGCGTAGGATGCTCGCTCGAGCACGAGGACCTTCTTCCCGGCAGCTGCTAGGTATGCAGCAGTGGTAAGGCCATTGTGCCCAGAGCCGACAACAATGATGTCCCAGTCCTTGGACTCGGGCTCAAGCGTAAGCCTTCCTAGCTTCGAGAAATCGGCAGTCATTTTGAAGTGATGGCAAACCTAAAGAGGCAGGATGATGCGAAAAATTGAAGTTCGCTGATGTGCTGATAACAGAGAAAGACGAATATGAGATTGTAGAGGGCACTTGAACGACAAAGGCTTACAAGATGACACTTATATGAGTACAACGCTTCCGTGGCCTTTCTGTTGGAGACTTTCGGTGAACTTCATGGAGATCTGCTTGCCGCACTTCTACAGCCCGATTCTCCGGCGGGTAATTACTCAACGAAGGCCTCGTATCACGACGGATCTCTATGAAAGCCCCACTATCCCCCGCAATTGATGTAACCGGTGGAGGTCAACGTGTTCAGCAAGTCCGACCCGTAAATGCATACTGTCAGTGGCACTTTCGACAACGGCATCGGGCATTAAGCTTAGACCGGGCTGGTCTTACACTAGGAAGACGGGCCGCGTTGCAGGCTCCTCTAGGAACCCCACAACTCCGACGCGAACCTTGTCTCGAGAGTGGGGTTCTGTCATTGAAGATCCCCCACACGTTCCGAAGCTGTCTCCTTTTAAACTCTGACTTGCCCATATTACCCCACAACCTCCGACGGCCATCCTCCCTCTCCGATTCACATCCTTTGGACATGATAACGATTGCTGCCGAAACCAACGGTTTTGGTGCGTCTTTAGTTCATCCAAGGCCAAATCCCACAAGTCCGACTGTGGGGATGAGCGAGGATGTTGGTCAAGTGCGATGTCTGCAACGCCGAGTTCCGTCGGTCAGAACACCTGAACCGTCACCTTCTCCGACACCTCGGAGTTCGCCCATTCTCTTGTTCTGTCTGCGGGGCGAGCTTTTCGCGAAGGTTGGTCTCGCTTTCCTATGTTGAGGCTTTTTGCTGGAAGCCAGATGCCCGTCTCCCTCTTTCCTGCTCCCCCTGTCCCCAACTCAACTTGCTCAGGGGTTCAAGGCTGATGATGCTCTTCTCTCAGAGACTCTCTCCAACGCCATACACAGAGTCATGTGGATTCTCCGTCATCAAGATCCGACAGTGTTGCCCCTGGAAGATCTCGAAGGACATGTGTGTCCCGAGCTTGTCGTGATTGTGCGCGATCCAAACAAAGATGTGACGGGCTGATGCCATGTGAGAGGTGTCAAAACAAGGGCCGCGCCTGCGTCTACACAGGTGAAAGCCGACGAAGTGCTAGCTTCTCGAGTGGAACAACAGTCCAAGGTACCGATCTACCGCATGATAACGATGGCTTGACAGCCTTTGGACAATCTCGCGTTCCACCATGCGATCAAATCGAGGCTCATGAGGTCCGTATCGTGACGCTAGAAGTATCACGTGGATTGAAACTCATTCATCGTCACAGGCATCACCTCTGCCAGCTCCGGGCATCGGAACTAGTGACCAGCCAGTACAATCGATCAATACGCAGCTACGCCCTGATTGGCCAGAGGCCATGGCACTCGATAGGTTGGACATTCCCACTTGGTCACCCACAAGATGGTGTTTCCCATTCTCAGACGCCCACGCTTGGATAGGAGTTGAGCCATGGCAGAGCATGGCAGCTGACCATGTTCTGCTGGATGACTTCGTCTGTCCTAGTCTATCATATTCAACAGGCGACGGCACCGAGCTTCCCGCAATACCGGAAGTATCTACCACTGCGTCGGAACAATCGCCCGCCGACGTAGAGACTGCACGTGAGAAAGAAGGTGCCAGTCAAACGCTTTCCGAGCCAACGCCAATCCGGGAAGCCCAAAGACCCAATTACACCAACCACACCGAGCTGTCTGCCACATTTGCGGAAGTTCTTGGTAGTCCGTCTGCTTTAGCACGGGACTATTCCAATCCAAACAGCAGCACACATGGCCAACAGCCCAAAACAAATGACTTCGTAACAACCGGATTAGAAAATCTCTCTCGAATAGCAGGTCTGTCTGCGAACAAAGCCAGTAGACCGGAAGAGGATTGGCACCTGGAAGATTACGACCATGTTCCCACACTGCTTGAAAGAGTCTACGAAACAATTGAGCGCAATTTTGAGATGCTCAACACGGATAGTGGACTTTGCAGGAAGTTCACAGACAAGCAGCTACCACCGATAACAACCATGAACGCATTCATCCAATCGTACTTCGAACACTACAGCCATGTCTTTCCAATGATTCACCAGCCAACCTTCGATACCGCAGATGTTCATTGGGTTCTTATTCTTGCAATTGCCGCCATAGGATGCGGTTTCTCGCAACTAGGAAACACCTGTACAACATTTATCTTGCAAGAATTTCTCCGCCGGTCGGTCAACCTATGTGTAAGTCGCGTTGTTATTAGGTTACCAGGTCTATCTCTATCAAGAACTCTATATTGATAGGTTAATCCGGTCAGATTGAGCTTGAACCAAACCCGACCCCGGATTCGGAACTTCATATTACTCAATCTGCGTTACTCAGTCAAGTCGGCTTGATGTTCTCTGGCAACATGTCTTTTGCGGAGCATGCGCAAAGGAACATGTCTCTTGTACCGACCCTTTGCAAGAGAGCTAATTATTTCGTCGAACATCATCCAAATAACGTTACATCTGGGGGTGTTGAGAGCTGGAAATGGTGGATTCGAGCAGAGAGCAGAAAGCGCCTTGTTCATCTTGCATGGGTAAGCACATTACCCAATCTTTTCATGAAGCACCGGGGCTTACCGAACTCACCGACTGAATCAGGTTTTGGATTGTCAACTTGTCTCCTTTTTCGATCTCGCCCAAACAATACCGTTAGACATGTTGCAGCTACCCATGCCGTCCCATGATGAGCTATGGACAGCCACCACGACTGATCAGTGGTCTATACTCTACGCAGAGTATGGTAAGGCCGCGTCCAAAAGCAAACTATCCATTTGCACTCTTGTTGCTAATTTATACACGGACAGTCTCCGAGAAATCCAGGTCACTTCGACATGAACTGGACATTCTTTACCAACAGAAAGAAACAACTATAGGGATCACGAATCTCAACCTATTACTTCTCACCCTCGGTGTATACCGCGATGCACCTAACCAACAAGCCGCAATCCAACATCTCGATATTCTTCAGTCAGCTGAAGGCATCGGGTCACCTTCTGATACCTTCACATCACTTATAAACCAACACTACCATGCTCTCAGCCTCTTATCACATTTTCCCCTGAGGCAGCTCAATTCATTCTCTGGCTGGCGAATAAGCCCGACCATAAGGCAAACAGTGGACCACAAGTTATCTATCTGGTTAGAAGAGAATGAGGGTAAAGCCAGAATTGTCGTGTATCATGCCGCCAAGCTACTTGGCTGGCTCCGAAATCATCCGACCAACAGCCATCATGAGCCCATGGCTCTTCTGACCGGAACACTTGCGCTGTGGATGTTCACAGCTCTAGGCAAGCATAACAAGCCCGACTTGTCGTCCCAATCTCTACTGCAGTCTAGCTCCGCATCAGATGAGACTCCGAGGTTTGTAACTCTCAGACTCGACAAAGAGATCGAAGAAGAGATGCTCGTGAAATGGACGTCAGGAGATCGAGGTATGAGGCCATATATGGGGGGTGTTGGATCTCTGATCGAGCAAGGTGCCTCGAGGCGACTGGTCCAAGAAAGCCAACGAATTTTCTCATCGCAGACAGGGTGGTCTTTGAGCATTGCTATAGGTATGGTGGTACGGGCACAGTATAAGAACAATAGACGGGGAACATAGGCGTCGTTTTGAAGACGCGATGTAAACTACACCGACTATACGAGATGCTAAGCTGAATCTGTCCGCTCGAAAAAGCCGTAGAAGGCGCCACCCTTTAGTCACTTTCTCCTTTCTCAACCACGCGGTTTTCTTTTCCAACGATTCCGAACGACTTCTCCGCCGCCAAAGAGACAGGAAGATCGGAAAACAGCGTGCTGTTTTTGCTTTCGTCATTGATAAAGGCGACGGCCGCTTCGCGGGTTGGGAACCAATACTGCTCCATCAGCTCAGTAGATGACCAATCTGTTTCGGCAAAGGGGGTGCCTTTGAAGAACGTGACGAGGTCGGAAGGCGTTACGGGACGATTAGCCACGTATTTCAACAAGCCGCCTCCAGCCCCAATCTTCTTGATCTTCGCAACGCGGCTTGCCAAGCTTTCTTCACTCAGCGCTTGAACGCCATTCCTAGCGAGGAAGAACTGCAAGATTGTAGCCGTGCTTCCTCGCTTCTCAAACCCAACCGGATCGAACGTGATCTCTTCGACAGCTTTGCTGAGAACTCCAACCTGGGATGCCTCATCGGCGAATTTGTGACTGCCTGCGGATTCCTTATACTCCGGGGCTTGGAAAGACTGGTACAGGTCATCGAGAGATGTCCATTCCAGTGTGGAAGCCATGTCCCAAGGAGGGTGGCCGCCATTGGGCAGCTTGTCGATAGGCTCGTGCGGAATGGCGATCACCTGAGTGTACTTCCGAAGAATGGGGACGGCGGCCGCGATTTGGGTCGTCATCGCCGCGTGTACGCCCACGTATTCCTCCAGAAACTTGGAATCTTCCCAGCCTGGGATCTTGCGGCCTGCGATGGTCATTTTGATCAAGCTATTTTGCTTGCTGGTCGAGCTGGGGTTTGCCATTTTCGAAGTTTGGTGTTAGATTATGTTGAGTGTGGAATAATGACTTCAACGCCGACTAATTGGCTTGCAAGATGGTAATAATACTCGATTTTAATTGACTTCGAAGGTAAGCTAGGTTTATAGTGCCGGTTCCTCTGTCAAGTAAGACGCCATGCACGGTCGATCTTCCGCAACTTGCCCACTCCCCCACGAGCGGCAGCCGGAAGCCCCGGGACGGGACGGGATCCGTGGGGTATGGGGTATGGGATGCGGGGCGTGGGGCCGATGCTGTTTTAGCTTCGGCACTGCACTCCGGCAAGTATGCGAGTAGGTGTCAATGTTCTCAAAGAAGGCAGCTGAATTATTGCTACGTAACTTCAACCTTGTCGCCATGACGGTTAGCGAGTGCTCAACCTTCGCAAGTCTTCCTCTGCATCGTTGACCTCTTGCCACTCGTAGTACCCGTAGCAATCCTCCTTTGAGGTGTCCTCGTCGAGGTCATGCCAAAAGCGAACTCTGTCCCCAAAGTACTTCTTCCCGATTCCAAAAACCTGGCGAATGTAAGGCTCAGCTGGAGTTGTAAGCCGCCCGCTGACCTTGGAGCTGAATCGAAGAAAATAGTTGCACCGTTTTGCGGCGTACGGCATGTGAGGTATTTCCCTGACCAGGAAGCTAATGTTGTAATTGGTACCAGAGTCTGAACCCGACTCTTTCAATATATCCAAGACCTTCCCTTCCGGACGGCGGCTGCCAGGGTCGAATGCATTCTCGTACTTTCGGATTATAGCGTTTCTGAAGCGTTCGTACTTCTCTATGTTGCGTTCGGTGGCTTCAAGTTGGGGATAAATATCGAATCCAAAGTCATAGCCCATGATTCTTGGTGTTGCAATTGCGCTTTTCGACTTCTCGGAGGGTTTGAATGATTTGGAACCAAGACTCGATGGGACCGGGGCGGTTTGGATATTTATCTTTCCAAACCTACATGTGGCCATCCACTTCGTTTTCCAGTAAAAGCATTCGTTTGTTGTGAGTGGTTACGCTGTAGGTTTTGGGGATGTATTTCTGAACTTTGATTTCAAAACTAGATGCTTCATTGGTGCAGGTGAAACTAAGAGGTACATTCCCCAACGACTTATTTGCTGACTTTCAATTTCATTCTAACATTGGACTAGGTTTATGAACATTCAAAGCATGTAGGGCACAGTTTGAGTCCCCCCTTCAGAGTTAGGCCTCCTGCATGGTTGTTACTCCCATCGCTAGATATCGTCGCATGTCATATGTGGTCTGCGGAAGACCGCCGCAACGTTCATACTTTTCACCACATAACATTCAGACCCAGACACCTTCTCCGTTTTTGTTCCAGAACATACGTCCACTTTTTCCTCCATCTAACCGGATCATTTGACCGTTTGTGGACGCTGACCATCCGTGACTTGCGAGAATAAGGCACTGTCTGGCAACATCTTCGACATCTACGGGTTCCTTCGAAGCCACCGTAGCTTCCGACTCAATCCACCTAATAGACCCTGTCTTATCGCGCGCGCATTCGTTGTGGAACATGGGAGTATCGACAGCCCCAGGGCAAATCGCATTCACTCTCGCATGAGGGTTGGTTCTCACGGCGTCGGGAGCTAGAGATAACATGAGCCCATACTGAACGGCTGACTTGCTTGCGGCATAGTCAGGATTGCCCGGCACACCCATGATACCCGCCTCCGAACCGATGATGATGAGGGAGAGGTTCTGCTTGACCTTCACACTGAGGCTCGTCTCAAGGACATCTGGAATATTGCTCAGCCACGTTTTCGCCGTTATAAACGTGCCGGTCACGTTCTGTGCATCGATAATCAGCCTTATGCCGCGATAGTGACAAGCGCTGGTAAACTCACAACATCGAGGGTCTTTCTGAATTGTTCAGCAGACATCTCCGTGATTGATTCATGATGTTTGACGAAACTCAGATCAAGCGCGGCAGCGCAGACACACATCGTGGGCCAATCCCCGAACCGTGAACAGACTGAATCCCAGGCGTCAGAAACTTGACTTCTCGTCTGTTGTGTCGCACTTCAACCATAAGAGATTCTGGTGTTTCCGTTTGAACTTCGTATCGTCGATGTCGAGTGCGCCGACATAACAGCCAGCACTCAAGAACGCCGCAACAATAACTTGGCCGATTTGACCTCCTGCCCCGGTCACCACAACAATAGTCCCTTCCAAGCCGAGTCCAAGATCCATTATAAAAGGTTGAGTTGGCTGAATACACTCAGATCGGATACTTTGTCAGTTGAAAAATAGAGAAGAAGGTAAAAGTGAGTTGTTGAGGTCATAGAGACACTATCAAGATAGGATCCAGCCTACAAGATGCGGGGATGTCACGTGTCGAGGACATGACCAACAGTCAGAAAAAGTGTCAAAACACCACCATCGCAAAAGTTACGTGAGAACAAGATTGAATGATGACTTGTGCTCTGATATGAAAGTTCCTCTGCACACATAAATACGATAAATCGATCAATGGATGGCGAAAATAGTGTACAAAACTCGTCGCTATTGATCTGCGACCGGTAAAAAATAGACCAAATTCCCATGCAGCGGACTATGTAATGTAGCAGTCGTCTTCAATGTAATTCACAATATCAATACACATGACGACGGTGCCAGACCGCGCCATTCTATCTTAGTATCTATGATAATATGCATGAAACACCAACAACCCCCCACCATGCACCTCCGACCAGCAGATCCTCTATTCCCTGGATGTTATCACCCGGGATGTGTGTTCAGATGCTACTCGGCCATGCAAGCAATCTCGCGCTCACCCATGCTCATGAGATCTCCCTATGCTTTTTTTTAATGTCGATCACTTACCAAAGGAACCGGCTCGATGGAAGCGGTTGATACAACCGCGGGACAGACGACGTCGGCAAAAGTCTAACGGGACGGCAACAGAAAGGGAGAACGAGAGTAAATCGGTCGTTTCGTTAATCATTAAATGGTCAAGACGATTGTACGAATCTAATCTGACCATTGTCCGCGATCGGACTGTTCATTAAAAACCCGCCTTAGCATTACTGTTCCCAAACCAATGAAAGATAGAAAGTGTGTGTGGATGTGTCGGAATCGGATCAACTGTGCATGGTTCTGTTCCTTACATGGTGCCGTTGACGGCGCCCTTGCGGGCGTTGGCGGCGTCGAAGAGGCCTTGGATATCCACCTGCCACTGCGCGAGGTCGGGGCGGAGGACGCGGCGGTCGTAGGTGACAAGGCCGTTGACTTCACCCTCGACGTCGCTGGTCTGGGTCCAGACGCCGCCGCTGCAGGCGAACATCTCGACCTGCTCGCGGAACTCCCGGAAGAGGACGCGCGCGCGGTAGTTGTATGCCTCGAGACTCTCGTTGATCTCGTACGTGCCGTTGATGGTGTCGATCGCCTGTTGGACGTTCCAGAGACTGCGCGCATTGTTAGCTTGGAATCCTGGGGCTTATTCAATAGGAGGACATACTGCTCAATGGAAACGTTGTGACCGATTCCACCGAACTCTCCCTGGAAACCGATGCGCGACTTATCGTATGGGGACGAAGCCAACGAGTAGAAAGGAGTTCCGCATTGAGGGTTGGCGTAGTGGTGGTTGTCCGAGAAGTCACCGAAGCCGTGGTCATACCAACCGCTGTTGGCGTTGATCAGTCTGGTGGGGTCAATGTCACGAACAATTTCGGTAAGCTTGTCCTCGGGGTGAGGAGCGTTCCTAAGCTGGCCCCAGCCCTCATTGTAGATGGTCTGCGGTAACATGTTAGTGAAGGGGAAGGTTTAGATGAAGCGACCGAACGCACCCAGGTGACAATGCTGGTGTAGCTCTTGTGCTCCTCAATCATAAGCTGCAGCTGGCGCTCAAACTCGGCTTGCTGCTCAGCGTTGGGCAGACGCGCAGAGTTGGCAGTCAAGCTCGGCATGTCCTGGATGACGAGCAAGCCGATCTCGTCGCAGGCGCGGTAGAACAGATCCGGCTCAATCTTGATCTACAGATTGTTAGCATTGGTCACCCAGGTCACTAAGTTTTGAGCTCTACTCACATGCTTGCGAACCATGTTCATGCCGAGGTTCTTCAACACCTTCAGGTCATAGACCATGGCCTCGTAGGTAGGGGGCGTGTGGAGTCCATCAGGCCAGTATCCCTGGTCGAGGGTACCGAACATGAAGATGAACTCGCCGTTCAAAAGGGGTCGCTTGATACCCTCGACGATACCAGTTGAAATTGTTCGGAATCCAGTGTAGCTGTGGACCACGTCGCTCTCGCCCAGCCTGACGGTCAGGTTGTACAAGTTGGGGGTCGATGGCGACCAGACCTTTGGCTGAGACACCTGGAAAGTGAACTCCTCGTCGGAACCTCCTGTTCCCTCTCCAATGGTGTTTCCATCCTTGTCCAGAACGGCAATCTGAACCTCAGAAGATGAGCTGGAAGAGCTGTGGACAGTAACAGTCACTGCGCGAGTGGTCAGCAATGTCGCATTTTGACTTGTGCTTTGGGTGTTACTCACCATTGCCATTGTGGTCGGCAGCGAGATCCAACTTCGTGATGTGGTTGACAGGCGCGCTCTCCAACCAGACAGTCTGCCAAATGCCGGAGCAGGCTCGGTAAAAGATATGCGACGGGGTTCTAGTCTGCTTGCCAATCGGAATAACGTAGCCATCCATGTCCGTCGGGTCATGGACGAACACCAACCTTCACACCATGTGTTAGCAATCAACTGGGCCACACAAAGAAGCCATTGGCACTCACAAGGTGTTTTCTTCGCCTTGGTTGATGTACTGCGTCGCATCAACCGTGTGGCGGAAGTATCCTCCACGGTGGAAGCCGGCCCTCTGGCCATTGATGAACACGGTCGCCTCGTAGTCAACGGCCTCGAAGTTGAGCAGGACAGACTGGTTGCCCCAGTTGTTGGGAACATTGAACTTTGTCGCAAACCACATGTGCGTGACGTCGAGCTCCTGGATACCGGAGATGGCGCTCTCAATGCATGAGGGGATCAACACCTCCCGGTCGAGAGTGCTGCCCGACGGCGGGTGGTTAACATCGGCGGCTCCGGCCGCGGCCTGGTAGGTCCAGATTCCGTTGAGGTTGAGCCACTTGTCGCGGCGAAGCTGTGGGCGCGGGTGATCCGGCCACGGGCTCGTTCCGACCTGGCTCGTCCAGTCCGTGTCTAGGGGCGGCGTCTGTAGCTTGTAGGGCTCCGCGGGCGTGTCAGACTGTGCGTTGATGGTGACTGAGAGGGTCAGCGCCGCCAACGCGGACGAGAGGATTGTCCGTGAGAGATGCATGTTGGCACGACCGAAGGATGAGGTCGCAGGTTGCTGCAGGTCTCGGTCCCAAAAAGCCGTTCGAGGAGGAGGAAGAGCACAGCTGGAGGAAGAAAGGTAAAAAAAGAACGAAAGCAAGATGCAGCAGCAGCAGTGAACAAGAGGGGTCCCAGCGTAAAGGGGGAAGCTCCTTCTATACCTGCGCGGAGAAATCCTAATATTTTTAACTTTTTCCCAATGTCGGGACGAGCGTTGACGTTCAACTGACTTATATTTGTTCCAGGGGAAGCCCGTTTTACAAAGGTGCGGCAGGTCGCATAGCCTCTGCACATCAAATTCCCCACACTCGACTTGGCCGGACATCTCGGCATTGAGTCAAGCTGGATTGGCGTCTGACTGTGAGAAACGAGGCAAACGTTTCCAAAGTTCCGTTCCTCCTCGTCCTTCCTCTGCTCCTCTGCCGGGGTCTGGTTGACTGTGGTGACGTGCCATGTAATGTTGCGTGCTCGACCGCCAGCCGATGCTGCATGCTGCGGGTTCCCCGCACAAGAGAAAATTGGCGGTCGCAATTGTTCACTTTCCCATGTCTTGGCCGCGGCCTTGGCCGTGGAGAAGGGAGGGGGAGGATGAGGAGGGCAAAAGGCGGCCTGCCTTAGTGCTACGACGCCGTGTTGGTCGCGCAGATTGGTGGATTGCATGTGAGTAACGGACATCTAAATAAGCACCAAGCACTCTTCCGCTTCTTCGTGCGATATCACTCGTTGCAACCAAGCAGCACGTGGAGTCGTTCGATGGACGCACAAGGGAGCTGCATGATGCGGTCATCTGGGAGAGAGGGGGTTGTGAATGGTAGGCCACCCGACCCAGGCCGATCTGTCTGTTCTACGAGAAGAAGCCCGTAAGCTTGGGATAGTCGGGCTGACATCTGGCTGCGACCTTGACGGAAAGGGGAATTGAGAGGCGGCAAGTGTTGACCGTCTTGAGTTCGCGGCTTCGTGCTGGGGCGGTCCCTTTTCCCATAACCTAAAAGGTTCCCGGTCAATATTAACAGGGCGCAGCCACAGACAGAAATATCTGGGCCTTAATTATGATGCGCTGTTGGGATGAAGGAATGATCGACAGGTCCTTTGGCTAGGGTGAACCGTAACGCTACACGCGCCCGGCTTTTTTGACAACGCCAACTGTCACCGCCGGATTGGAAAAGCAACATAGACTGTCAAGGTTCAAAGAATCTTTCCCCCATCCTTCCTCGCCTCCACTCCGCTTCCACGTAGGTCATCGGGTATCTCCACAGAGAACGGCAGTACTCCAGCCAAGAGTCTTGTCCCTCCTGGCCGTTCATGATGCGGGGAAGCGGCAGATTCACCGAGCCTACCCGACTGGCTCTTGTGTCTTTTCTCGTCGCGGGAGGGGCTGAACCTTGTTTTAATCCCCCGACCGTGCATGCGGGGATAGCTGCTCTAGATCGACGGGAATGCCTTATTTCCTTTTACCGGCAGGGCCAGAATGGCTTGGGCCTTTGCAACGGCCATTCACCTGATCATAATGCCTCCTAAGCGATCCAATAACCACATCCAGAGGAGAACGATCATCGCGATCCGGTGTACTTGTGGACTTCACGTGGATGCATGTCTCGTGGGATGTCTTGCCTGTATGTCTCGCTTTTCTTTCGTTCCTGGAATCGCCGACATGATTCCTGGCGGGAAGGGCGATGAAAGGACCGAGGTGCATGACTCTGGCAAACCTTCACAAATGAAATGCCTGCACTGGACAAGGTCATGGGCATGTTCAACTCCTCCCACTGCAACCTCAGATCCCCGCTCCATGCTGCTCCGAACCAGTTTGCTTGACATGTCATTATTGTCATTTTATAACTGCAGTGCAGGCGTAGTACGGACGAACGCGTGAGGTCGCAATTAAGTCCATAGATTGATGGCACTTCGAAATTGAAGTCAATTGTAGAAATAAACAGTTTGCACCAAATGATCAGTCAATGTCAAGACACATTGCGACATCTATTGCGAAAAAGGCTGCCAAGCCAAACGACTCTCATACTTTGAGTTGACCTATTTGTATCAGTGCGCGTGGATCTTTCAGCGACCGCCGCCACCATCGTCAAAATTCTTCCGAAAACCTAGCTGGCGAAGCCTTCGCATCTGTCAAGATCTTCGAGCACATACCAGCCTGTTTCCTCTCATTCAGGCAGGGCGAAGCGTAGCGCGGAACAAGTGGGATACTGCGGACCAAACACTGCAAGGGCCGCTACTTGGACGCAACTTCGTCTGTTGATGTAAGTTCGCGTCAGACTTGGGGCTGCAAACAAAATCTTGTTGCCTCCTGTTTGACTCGTTTCTCAGGAGGAACTCGGTTCAGCCAATGACGGGGCTCAATTACCTGTTGCTTGCTGAGTCTTCCTTCGAATATTCTTCCTCGGCGTTAGTTCGTCTGAAGATCGCCTCGAAACGGCTGTGTGAGGTGCATAAGTCTGTTCTAGCTGAAAGTTTCGGGTGCCTGCGACCGGAAACAATTGGCTGAGGACATGATTCGAGATGGAGGGCGGTCTGAAGACTGCATAGGGGTCACCTTGCGTGCTGGTGAAACGGGAACTCTGCTGAATTTCCACGTGAGACGACGTTGCTGCCCTCCGCAGTTTAGCTGCAGCGGCAGTGGCTAACGGACATCTCTGAACCTGACCCTATGCACTTTTCCGGCCCGATAGAGATGTGGAACCAGGTCGCTGATCCGATCTCTCTTGCGGCTGAGCGCGAAAACAGGGCTCCCAGTAACCTAATTAGCCCATTGGCTTCCATCCCCAGCCTGCATTGTTGAAGGCAACAAGGACATGGCCGCGGAGATGACATCTCGGAAGATTTTACATGACAGCGAGACTCTTCTCCGTCGATGATGCCATTTCGTTTGTCAGGGATTGCTAGACATCATCGCAACTCCTGCAGTGAGATTCAACGGTATTCGTTCCGTGAGAGTCAGAGAGATTCAGCGACCTCGGAATGAGTTCGTGCCCACATACACGCGACATCTTGGCCGTTTGAAAGACCCAATTGGAAATCAAAGTCTTTCGAGAATATCCGCAGCTAGTTGAACGAAACAGACTTTGCTTGAGTCGGTGCGTTCAGACGTTCACAGTTACTCCTGCGGCAATAGTGAGAAGATTCGCTGTCTCCCCAAACCCTAAAACGTGTTCAAGATGTTCGGTCAACTACCGGTAGTACTAAGTCTCAGCGGATGTGTCCAGTTGTTTCTGACTTGACGTCACTAGACGATTGATAATTGCTGAGCAAAAGAGCTTTAACTTTCTCTTCGACACCTAGGTTAGCTGAATAACAATGCTGCATCTTTTGAGATGCAACAGACTGGTGGGATAGCTGAGATGTGTCAAGCGAAAACATAAACCGCCCCCCAACGTGGTACTCAGACGAACTCTTTGTCATAATATTGCCTTTCAGCTGTATTCATCTCTTTCGTCAACTATCCCAATCATGCTTACTCTCAACTTCGCGTTGTTGTATGCTACAGTAACACGTTCTCTAATTGGACAGAAAGATCTTATCAATCAGGAAGCCCACTCTGGAGGAGGGGCATCCGGAGATTGCGGCTGGAATCGATCACCACAGAACCCACTCCGGACCGGGGCAAAAATAGAGTTGTCCCATTCGGAGCGGAGTTGACTGCCCGTTCTGGCAGCTCTGAGCCCCGAATCGCCCACCGGGCCAACATTACTTGGATGGCAATGTCGCAGTCTCATGCACCGCAACTGCGCAGATTCGGAGGATGTAACCAGCCAAGCTCTCAATACGAGGTCGGCTTCCGCAGGATGCTGTCAAAGGCCTCGGGCTCAATCCCATTGCGAACACTTTCAAGGGGTTCAAGTGCTTGTTGTGTTTAAATTTCGTAAGGCGCTTCCGGGCTGCCGATATGACCGAGATCTCGGATGACAGAGTCGACCAACCAGCTCAATGGAAGAGGACCCTTTTCTTGGCGCACATGGTAAACAACTTCCACAACCACACGATGCAGCCAAACAAGCTCAATGAAACTCCACATCATGGTCTCATTCAATACCACGCAGCTCACCACAGCCCACGGGTGCCGTGGGAGCCGAACTCGGCGGGAACCCGAGCTGCTGGATTAGGAAGGACTCAACGGATCAACTTCTCTTTTGGATTCAGTTGAAAGACGACATGGTAATATTGATCATGGATGGTGCAATACAATGTGATGCTCATGACTTCTTATAAGAACGCCGAAAACCGCCGTGATAGATACCGTCATGTTGGATTGGTAGCTGTCCAGCCACGGCCCGTCGAACCTTACCATGCGCGCCTCAACATTTTTCACGGCCCTCTGCCTTCTTGGCAGTGGTGTCGCCTCGCGTGTTGGCCGAAGAGAAAACTCCACGACAACGGACACGGTGATTCCCAACCGCTTCATCCTGCAACTGGCAGATGTCAGTGACGAACTCCATCAAGTTTGCGTGTGACATGATATACTCACCAACTTATAGGCTGCGGATGTTGCGACGGTAGCTGCAGCCATCAATGCGCGACCCGGCGCCCGAGTCGTCAAGGAGTTCAACAGCCCCGTTTTCAAGGCTGTCAGCATTGAGTCCAACACTGAAACCACCGACTCCCTCTCGAAGATCACCGACGTCGACTCAGTCTGGCCTTCTCGCATGATCAAGCTCGACCCCTCACCCAAAGGCTCGCTTGACAAGAGAGACGCTGCAGCAGTCCCGTTCCGCGAGATTCACAAGTCCACCGGCGTCTACAGATTACATGAGGCGGGTATCCTGGGCGAGGGCGCTAAGGTTGCTGTTGTCGACACTGGAATCTACTATGATCATCCCGCTGTAAGAATCCTTCATCCCATGTTTTGGGGCTGTGTGCTGACTTTCAAAGCTTGGTGGTGGGTTCGGTCCTGGATTCAAGGTTGAGGGTGGTCGCGATCTAGTTGGCGATGGATGTAGGTTACCCATGATAAGGTGAACAGGGAGATGGAACTGACGATAATCAGCCTGGCCGAATGAACCTAAGAACCCCGATGACGACATTGAAGATTTCCAGGGACATGGAACTCACGTCGCTGGCATTGTTGCTGGTGAAACAGAAGAGTACGACAGCCGATTAAACCGCGCGAGCCGCTTGCTAATATGGTTTCCAGGTTCAAGGGAGTTGCCCCCAAAGCCAAGATTTACGGTTACAAGGTCATGGGTGCTCGAGTAAGTAACCCATCTCGGATGATCCAGCAAATTGAAGCTCACGATTCTGCCAGGACTATACCGATGACGAGACTCTCATTGAAGCTTTCCTGGCCGCCTACGACGACGATGTAAGCAGTTCATCCCAATGCCTCCAACGACATCCTTCGCTAACCGGCCATGTAGGTTGATGTCATCACGGCCAGCATCGGCGGTCCTGATGGATGGCCTGACAGCGCCTGGCAACGGGTGTGCGACCGTATCGCAGCCACTGGAATCGTCATCACCATTGCAGCCGGCAACTCGGGTTGGGAGGGCGCTTACCACGGCAGCTCCGGTTCCTCAGCCAAGGGTGTTATCGCAGTTGCATCCACAGAAGCGTCCGTCATTGCGGGAAAACCCTTTAACGCGACCTTCACCGATGCTTCCGGTGTCTCCAAAACCTTCACTATTGGTTACATGGCCGACGAGGCCTTCCCCGAGACCCTCAACGTGCCGATCGTTCCTCTCACCTTGGACACTACATCCGAAATCGCGCGTGGATGCCAGTCATTCCCTGCCGGAACTCCCTCTTTCTCCAATAAGATTATCTTGCTCCGCGCAGGAGGTTGCCAGAACTTGGTGAAGCAGGCCAACGCGAGAGCCGTCGGTGCCCAGTACGTCCTCACCTACAACGACGAGTCCGTCATCGGGGTCCCCTTCAACTACGAGAGCGCGACCATCGGCACCGTATCTGGCGACGCAGGCCACGAGATCATCGAGGTCATCAAGAACGGCGGCAAGGTCACTGGCGACTTCTCCCTCGACCAGTCCAAGCCCATTGGCATTCTCAACCCGTACGGCAACCTCGCAAACGACTTCACTAGCATCGGCGCCCTCAACGATCTCTCCTTGAAGCCTGACATCGCCGGTCCCGGTGGCGACGTCTTCAGCTCCTATCTCTCTCCGCCGACATGGGCTATTCTCAGCGGTACATCGATGGCGACGCCGTATCTTGCTGGTGTAGCTGCCCTCTACATCGGCAAGTTCGGAGGCAAGAAGGTCCACGGCGCCAAGTTCAGCGAGCAGCTCATGATGCGCATCATCTCCAGCGGTGAGCCGGTGCAGTGGTCCAATGACATCAACGTCGTTGACGGCTTCACTGCCTCGGTAGCTCAAGTCGGCACTGGTCTCGTCAATGCTTCCAAAGTTTTGGATTACACTACCCAGCTCTCGCTCGAGCGCTTCGCCCTCAACGATACGGCCAACTTCATCGAGAGGCACACTGTCGAGATTACCAACAATGCCGCGCAGGCTGTTACGTACACCTTTGCCGTGGAAGAGGCCGGAGGATTCGATACCCTTGACGCTTCCGACCCGACCAAGATCGCCAAGTATCCCCTTACGCCCCAGAAGATGGTGCCGGAAGTCACTCTGCCTCAAGATGGATTCAGTGTTGGACCGGGTGAGACGAAAACCGCCGAGTTCATCTTCAAGGCTCCAGGTGAACTCAACGCTGCCCTGCTACCCACTTACAGCGGAAACATTGCCATCAAGAGCAGTGTCGGCGAACACCTTGCCGTCCCTTACCTTGGACTGGCCGCCGACCTCCAGAAGGAAATGCATGAGACTTTCGAAAAGGGCTCTCCTACAGGGACGAAGGGCCCTGATGGTAACACTGCACTGGATGCCACCAAGCCGGTCTCCTTCACGTTCGACCTCTCCACCGCAGCCCAAGACTTCCCCCGCATCGCGTATGAGATGCTGTGGGGCACCAAGACCCTTCGATGGGACATCTTTGAAGCTGGATGGGATGAGAGCCGCTGGGCGTCGTACCCACCCGTAGTCGGAGAGAACGGCTATGTTGGGACTGCAACGGGATACCGGGGCTCGCCGAGCCAGGCCAACTTCGACCCAGCAAGGGACGATAAGAACTGGACGGTTGCGTTCCCGTTGGTGAACATCTTTCGGACGTCCATCGAGACGGCAAGGCACCGTGTTTGGTGGCTTGGAGGGCTCGGGGATGGAACCGACATCAAACCTGGCAATTACACGATGCGTTTTGCCGCGCTTAACCCGCTCGGTGATCCGGCCAAGGCTGATCATTGGGATGTGTATGAAGTGAAGGAGATCACTGTGGTTTCTTCTCCACACTGGTGATCGTACGACCCAACTCCGCAATTTTGTGCTTTCTGGGACGTCGGATGTAGGGAGCACGCCGAAAGAGTCCGATAGGGTCCGAAGGGTTGCCCAACCTGTCGGTGCCGGCTCCCGGTGCCGGAGTCGGTGGAAGATGTGTTCAGTCTTTGCGACTTTCAACTTTCTTCTGTCCACCCATCCCGATACTTATTGTTAATTATCAATAATAATGTTGATGAACTATTAGCTAACGAAAATATACATGAGTCTGCATAGCTGATCTTCTGGTATTGATCTAGACGGCTGCCGACTGTAGAGTGACATTGCAAGATAAGCGCTTGCACCCTTGGCAGGGGACGTCGATAAGACATGCATCTCGTATTGATCATCATCACCAAGTGCTGGTCATACATGGCCTACCCCGCTGATTACAGATAATGAGCGCAAAATTGACCTGGGCCTCTCGTCTCCTCTCGCATTGAATTGAAACAATTGGAATTCCGGAACCGCGATCGAAAGGTGCACTCGGGTGACAGGAAGCGATGAAGCAGTATCGTGAGGATTACAGCGGCGGCGAGGTAGGCATCAATGGCTTCAATCAAGACTCCAGTCGACCGGTGGTCTACGACGACCTGGACCCTTTTGGGCACGAGGAGAATCACCAGGTAATATCCGCGAAAGATCTAACATCACCTTCCAGGAGTTATGCTAAACACGTTGCACAGATCAAGTACAAGACTCTATCATGGCATCTCGTCGCCGTCCTCATGATCGCCGAGATCGTGAGCAACGGCATGCTCTCCCTCCCCTCCTCCCTCGCCGTCGTCGGACTCGTTCCCGGCGTAGTCCTCATCGTCTTTCTCGGCGTCTTCGCGACCTACACCTCCTGGCTCCTCGTCCAGTTCAAACTCCGCCACCCGGAGATCCACTCCATGGGCGACGCCGGCCAGATCCTCTTCGGCCGACCGGGCCGCGAGCTCCTCGCCTTCGGCACCGTCGTCTTCGCCATCTTCGCGACCGGCGGCCAGCTTCTCGCCGGCCAGATCGCCCTCGCAACCCTCAGCGACAACAAGCTCTGCCTCATGCTCTACACGGGCATTTTCGCCATTCCGACCTTCATCTTCAGCTTCCCACGCACGATGGACCAGCTGTCGTGGCTGTGCATCCCTTCCGTCATCTCCATCCTCGTCGCCGGGGTCGTCGGCATGATCGGGGCCGGGCTGCACCCCGCGGCCGACCGGCAGGTCAGCGTCGCGGTCGCGTCGGACTTCTACACGGCCTTCATCGCCATCACGAACCCCGTGTTCGCGTACGCGGGGCACTTCATGTTCTTCATCCTCATGTCGGAGATGCGGCGCCCGCAGGACGCGATGAAGGCCGCGTACGTGCTGCAGGGCTTCGCGACGACCTTCTACGCCGTGTTCGCGGTGGTGTGCTACGTCTACCTCGGCGACGGGGTCGCGTCTCCGGCGTTCAGCAGCCTGGAGCCGAAGTGGGCGAAGGCGGCGTACGGCATCGCGATCCCGAACTTCCTGCTGGCCGGGTCGCTGTATGCGCACACCGCGGCCAAGTTGATTTTCGTGAGGATCTTCCGCAAGAGCCGCCACCTGCACAGTCATACGTGGGCGGGATGGGGAACATGGACGGTGCTGATTCTACTGTCGAACGCGGCGTCGTTTGTGCTGGCTGTGGGAGTGCCGATTTTCAATTACTTGATTGGCATCGCGGCAAGCTTGTTCGCGGCGTGGTACACGTATGGGATTGCGGGCGCGTTCTGGTTGCACGATAACTATCACGACTTTGACGGGTGGAGGCAGTGGGCACGGAAATGGTTCCAGACACTGGTGGCGGTGTTGACCTTTGCTGCGGGAGGGTTCATCTGCGTAGCGGGGACGTATGTGACGGTCAAGGGCATTGCGGAGGCATATTTATCTGGTGAAGTTGGCGAGCCACTCAGTTGTTAGATTGCAGCAGGATAACTCATGTGAGTGGTGTTGACATGATCTATCGGCGTCGGCCGGCAGCTCAGACAGTGCCCCTGAAGATGACGTCTTGGGCGCTGAAGACACATGTGGAAGCCATCTCAGCCAGCGTCGGGTGATCTGCAGAATGTTTGAGACTTTGAAAAAAAGAAATAGCCCAAAATAACTTCACGCCTCAATAACAAGAGTGGACTGTGGCTATGAGCAGAGCCATAGTTGATGATCTCTGCATTAGAACGAGTCTTCCACATTGAAGTCGGGGAACTCTCTCCGTTAACGCTCAACCATCTTCCGTCTATAAGACCTGGCAACGTTGCAATCTAAAACACTGTGCTTCTGCCCATGAAATGAGTGCAATGGACAGTTGGGACAAATTTGTTTACACTGCTGATACGACAGGGGTCCCTTGTGTGACGTCACGAACCGGCCTTGAAGCCGCTTTCGTTCCGTTTCCCGCTCCCACCAAGTTCATCCCTTTCCCACCGTTGGCCGTTTTCATGTGCCCCGGTCGCTGCGTTCCACCGTTGTTCAATTCTTGGTTCCCGTCGAACCAGCAGCTCTTCCATCCAACACGCGACACAGCACACACAGGCACAGCTCCTCCAGCCGTCCTCGGTCTAGCCCAGCCCGGGGATGGAACTCGTCCTGGAGCACACAACCTTACCTTCATGTTCCTCCGACTGCAGGAGATCTGCTACAATCCCCTGTGTTCTTACTGGCAAATTGCCAAATCAGAGACAGGTTCTGGCATCTCGATTGGGTCCAGTCTGTCTTCGTCTGACCGCGACACCGACAGACGGCTCAGCCTAGGGTCGCATTCGTGCAGCGACCGGGTCTCCAAGATGGCCTGCCGATGATGACGGGTGAAGTCATCGCCGCCAACCTCGCCCAAGTGGGCACCCAATCACCGCGGCGTGTCGACACCGTTCCTGGATGAATTCAGCAGCGACTGGCGTCTGCCCAGCCTCTACCAGGTTTCGCCCCGAGGCGCTTTGCCGGACCGGCCTGTCACGCTTGTTGTGCCACAAATCCCACCTCGCTTCGACTCGCTTGGAGGCGGCCTCTGCGATAAACGGGCGTGGTATTGTGGCGCTTTCTTCTTCTTTTCCTGTTGTTGCCGTGACGGCTTCCAGTTCGTCCACGACTGCCACGCTGCCTCCGCGGCCGCCACCTCGGTAGCGCCCAGTCCCGTGGCTATCACCCTTTCCACTGGATGGTCTCATTAACCATTTAAATCTGTAGTGCGACTCTGTGATGGAGGTACCAGCGTACCCTCTGCTCCATTTCCCGGGAGCAACCATCTCCCCGCGTTTTCGATATACTTGAATCTAGGGCAGGGCAAAAGTCGCCTCAGCCAAGTATCCAAGTATCCGTTCCTGGATCAGGTCGAATGACTTGGACACGCCGCCCTATTTTTTATCTTCATTTTTATTCTTAATGTAAAATCTCTTAACCTTCTTCCTCCTTCTTAATGCGTTTGTGATGCGCAGAGAGAGGTGACCATTACTCCCCTGTCACGCAAAGGGTCCAGAAGCCTTAAACCCGTCACATCTTTCTCATCAATCTGCCCCAACTCTACCCAAATCCACGTCTCACATACAGCTACCCTGCCGTAGGTGACCTCACAGGCTTCTTCCATCCCGCTCCAGACTGCGGGCGATGTGACAATCCCTACCACCCATCTGCAGGGTGGCGACATCATAGCAGCGGCGTCCAACCACTGTTCGCACGTCAGAGCCTCCCACCCAAACAGCCCGTTATCTCGTATCCCAACAGTCGCCACGCCCATTTTACCCCGTCCCCTTTCTCACGATGTCCTTTGTAAATCTCTCCCGTCCTCCTCTGGACCACCGCTCGCACAGCGCGCCACACACACGACCACGCTTCAACTCGCAAAACACCTCCGACCGCCTACGAGAAGGATCCGGCCTGCGCCCCCGACCGTTCGGAATGGTGAGCAACATCAAGAAAGACAGGAAGTCGATGTTTAAAGAGGTGGGGCTGGAGGATGACTTCAGCGATGAGGACATGCCGGGGACGCCGACGTCGCAGCATGCGCGCGACCGCAAGGAGTCAGTATCGAGTGAGAAGGAGTTTGGCGATGCTGGCGAACTAGTATCAGAACGCACCCGAAGTTCGAACGACGACAGCAACGGCGATGGAGACGGTGATGGTGACGGGGAATACGGACGCCGGGCCGAAACCGGGCGGCATGAGCAGTCCAGCAATCCTCAACGTCAGAATTCGATGCAGGTTGGGAAGCCGGCTTGGTACACCAAACTTCGGCGTCCGAAGATTAAATCAGTCTCAAGCGCGCCGCCGCCGACGGTCGCGAGTCTGCAACGATTCGCCATGATTGCATTGATCATTGCTGTCATTCTTCCGGCTTGTAGTTACAGCAACGGCGGCCAAAAGGTTGGAAGTGGAGCAGACGCCGGTGTCATTCGGCCGCGACAGACTACATCTACCGATGTTTGCTTGAGATGGAGTCAACAAGGTGGGCTCTTTGTCTACTACATTGGTCGGACGTAAGCTAACCAGGAGAAGTCGCGTTGCTCAATGGGACTTTATACATATTTGGAGGACAGGCCAAGACTGAGGCGACACAAACCACGAACACATGGAGTAGGTCGACTTACACGCGTTGCTGAGGCTATTTCTAAACCGTACCCCGCAGACAACAACTTCCTTACTCTAGATCTCACGAAATCCTGGGATCGGTCTTCACTATCGCTCACCGGGAAGCAAAAGCCTGATGGACCACCCGCGGTCGCAAATGGCTATCTGTGGAACGACTACAACTACCTCTATCTCTACGGCGGCCAGTTTGCCGATAACGACGGTGCGGAAGGTGTTTACGCGACCCCCGCTGCCATGTCGATCTGGCGGTACTCCGTCAAGGACAACTCATGGCTCGAATTCAGCGACCCGAAGACCTCGTCAGGAAACTACTCGACCGATGCCAATGTCGCTGTCCAGCGATCCTCCGAAGGAGCTGGGTTGTCTGTCCCCGAGCTCGGTCTTAGCTGGTACTTTGGCGGCCACCTCGACCAGTCCACAACTCCAGGGTGGTCGATTCACACACCCAGGGTTTATCTTAAGAGTCTGCTGGAGTTTACGCACCCAGGTTACATGAACACTGGGGTCAACTCCCTCCGTGGCGCGGGCGCTGCTGACGGCGGTGTCTTCCGCAACATTACCGAGGGCGGTCTCCAAGATTCTGAAGCTTTCCCCGAGAGAGCTGATGGCGCCCTTGTGTTTGTACCGGGCTGGGGTGTGAGGGGAGTCTTGATCGGCATGGCAGGCGGCTCAGCAGACACCTTTGTTGATGACTTGGGAACACTGGATGTGTACGACATCGCCACGTCGGAGTGGTATCATCAGAAGACGACGGGCGACAAGCCCTCGGTCAGGGTGAATCCCTGTGCTGTCGTCGCCAGCGCACCCGACGCGTCGAGCTTTCAGATCTACTTCTTCGGCGGCCAAAACCTTCAGCCATATGTAAGCTATCTAATCTCATTGCATATGGTGACGTCGCTAACCCCCTAACAGAAACAACAAACTCAGTACAACGACATGTACATCCTCACCATCCCCTCCTTCACCTGGATCAAAGTCGACGAAGGCGACGGCGTGCCATCACCCCGAGCAGGCCACACCTGCAGCATGCGCGATGGCCAAATGGTCGTCGTGGGCGGCTACATCGGCCAGAACGAAACGTGCGACAACTCCGGCGTATACGTCTTCAACGCCAGCAGCCTCCAATGGAGCGACAGCTTCAAGGCCGCAGACCACCCCGCCGACATTAGCCCGGACAACTCCGTCCTCGCCGGTTCGTGGGGCTACAAGGTCCCCGGCAAGGTGCAGAGCGTCATCGGCGGCAACTCCGACGGCGGTGCTACCGCCACAACCCCCGCCGCCGGCCCCGCAACAGGCGGCCCCTTCGCGACCGGCAAGCCCCCGGTCTTCACCATTACGCAGGACGGCGCAACAGCTACCATCACGGCGTTCGGCCCCACAAGCACCGGCGGCTCTGCCCCCGCCAAGGACGAAGACAACGGCCCGAACGCCGGCTTGGTCGCCGCGGGCGTCATCGCCGGCATCCTCGGCGCGCTGGCGCTGTATCTGGGCTTCTGCGCCTGGCTGTACCGCCGCCAGGTCGCGGCCTACAAGCAGCATCTCTCGCAGGTGAACCGGTACTCAGGCGCGAGCTCGATGCACTTTGGCGGCGCGCTGCTGGCGGCGGGAGCAGCTGAGCGCCAGGAGAAGCGTGGCCACCGCAGGGATGCGAGCACAGCCAGCAACGAGTCATTCTCGTGGGTGGGAGCGGGTGTGGAGCCGAAGTGGATGGTGGACGAGCCGACGCCAGGGTCTGGATCCGGATCCGGGGGCACAGGGGGCACGGCGTTTGGCAGCGGGAGCGGCGGCAGTAACCCCAGGAGGCCGAGCGAGGATGTGCGCAGCGGGAGGGACCCTCGGACGAGCTCGAGCAGGCATGCGAATACGGATAATGAGAGCGTCACGAGTGCGGATGGGCTGCTTGACGGGCAGGAGCCGAGTTTCTTCTCGGTTGTGATGGGTCCGAGGCGGGCGCTGAGGGTGGTTAATGGGGTGGAGTAATGGGATTGGGAAAAGTACACGATGTGAAAGCGATACGACTGCATGAGAACACGATATGGAGTTTCTGTATATACTATGCACATGTCCGAGGCGGAGTGTGCTCCTTGCAATCGCTACATACCCTTCCGCTATGTACATGAATGATATTTACACTCTTCAGACGACATTGATAGGTTAGTTCAAATGCAACATGTGTGGTATGATATGATATTGTCCCTAGTACCGGATAACAAAGTCCTTCGGATCGGAAAGCTGCGCAGCGTTACTCGCCTCGAACGGATACTTCCTCTCCAGCTGTTTGATCAACTCGACATGTTTCTCGCTACGAGGCGTAACCTTGAACTTGAAATCCGTTCCGTACATAAGCACGCCGGGCTTCGGCTGCACATCCACCTCGACCTCTTTGCCGTCCTCACCAACAGCCCAGCTGAAGTTGAACGCCGCAATCGTCTGCGCAATGTTGAGATACAGACTGTTGTCAGCAAAGACCTTTCCGACGCAAATCCTGCGCCCGTAACCGAACGCTTCGATGTGAGAATCGGGCTCATTGCGAGGCGGAAGGAAGCGGTCGGGGTCGAACGTGTCAGGATCAGCGTGCACCTCGGGATCGTGTAAGAACCAGTAAACTGAAGGCAAGATCATGGCGCCCTTTGGGATATGATATCCCTCATATTCGAAATCCTCGGTTGCGGTGTGAGGGAAGCCCATGGGCGTGAGCGGCCACCACCGCAAGGCCTCCTTCACCAAAGCGTCGACGTATGGTAGCTTCTCGCGGTCCTCGAAGCCCGGCAGGCGACCCGTCCCGATGACCCGGTCAATCTCCTCTTGCGCTTTGCGCTGGACGTCGGGGAATTTGAGCATGGCCAGGGCAAAGCTGGTCAGCACAATCACCGTCGTGTCCGTAGAGGCACCGTAGAGACTGCAAGCTGCCCACAACACAGCGTCCTCGTCTTCGGCACTCAACTTTCCGTCGTCGCCGACTCCCAGTTGCTGCACAGTCTTGGACACGAAACAAGTTGGCGAGGTGAAGTTGGCCATCTGATTCTTGACGAACTCGAGTGGGATGTAGGCTGACGACTGGATCGACTTGCGCCACTGCTTTGCCTGCTTCTGGAAGGTCGCACCGGGGAAGTTTTCAGGAAGATGGCGGAGGGCAGGGAATATGTCGACGGCCCAGGCCATGGGACTGGCTGCGATTGCAAATTCCGTCAGGGCCTTTTCAATCATGTCGACCAAGGCATCTGGCTTGTGAGGCTCGATGGTGTATCCGTATGTCACCTTCAACGATGTGGCTGCGGCAGCCCTTTTTCAATTGCTGTCAGCAAGTACATGCAAGATAGGATTGTAGTATTGACTCACTTTTTAAAGTGACGCAGCAAGTCGCCAGGCTCCCTCAACGAACGCACAAGCTGCCGGCCCACCTCAGCCACTTGTACATCGAGAAATTGCGCCGCAGAAGCCTTGGTCCCCAACTCTTGATGAACGAACTTGCGGCGACGGAGGTAGTCGGGAGTGTAGCCCTGGCAGAGGAGGACGTTCTCGTAGCCGCACAACTTGCCCGCCATTTCCATCGTGGGTCGTCCAGATGTTTTGACTGCATCCTGGTCAAGCAAGTCGTGCGCCATCTGCCTGTCGTTGACAATGACGAGCGTCATTCCCATGACTGTCACGGAACTAATTGGCCCATATAAATCCTTGTGCTTGATCCAGTGGAGGTGCTCCGGGACGCCATTGGGCGGGAAGTCTCTGATGTTTCCGAGTAGCGGGAGTGGCTTGGGGCCGGGCGGAAGCTTGCCTCGGGGTTTGTTTGAATGATGGTAGACGGTGTACGCCACCAAGCCGAGGATGGCCAAGATTGGCCAGGTTATGACAGCCATGATGTGGTCGTCAGCACTTTCGCTGACAGGCGCGCAAGTCTCGCCGCTCTAGCGTAGTCAATTAGTACAGGTAAGCACGAATGAGATCGCGATCATTGGAAATTGTGACCATGTGGCCTTCCAGCGAGAAGAGGGGAAACTAACGACATGTTTGCGTCCCCCGGTTCCGCACGTGATGTTATCTCATGCAGGAAGGCGGCACAGTTACACAGGAGTCGATTCGTCTTGGCGTGATCACTTATCAGTTGCTTTGGAAGTCGTTGGAGATCGCGAAGGCCGGGGTTCGACGTCGTCACCGGACGTTATGGACTCGAATTGACGTGCCGAACGCCCGGAGCGAGACCTGGGCTGACCGGCGACCACCCCGAGACCGGTCGGCCCCACCTTTCCGGACGCTGACATCGGCAGGCCTCGGTCTGGGAAGGATCGAAGTAAAGGAGGGGCAAATGAGAAGCCCACTATGAGTAGGCAAAGCTTTCCGATGAACAGATGGAAGAACCTTTGGCCCGTCTCATCCCGAACCTTTGCGATGATCAAGCGCATAAGGTGGTCGCTTGAACTTGCCAATGTTGGGACGAACTTATCAATAGTTTCACGGTCTCATAGCAACACCCGAGTCTGCAAAATGTCACCAAGTCCGGCGCAAGATCGCCTCGTTCTCGGCTGGCATAAGGCGTGAAACCCATGTCGAGGTTGCTGAGCTGTATCTAGCCGCGAGAAACTTTGGCGCCTCGCAAGAAATGCACCTTCGCGTGGCACCCGAGACAAAAGCAACGGCTATTCGCCGGAAATGACGGTGCCCCAAGACACCCGTCTCACGGGAAGCCAATGACAACTTGAACATGTCGTGAAAGCATGCCGCTCAAGACCTCTTAAGTAAAAGCTTGAGGCATATCGGTGAATCAATCTCGTATCTGTCGTTGAGGATGCCAACTCTTGCTCCCGTGTCTCATTTCTTTCCCCGATGTCTCTTGCGATGGAGCACAAGTGGTCGAGGAACGATCTCAGCTCGCGTCCAAACTTTTTTAGACCAAGACACGGCGGCGATCATAGCTCATTAAGCTTGTTTATAATGACAAACTCCACAAGGGGATTAGTCTGAAAGTTTGCGGTAGAACCGAGACCTTACCCAGTAGCTAGCGGCATTTTTACAGGGAAATCATCATCTGATCTTTCAGGATTTTCTCCCCAAAGCTTTTTGGATTTTAATCAACTCTACTGAATTTCCCTTTCGTAAGAAGTGCGAACATTTCAACGGCTGACCGCTGCTACGCTGCGGCTCCCGCCGAGGACCCAAGATCCCCGCCCCTCCCGCTCTTGACTCGTGCCACCCGCTCCCGCCAGCGCGCTATCACGAATTCGCGATTGTGTCGCATGTCCCTCTGATATCTTTTGGGGGGAGGGTTACATAGACTCGGCGATCACGCAATGACGATTCCCCGGGATACTGACTCAGCCTGCAATGCAGTATCGCCCGCATCAACTCGAACAGCCGCCCAAGGCGTGAAAGGCGTGCTCGCCGGTAATTCCGCAGGACCCAAGACGACCAAACTTAAAAAAAGAATATCACACCCATCCCCCTGGTTGAAGGCAGATCGATGCCACATTCAAGGACACCCACCTGAAGAGACCGACCTACCTCTTTCAGCGATGCTGTCGACTCTCGATTGGCACCGTCACTAGATCCTTTACTTTACCTGACGCTAATGCCACGGCCCGATTTCCCCACAGGACGGGCATGCCGTGGCGCTGTCACCCAGATCTACGGCTGCTTAGGCTCATTTCAGATGTCTCGCGGTATCACACCATCAAGATGCCGTGGCACGCACTTTTGAGATGTCCGGGAAACCAACCGCTTTTTTGTTTCGATAAATAGCATGGAATGCCCTTGGGTTGAGAAGAAAGAAACTCGTAGCTCAGCAGCTTCTCCTGACACCAGCTCAGCTCTCTAATACCCAACTCACCGTCTACACTCTTTTACTAGACCATCACAGCACTGTCGCTATCATGAAGTTCACTCTTTCATCCATCATCCTCTCGGCCCTGAGCCTGGCTTCCGCCGCGCCCATCGCCAACTCCTCCACACTCTACGATGCCGTCATCGTCGGCGGCGGCCCTTCAGGCCTTGCCGCCCTGAGTGCTCTCGGCCGTGTCAGGAGAAATGTTCTCCTCATCGACTCTGCTGAGTACCGTAACGCGCCCACGAGGCACATGCACGATGTCCTCGGATTCGATGGTAAGGATATCCTTGTGAAACATTTTTGCCCGCGCATCTGCTAATCTGCCCCAACAGGCGTCACCCCCGCATGGTACCGCTACGCCGCCCGCAAGCAGATCGAGGCCTACGAGACCGTCTCCGCCATCAACGGCACCGTCACCAAGATCGGCGGCAGCGACGCCGACAACTTCGAGGTCTCCTACACCTGCGCCGAGAACAGCACCCAGACCGTCAAGGCGCGCAAGATCGTCCTCGGCACCGGCCTCCAGGACATCCTCCCCTCCACGCCCGGCATTGAGGAGATCTGGGGCAAGGGCCTGTACTGGTGCCCCTGGTGCGACGGCCACGAGCACGCCGACCAGTCCATGGGCCTGCTCGGCGACCTCACCGACGTGCCCTCCCTCGTGCGCGAGATCCTCACCCTGAACACCGACCTTGTCGCCCTCGTCAACGGCACCGACACCCCCGAGAACCGCAACGCCACCGAGGCCAAGAACCCCAAGTTCCAGGAGTTCCTCGACCTGCACAACGTCACCGTCGAGAACCGCACCATTGCCAAGGTCACCCGCCTCCAGGACGGCGGCGCGCACCCCGCCGACCCCTCCCTCGCGACCGCCCCCGAGCACGACCTCTTCCGCGTCGACTTCACCGAGGGCGAGCCGCTCGAGCGCTCCGTCTTCTTCGCCAGCTTCCCCGACGAGCAGCGCAGCTCCATCGGAGCGGATGCCGGCGTCACCCTCTGGGGCGGCAGGCTCGCTGTTGACGTCGCCAAGGGATACGCGACCAACGTCAACGGCATCTACGCTATTGGCGACGCCAACTCGGACAACAGCACCAACGTCCCCCACGCCCTGTACACTGGCAAGAGGACTGCTGTCTTCCTCCACGTCAGACTCGCCAAGGAGGACCAGGCTAAGGAGACCGGCGTCGAGCTGTCTACCCTGCTCAAGAGAGACACTGAGCACGAGGAGCGCGCCCTCTGGGACGTTGTCAACGGCAAGCGTGACGAGATTCTGTACGCTGGCGAGTTCGACCAGTAAACGCTTCATGTACATGATTTGGGATGCCAGCGGAGGCGTTTTACATAGACGGGAGGCGTTTGGAAAAGTTACAATGACATTTTATTCTGATCCTTCAATCTGCTTCATCCTCGATTTCCAAGTTGCCAACCTTGAACTTCTTGCCCTTCATGTCTGCGTAGTCATTGTGATGATGGTAGTTCTTCACGCGCTCTCTGACGTATTGCAGGCCAGTGACTGGCTCCGCGTTCTCGGCATCCTGCTTGACGAGCCCTAATCTCTTTAGTAGCGGAGATGGAGCCGGCTTGATGTCGACATCGTCACCGGGTCTCACAAAGTAGAACAGTCCTTGACGGAAGAGATAGGCCTGGTCTTCCGGGGGTCGCACGACCCGATGTGTTGTCGATTTGAGGTACCCCGCCGACCAGAAGTCGAGTGTGTCACCGACATTGCAAACGATGCCGTTGTCGACGGGCGGGACATACTTCCACTCACCGGACGACGTCTTGATCTGGAGACCAGCCACATCTTGACTCCACAGCAGCGTCAGGGAACCAAAGTCAGTATGGGCGCGGGACCACGTATTGGCGACTTTGAGGTCGTCGGCGAGGGATCGCGGGTGGTAGCCCATGTACCGGAGGTGGTCTTCACTGGGGTCCTCATGTGCGTACCCAAACAGGTTTTATTTGCAGCTACCGAGGCCTAAACCTCCCCTGTTGAAACTGATTGGGGTCTCTGGGATGTTGTCCTCGAGGCATTCGTCGTGCTTGAGGACCTGTTAGGTTAAGATAAATCCAAAACAACCATCAAGAGACTGACAGGCATTCGAATCCAAAAAGTCTCACAGGATCTCAACAGAGTATTTGCCCCCGCAGAGACCCATGACCGTCGCTGAGGACGGATCCGCGAGTGGAACTTCCTGAGTGCCCTTGGGTCCTTTAAGAACCATCTTCTTTGTTCCGGTGAATAAAGGCATCACCAACTCCCCAGTGGTTGAATTTGGTGTCTCAAATGTGCCCGACAGGCCGTGGGTGCTGTTTACCCAGCTTGTCTTGAAAGTTCCAAGAGGAGTCTCGTAGCTTGCCTGGACAGCCTTCAGACCACCAAGAGCAGGCGCAACTTTCCAAGTCCGTCCGACTGCCGAAGTCATCGTGAGACCACCGGCATGAAAAGTGAGCAGCGATGTGGGAGCCGTAGACCAGCCGTGGGCATGGCTGACTCGTGGATTGTAATCATACACCGGATAGAGTGGAGTACCGTCGGTGGCGAATCCTTCGATAAAAGTGCTGTTGGTCATCAGTGGATTGTCGAGCATGTAGTCTGCCCACATAAATTCCATCAAATCTACGGCATAGTCCGGATGACCGGCCATGTAGTGTGCCTGGAGCTCAAAGCCAGTCGCAAAGGGAGAGATAGTCTGACCAGCCTCAACTGCGGGTGCCCCATACGGTCGTATCCAGCGTGCCTTTAAGGCATCACTGATAGCCTCGGCTCGTTTTCCATTGGCTATACGAGAAATGATTGCCCACGAGTTACCGTCCTGAGGATAGGAAGTTGTGGAAGATTCAGACGCGATGGTATCGTTGTCCCGATACAAGGAGGCCGACTCGTCCCAAAGAATATTGTTCGCGGCTTGGGAGATACCTGCAGCTACAGCTTCCCAGTTACGTGTCTCCCCGGTGGCGTTCAAGATCGCGGCAAGCGTCAAAGCATTCTGTAGTGTATGATATAAAATCGCATTTGCCTAGGTGTTTTCTTAGCAGCCTCAAACCACCATAGGAAAATGAACATAATCTTACCTCGATGTTGTGACCCGACATACCAACCCTGCCCCAATCAGACGTGCTGGTTACGTTGGCGAGACCAGACGAATCAATAAATTGCAGAGGATAATTCACCCCCAACTTATATTGGCCCCATATAGACATTAGAAATCCCATGTCACCAGTGAACATGAAATAATCATACACATCGTTGAGAGTATGGCAATGGTAAGTAAAGCTCCACGCGAAAAGCTGTGCCAGAGGAGGTCCCGCGGCAGGGAGGCGACCATCCGTTGTCTGGTATAAGAAAAGCGAATCGATTGCATTCCGGATAGGATCGAGACTGTTTTACGAAGATGCATGGTCCCGAGATAACGATGTCTCCGGGCCAAACGGTTCGATCTCTTTTGCCTCCATCTAGCAGAACGCTCGTGCCGTCTGCGTACGCGATGAGGATCCATCAAAGCAAAATATCTTTGTGTGAGATATGACTTACTCGAAATGGTAGTATTATAATACCACCCAGCAGATGGGGCGCCTAGTGCAACCCCGGTCGTGGGATCTGCCGAGCAGATCTGATTTGTGTAAGCGCCCGCATACCATACTCGATTCAACTTTTCGCTGTCGGAATGAAAGTAGCCTTTGTAGGCTGCGGGATCAGCCATCTCGGGAGATGTGGTCCAAAATACGGTGACATTTGAGAGGCTAATAGTCCCAGTCGAGTTGTGGACCACTGTGAGGTATCGGAAGGCTCCTCGCTGGAATTCGTGGCCCGCTTGGTAGTAGCCTGGTGTCGTATTGTTGAACCATTGAGGCATATCGAATTGTTCAGGCTGAACAGAATCGCAGAATTGAGCACTGATGTACATTGAGGATTCGCTGAACGTGAAGCCTATGGAGTCGCTCGTCCCAGAAACAGCATCAACCTGGAAGCCGACTCTGCCAGCGATGTTCTTGCCGAAGTCTAAAGTGACGTAAGATCCGTTTCCTGAGAAAGTCGTTGATCCGGCGTTTGGGAGACCAGCTACACCCGCGCCATTGATGGTGAGGAAGCCGGCAGCATTCTCAACATTGCCGCCGGTCTGGTGGATGGCAACCGGGCTGATGACACGCGATGTAGGAGCGAGGATGTAATCTTGAAAAGACTTTTCGGCCGCAGTTATGGGCGCGAGCAAAGCGCATGGCAAGTAGAAGAAAGCCAATTGCGATTTCATGGTGAACAACGATGACTCGGAGACTGTGACTGAGGGAAGCCATGCTATTGTCTTTCAACTCTGCGATACTTATGTTATGGGAACCTTCCGGCAAACTGCATCGTAGTACAAAAACAGGGGTCGCATCGGAACCTGTGGGAGATTGGGTCTCGTATTGAGCTGCACGCGTCACGTTCGGATTGACACTGTTCATTGAATACGAATACCTACTACCTATTCTGATTGCTCAGTAGGCAGGAGAAGCTGAGTCCACAAATCCCAATTTAGCATTTTTCGCTTTCGATACGAAAACCCTTAACGCGTATTCTTGGCACGTAGCACGCGCCAAATCCCAGCAAGAACGACAAATATCAACAGGATGCCCTAAAACAATAATTAATGAGATCACCTCATGAGAAAATGGGATAGACACTACCAATTTGCCATGGAGAGGCGGTGTAGCTTGACGTCATCACGAAGCGGTATGGACGGCTTCCACACCAGTGTATGAAACCACTATCACGAATCTCATGCTTTGGCAACTCTTTCTTGTACTGACGTCAGAAATACACCACACATCCTGAAACGTTCTCTCTTGTCTGGGTCGTTATACTCTGCGCCAGGGTGGGGTTTGCAGACAATGCAAGTTACTACAACTCGGCTCTCTAGGGATTGCGCTTCAACTCGTCATGTTTTCAAGTCATTGCAACGTTTTTCCTGTGTGGCATCAACCTTGCTCGCTTTTCCAGGCTTCCTCTATGTATCCAACGAACTTCTTCCCCGATACTTGAATTTCAATTACCTGGTATCCCTGGAACACAACAGCAACAGTAGCAACAACAGCAACAACAGCAACGCAGGGCGGCCTGTTTGCGCCAACATGTATAAGATGTTGACCAGCTCGACCTTTCTTTCAAATGGTTGCTTCCTAGCCTTGTTGGCTGGGGGCTTGTTTAGTGACCGCATCAGTCGGGGACAAGAACGATACCATGAAGTTGATATTTAGATGGCTTGTAACATCGCGCGATGAATATTGTGAGACAATTCTCCGAACGTTCAAATTCGCCACGAGATAAGAACCAGAGTGTCGAGACGCGAGCCAATATCGCGAGCCAACACCATAGGTTTAGCGTCAGATACACGACGGACTTCATAATGGCCTTCCAAACCGTGAGCCACAGCTCAATGCCCTTACTTGGATCACCACAATCATGTCCCTCAAGCGCATTCCCATATTCCGGGAATGGAGAGTTCAAAACGGGTTCAAAAAAGGGGACCGAGCGGGTCGACGGAAGGTGAGGGCGTTGCGCTGGCTCCGACGACCTCCGGCGCGGACTGCTGCTTCTCCTCAGAGATGAGGTCAAATGCGTCCATGCACAGGCGAGCTAATCATACTCAGCTATTCTATCGCCTTCGGAAGGAGGACACGTTGTCTCGATTCTCGCCCGCTATTGTTGGAAGAGAAGTGCGCTGCCTTGGATCTCAACATTGGCTGGTTTGAAGGTCGGGCAGATTGGCACGCTACGTACGATGGTCATTGGAACGCCAGCTTTAGCCGATGCTGCACCCCGACGCTCTGGGTAGAGGCGCCCGTTTATCAATGCTTGGAACATTACCAAGACCAGCCTCAAAAGTCTCAACCTTGGCAACGGCGGCCGCCTTGTGATGGTCAACGAGCCACTCGGACCACAGAAAAATGCCCTGTGATTTTACAGACAATTGAGCGAGCAACGTCGTCGAATTGAACCCAAATCGCATTGATAAATACCCCTCCATCTGATGTCACGCCGTCCCCGGCGCCGGTACTTTCGCGCCGTGTCGGCGTCAATCACATCAGTCTGTCACATGAGACGAATTTCACAATGATCAGATGGATGCACCAATGAAACGACAATTACCATAAGATCAAGAACAAACTTAATCTGTTTAATACTAAGGTAAAATGCTGATGAATTACTCGCATGCAGGCGATTTTCGATGCCGAAAGTGACATCAAGGTCAACCTACGTGTCCCACTGTGGAGCATGCCCTACATAGGTATCCTATGAACGGTTCTTCACAATAACAAATCAGCAGAGCATTCTTAGTGTAGCGGTTATCATCCCAGCCTTCCACTTCTAAGGAAAGCGTCAGCTGGGGACCGGGGTTCGACTCCCCGAGGATGCATTAATTTTGCTGCTTGTTTTAGTTGCTGCTTTGTCTCGTCCATTTGATATCGATGTTTTTAATGCGATTTGGCAGAGCATTGATCTTTGCCTTCATCCGGAGGGCTGAAGCGGGATCCGTTTGGTCTACGGGAAAAGAATCCTAAGGGGGTCCGTGCACGTCAGCGCCCCTTCGGCGGTTGGTCGACGTAGCGCGGGATAAGAAGAGGAGGTAAGCGCGGGCAGGAAGGAGGCCGGGTGATGGTAACGGTCAGGGCGGCAGGCGCGGGCTTTCGCTCCGGGAGTTTCGCTGCAGACGCTGGCTTCAGCGTCCACAGTGTCTAGTGCTTTCTCTGTCGCATTCATTATTTCCATTACCTCTGTCTTATCTCTCCATGTAATCCTCTGTATGTTGTCTCTGTATGTTGTCTCTCTATGTCGTCTCTATTTAGCGCCGTTACCTACGTCTATAAATCGCTCACACCACATCTCGCTCGATATAATGGGCGCTACCAAAGCCGTATGTACGCAAGAAAATTGGTTGTCACGCATCCTCGGGGACACGAACCCTTGTCCTTGGTTTTGCCGATTTCTGCATACTCGCCAGCTTAGCGACGAAGAGTGCAGGGACGACAGGGACGACAGGGACGACACCTAGAGACGACACCTGGAGACGACACCTGGAGACGACACCAGCGGACGACACCAGCGGACGACACCAGCGGACGACACCAGAGGGTAACACCAGAGGACGACACCAGGGGACAGCGTCCGGAGACAACACCAGAGAACGAAACCGAAGGACGACACCTAGAGACGACACTAGAGGACCACCCAGAGGGTAGAGACGGCAGGAACAACCAACAATACAAAGACATTGGGAAAGGCATCAATTGAAAACGCATCCGCATAGGATAGACTGACCAATGTCCATAGCCGAAGCCTCGCAACGCTGTCACGTCTTCCCTATCATTGCGTAGGAATACATCGAGCTAGGCGATATGGTTCGGGGTCAAATAGGAAGATACTTCGGCGCCCCGGAAATCCGTTGCTTTTGCTACTTTTCCACAATTCTGGTTCCCTTTCCCCCTCGCAATTCTCGGGGACAAAGCAATGACGACGTCTTCGTAACTATGGACATGTTGAGAGACGAGTGATTTCGATTGCACGGCGGGGTTGTAGAGATGCTTATCATTTCATTTGATTCCCCTGAAATGATGACCAAGCGTGGCTATTAATGTCAATTGTTGTATGCCGACCGCCTTCACTCAGATGCGAACTGAAAACCAGCATTATCTTGGAGCACCTCCGTGGTAAGCCTGACCTTTATTTCCGTTAATATGGTAGCTGTAGAGACAGTCGAGCTAGCGAGAAGCGCAACTTGTAGTAGAGGAATGTGCTGTATTGATTTTGGCAGGACATGTAGCCGCTGGGCCGCGTTTTCCAGAAGAGGTAGATCTTCTTAAGCTAACTGAGCCGAGGCTCTCCCGTATTGAAAGCTCACACTGGGTACGGCAGCTAGACGAGTAAGTTCTGTCACCTGGCCGACCCAGTTATGGATTGCGGCTAGGGATTATTGGTCTGGACCAGCCTCGACACTGGGAGGGATCTCAGTATCGAGCCTTTTGGAGTTGTCTTTACAGCCTCGACGCGGGCTAAGGGGATGAGGTATCGTCCACTTGTACTGACTTATTGCTTTCTCGGATATCGCCCCGTAACAGGAGCTGTTAATTATTGTGTACCATCTTACAGGGTGGGCTATGAAAATTCCTCGACATAGCAGAGTAGCCGTGCAGGCTGTCATGATTACACTTTGCGCTCAAGCGCAGGCACAGCATTGTGCTCGGGATTATTACTCTTTCCGATTGGCCCTGACTACCCTGTTGTCGAACCTGTTAGAATCAGGAGTTTCTTGACGCGGGGTGTCGGTCGTATCCGCTTGAGAACTTCAACAGGCTCGGGTACTTATTCCGTGTGCCCAACAAGACTGGCTGCGTTTGGTCTATGTAAGATAAATGGTGGGTCGACGGGAAAGAACTGCGCAGCCTGCTTCGGCTTGGCGGTTGCTACGCCGCTGATGCCCCGGCATTCGCAGCTCCAGCCTGTTTATATCTTCTCTTATGATCCATCCAGATTGGTGAGCGTGGTTTCCCCTTTGCATGCACTTCCGTCATTCTATCTTCGGCAGCATGTCAGTCTATCGAGTTATCGGCCTCCCCACGGGCTTGTCCAAGGCCAGTACAAAGGAGATACTCGATGAGCTCTTTGGCACAAAGACACAGACGATAGTCCGCTCTCTGAGTCTGTACCCCCACGCGGACTACCTGGTTGCGATTGTCATGTTCTTCCCTGTGCCGAGTCCTTTGCTGAAAGGGCGCTCCTGGAAATTCGACAAGGTCCTGTCATTCGAGGGCCGAGCGCGACGTGTCCGGGTTGAAATCGACACGACCTTTCTCGGTTTCACTCCCTTGAATGTTGTCGAGGACACTCATGATAGCAGGATTGACTGCGTTGTCGTCAGTGAATTTGGCAGTCACTCTTTTGAATCTTGGAAAGACGGGGTTGGTCAATTCATGTGGCTGGTGGACGATGATACAGCGTTCCCCCCAAACGTCCGCGTTCTGCTTTACGGCTATCACGCCTCACTCCGCGGGAGCGAGTCATCCCAGAATCTCACCGACTTGGGCGATCAACTTGCCATCTCAGTCCGGAGTATACGGCCTTTGTCCCACACTCCAACGCAGTCGAAGCCTCGGCCTATCGCGTTCATGGCTCACGGCCTAGGGGGGCTGGTTGTCAAGGGAGCCATCTATAGCTTGGCAAAGAAAAATGATTCCAACGCCCAATACATTTGCGGCTTTGTATTCTTCGGTGTTCCCCATCAAGGGCTACTGGTCAAGCCCTGGCTTCGCCTGATCAAAGAGCAGCCAAGTCGGCAGCTTTTGGAGAACCTCAAGCCAGGGTCACCTTACCTAAAAAGACTAGACCAGAGCTTCCAAGACGCCATGACTTTCAAGGGCTTGAAAGTGGTCAGTGTTCTTGAGGAAATGAACACACAGGACACGCAGAAGAATAGCAGCGGAGCCGTGGGGCGGACTGGAGATGGAGAATTGCTGGTTCCGATGGGCTCGGCTCTGGGTCACTGGCCAAAGTCCGTGTCTCTGGGTCAAGTGGCCATCAATCGCAACCATGACAGCCTCCCGAAGTTCCGGGGCCGCTTTGACGAAGACTACCAAACATTCAAACACTGCTTACAAGACATGTGGGCAACTGCAGTTGAAGATGTCCAAAGAAGATTTGGAGCCGACAGGAAGCCAACCAATTCGAACATACCCCTCTTGCAGGAGAGGTTACGAGAAGCTTTGCCAGAAAAGGATCTGCCCGTTGGACTGATACCGATTTGGCCGGATCCACATAACGAGAACGCAATCGATATTCCAACAGATGTGGACCTAATTGCCATCCATGGTATTGGGGGCCACGCTGTCGAGACTTGGACTTGTGGCGATAGATTCTGGTTGCGGGACTTTCTGACATTGGATTTCCCTAGAGCCCGCGTGTTGACCTTTGGTTTCGACGGATCGGTAGTCTTTAACACCTCCAAATCTAGCATTACCAACATTGCAAACCAGCTACTATCTGGCATTCAGCAGCTGCAAAGAAGCAAAGCCGAATCGATCGAGCGGAAACTTATATTCGTTTGCCATGGGATTGGTGGGGTAGTCTTCAAGCAGGCCATGATCATGGTTTGCGAGGGTGAAAGCCGCTACAATGGGCTCGGAAAGTCCGTGGCGGGTGTCATATTCCTCGGCACACCGCATAAGAAAGCCGACATTGGCTACTGGTCGGACCTGCTGAAGAGTATTGCCCTTCTCCAAGGCCATCAGCAGAACCTGTTGTCCAGCCTTGAGGAAAGAGCCATTGAGCTGGGATCTATTTGTTCGGGTTTCGAGGAAAGTGGTATGCCGGCGGGCCTACAGGTGTTCAGCCTGTTTAAGAAACATGTCACGGAGAAATTACGGTCTTTGGTAGGCTACTCAAACACTTGTCGTTACCTGTTGAGTAATTCCCACTAATACATGTCTTGCAGGTCGTCGACAAGTCCTCAGCCATTCTCCATTTGCCTGCAGAGACTACTCTTCCACTGAACGCGGATCATGACAACATGTCAAGACATCCCACAAGGTCCAGCCTCAATTATTCCACAATCTTCAGTTGCATTGCTGAGTTGGTGGATAATATCTCAGGAAAACCTGAACATACCTGTGCGTAAAGGCACCACACGGTCCCGGTCCAGCTTATCGATACTCTGGGATCGCTCAGATAGCTAACGTCTAAGAGCAAGCAGTCTTCAACTCATCGCAACTCCGCTTTCTATCAAATCTGAGAGCCATAGACTCGGAAAGGATCCTATCGCTTATTCCCGTTTACTCCAATAAGTCATCCAAGTGGCTGCTTGAACATCCCGATTTTCAATCGTGGACTGGGCGACAAGGCCTCCGAATTACTTGGCTTCATGGGCCACCCGGCTCAGGCAAGACGATGCTCATGAGAGGCGTTGTCGCTCACCTGATCGAGCAAAGCGAGTCATCCACAGACATCTTGATTCAAAAGCCGCTATACTTCTTTTTTGACGATAAGGACTCTACACGGAATACATCGTCTGCTTTTGTGCGCTCCGTTCTGAGTCAGATTCTTGTTGATGCACGCACGTCGTATCTCATCAAGCATCTGGAGGGTCGTGATTACATAGAGGATGCGCAAGTGGATGACAATCTCTGGGTATGTCTTTCGACTGTCATTGAGAGATCACGAGGAATTGTGTTTCAGTTTGTTGTCGACGCGGTTGATGAAGTGGGTCGTAGCAGTGTCGGCGAAACAACTACAATCCTCGACAGAATCAAGCACCTCATCACCCAGGACCTGAGTGGTCGGGTTAAAATGATACTCTCACACCGCGAGATGCCGCAGAATGAGTTTCTGGAGATGGATGTTGCGACAATCAATGTCGACAACGATCTTAATTGGCAAAGTGTTCGATCTTTCGTCCGCCGTCAAATACGAAGATGTGGCCAGAAATCGCACATTTCAGCCAATACCAGAGATGTCGTGGAAAACAAGATCATGGAGATTTCTCGGGGGAACTTTCTGCATGCTAGACTTGCATGGGACCAGTTCTTTGAGGGCATGACAAGCTGGTCCCGGCATCAGATGCACAAGAGCCTGGATCAGCTCAGTGCAATCTCCAACGGTCTGAATTCAGCCTGCTGCAAACTCCTGAGCAGCATCCCGAGAGCGCACCGGAGTAAGGCCAAGGCCTCTTTCGCCATTCTCCGAATCAGTAAAGAGAAGCTAACGTCTCGCCAACTTGCATTTCTTGCCACTTTACACACCCAAAAGACTGATACGCGACCGTCACTGTCTGAACTCCAGTCTCAGAGTACTGAGTTTGAGAACTATCTAGCTGAGGCATGTGGACACCTCGTCAGAAGAGCCGGTGATGGTTCGGTCGATTTCAACCACCTTTCTGTCAAGGACATATTCACGGACAGTATGAAGGATCTCTCGCCAGAGGAGCAACAAGTCATTTCGCCTTTTGAGGTCTCAGAGGCGGATGCGCATGCCATGATACACACTTTGTGCATGTCTATCTTCCAATTGGAGAACCGACAAGTAGAAAGCTGGCGCGAAGTTTTGGGAGATGTGCGCCAATCTCAGAATGAACTGAGAGGCTCATTCGCCTGTGTCTTGCTATCTCACGACCAAAAAGACAGACTGGCCGAATTGGGAGCTGCTCGCATCCAGTCATTCGCCAAAACGCCTTGCTTCACTTACGCACTCCGACACTACATCAGTCATTATGAAGCTGCGACGCCCAGCTCCCATGCCGATAGCGCACTTGTCTCGTTTATGGCTACTCGACAAGCGTACTACTTCCACAGTATGTGGTTAGCGATCCGCAACAAGGACAAAGACTACCATCTGGAAAGGGCCATCCCAGCGCATATGGAGCCCGAAGACCAAAGTGATAGCTCCAAGTTATTAAAAAGTACAGCCTTATTTCGGGTTCTGGCCCGAGGAGACTGTCCACGGATCGTGAAGGGTCTCGTGGCTGAAAGTGCCAACGTCAATCATGCAGCCAGCTTTGACGACGAACGCGTCACACCTTTGTCGTGGGCTATCATCTGCGGACGGAAAGATTTGTTTTGCACCCTCCTGCGCAATGAGGACATTCAGATTAATTACAGCCCACACGGTTCTCGTTCGCCACTTCACCATGCAGTTCGCTGCATTGAAGATGTATTCTACGCACAAAGGTTGATAGATCATCCCCACATCAATGTCAACGTTCTTTACGCATCTGCCACACCGCTTCATGCGGCGCTCGGTTGGGAGAACAGACCGGGAGTCGACGCACTTTTAGCTCATCCAGATATGGATATTGGCATTCAAGATTCACATTCGGAGACTCCCTATCTTAAGGCGTTTAAGCATAAAATATGGGGACCGTTCCTGTCAAAAATAATGACGATGGTCCCTCGAGGAACCTTCTCCATGCCAATTCCTGGGACCAGTCAGCTGCTCGCTGCCGGTAGACACGGCTGGACGGATGCCGAGGAGATGTTTCTAAAGGAGTTCCCCGCCCAGGTGCTCACGCAGGATCCAGACACAAAAATGCATGTGTTGGCGCACTACGCGTTCTTTGGCCATCGAGAGAAGTTGCTCTGGATCATGAACCGTCTTCCAACCCAGCGCGTCTCATTACGCAGCGAAGTGGACCACTACGACCTTCTTCATCTGTGTGCAAATCACAACTGGGAAGACATTGTGCATATGATGCAGCGGAAGTATCGTCTTCCGTCTCTTTCTTCGGACCATGTGGGAAGAACACTTCTGCATTGGGCCGTGGAATACAATTGGGATATCGACAAGATGAATCTCAGTCAGTACCGTGTGGCTGATCTCAATAAGAAAGACCGCAACGGGTTGACAGCAGCTCACATCGCCGTCACAAACAGGAACATGGCCGCCTTAGAAACCTTAATTGCTTCGGGGGCAAGTTGCTTAGAAAAGAACAACGCTGGCATGTCACCCGCCCACATGGCCGCCGATCAAGGCTACTGCGCTGCCCTTAAATACTTCATACGCATACATCATGCCGACTTTGGGATCACTCGTACAGGCGCTAGCCTCCTGCACCCGATCTCTCTGTGGGTCGACGGAGCTATGATCTGTCACTTCGTTACTTCGCGAAGCGTGGCGATAAATATCAACTCCGTAGACCGGGAGCGCCGCACTGCGCTACACTACGCGGCCATAGCCAACAACGCGTCTGCGGTCGAAGCGCTTGTTGTGCTAGGTTGTAGCATCAATGGACGCGACAAAAATGGCAAATCACCTATTTACGAGGCTATCCGCGGCGGCGGCGCTGACACCGCTTTGCGGCTGTTACACCTTGGCGCCGACTGGCGAGCCACAGACGCGTTTGGCCAGACGTGCCTGCACCTTGCTCTCCGATACAATAGCGAAATCCTTGTTTCGCGCTTCCTGCGGCTAGGCATGAACATCGGCGCCGTAGACCGGTTCGGAATGACACCGCTTCATCGGGCGTGCGGCGCGGGCAATGTAGACCACGCCCGCGAGCTTCTTCACAGGGGAGCGGCGTGGGATGCGCGGAACATGCATGGGCGCTCACCACTAGAGCTGGCCGTGGAGGCGAGGGCCAAGAGCACCGTAGAGACGGTGGTGTCGTGGATGTTGACACTTCGGAGGGCGCAAATCCGCGGAAGTCAACGCAGGATAAGTCGATACTTCGACAGTGCACTCAAGCTGGCCTGTGAGCTGGAGCTGGATTCTACACGTATCGGCAGCATACTGAAGGAGGCCGGTGCAGATATCGACTACAGCAAGGTCAACGTTGAGAGGGTGTATCTGGTTGGGCCGACAGCAGAGAAACGTGATCCTCTTGTTCCTCGAGGGTATGGACTGCACAACCCATTCGACAACCCGTTCAACAGCGGTCCTTAGTCCAAAATCTCAGACAATGACAGTAGTCATAGCGGATACAACGGCTGTTAAGTGCTGGATGGTGTCAGTGGATGCGGACTTCCTAGGTAGACAGAGCAGTATCATATGATGTTTGCATTGAATCTATTTCTGTCTATATCTACCTATAGATGAAAAGGTGTATTGTAAAAAAGAAATGGTGTTCGTCTCACCAAGATATTCCTGTTCCGTTTTGTTGAAGTGCCGCTCAAGAGCTATAAAAAGAAGTAGCAAAGATGAATCTTCCGCGCATTTGCCTACATTGAGTAGTAGTTGAGAATTCATCCAAAATGTAAGATTAAGCCCGCGAAGTTTTCTTGCTGAAGTCCTGCCACCTGGTCCTGTTCGATTGTCATAACGGGATGCATTACGCTACGCTAATAATTTCGGGGATAAGAATCCTTCAATGGTAATAATAATGGTGTAATTCGCAACCATTCTCAGGGATTACATGCAATGGCGTATTGCGCATGGCCCCGCAGTAAGGCGTGCTCTTCGCAGCCCCGGTATGGCTTCAAACCTGCGGGATCGGAACACATCTTTGGAGAAAATGCAGGGGTGGAGACTATAAACCTCACGGGGAATCTTGGATGTCTTGCAGACAGCCACACTTCCAATACCACCAGCTTCATCCCAGGGCACTAAGTAATCAGTGTCTTCCGTCGTCGATTCGATACGCAGCCGGTTTCCACCAATATGGGCGAACAAGCCCGGTCAACGAGTGGTGTCAATGAGTCTGGGGAAGGAAAGCCGATCCTCCGAATCGCTCATCGAAAGATTGACAAGAGGCTCCTGCTATGGTACTCATTCGTGTACCTTATTATGCGAATTCATGTCAGCAATATTAGTAACGCAGCCATCATTAACCTGGAAGAAGGTACCGGCATACGAAAACAGCTTGGAAATCTGTCAAGTTCGCAATGGGCTTGGGCACTAAGTATTTTCTACTACCCTTACATGGTCTTTGAGCCGCTCGCGACGCTTGCTCTGAAACGATTCTCACCATCTATTTGGATGAGCCGAATTATGATCACATGGGTATCTCGGGACTTCAAGACTGGAGAAGATATCGCTGACACACTCAATAGGGAATCATCTCAATGTGTCAGGGAGCGACTCAGAACTATGCCGGAATTCTGGCTTGCCGTTTCTTTCTCGGACTGGCAGAAGCTGGCTTCTATCCTGGAGTTTTGTATCATCTCAGCTTCTGGTATCCGACACAAAAGCTTCCCCTGAGAATCGTACGTGCATTCAAGTCGTCGCTGAGGTCAATGCTAACTCCTTGAAGGGGTTCTTTTACGCCTGTGGGATGTTTTCAGGGACCATCAGCGGTCTTCTAGGTAACTGCCAACCATGAATTACATTAAGAGCGTTGATTAACAGTCTACAGCCTATGCGATTTCTTTCATGAATGGCGTTGGCGGCCTTGCTGGCTGGAGATGGGTACGTATGCAGCGATTGAAGTATTGGGGCGTGGACTAATCCGACGACAGCTCTTCATTCTTGAAGGCATTCCGGCTATCCTTTGTGGGATTTACACCTACTTCTTCCTTCCCAACTGCGAGTTGACTATGATCTTGCTATCTCTTTACCCAGCATTGCTAATACAATTCTAGACCCAGAAACAGCCAATTTCCTCACAGAATCCGAAAGAGACATCGTTCTCGCCGACCTTCCCGAGCAAGCACCAACAATGAAAGCTAAGACCATCAACTTTGAGCAAGTTAAAGAACTCTTCCGCAGCTCTACTTTCATACCATTCTTGATGATCTGGATTACTCATGGAATCGGAGGATGGGGTATCTCCTTCGTCTTGCCAACCGTCATTTATGAACTCGGCATATCTAACACGGCCATCTCGCAAGTCATGACAATGGTATGAACGACCCAATCGACGGACGTCTCAATGCTGATGTTTCATAGCCACCCTTCACCTTGGTCTTTGTCATTCTTCTATCGCTCGCCTTTCTCGTTCATACTCGGAGACTGAGCCCTTGGGTTGCTGGTCTCGGGTTAGAGGCAGCTCAAATTGTTTGTTACGTGCTGCTAATCACAGTGAAACATCCCATTGCCAAGTACATATTCGTCATGATTGCAACTGCCGCATCGCAAAGCTTCTTTGCTATCATCTGGCCAGGTAAAAACTAATACTGGATGGCAAGTTCAAAATACTGACATGGGCTTATCCAGAGAGGATTCGAGCAGCGAAGGGGACTACGACTGCAGGTCTGGCAATTGGTCTCACCAACGTAAGCGCCCAACTTTTGGAACAATCAGATACTACAACAAGCTTACCATATGACTTGCAGGCATCGTGTCAGCTCATGGGTATAGTCGTACGTATATCCCTTTCTATTGTGTTTATCAGAGAAGATTCTAAAGTGTGTTGAAGGGTCCGCAAATCTACCAGCCCAAGTTTGGCCCGAGCTACCGCATCAGTTATTCCTGCTCCATAGGTCTTCTGTGCGGAACACTTTTGTCTGTTTCCAGTGCATGGTTCTTCGTCGCAAAAGAAGATTAGAAAGATGGTTCTGCGCATAGTGGCTCGGATGCGACTCCAGAGGAGCAAACTCAAAGCCAAAAACCCGTAGAATATATGGGTTAGCCTAATTCCGTTAGTAAGATTCCCATGAAAAGCAACCGAGTTCATGCCTTTGTTCATCCGCCACTTCTCATACAGTGATATTACCATAGCCTCAAGGAACCCCATGCCATGAAAGTTGGTCCAGAACTCAGGAGGGCCCTTGCGGTTGAGGAACCTGCTATGGGCTGTGCCGCCTATCCAGTTCCCGCAGCGAGAATCTTTACACCATGAGACATGCTTCAGCCACTCATCCGTATGCAAACCGTACGAATATGGATCAGTCAGTGTACCAATCCAAGGCGCTGGGCCTTTGAGATAGCTTGTGCTCATGCGCATGATTGAGAGACGTCCCTTCGACCTAATCCATTTGTAGGTTGTATGGCACCCAGAACAGCAATACGTATTGGAGTGAACATTACACCTTGTGACTGGAATTGGCTCATGTTCATTAACCACCTTCGCCTCGATACGTGTTGAGCTCCCCGGGTAGAATATCTTTGACATAAGACACTCGACACATATATCTCCTGTCTGTATGTCTGACAGGCGCATGGGCCTGGACTTGTGGAAGCTTTGGAGAAGCTTTCCGTCGTTGTACTTGACATGGGGGCAGAGATCACCCTCGCGAGTTGCATCGGCAGAAAGATCATTGAGCTTTCCTGCCAAAACGTCCCAACTTATGCTGGCATCATTCACATCGTCGACGTCTAGCACAGGTATTAAGCAGATGAGGTTGAATTCGAAACCATCTCTCCCGAACCTAGCTTGAGTCAGCCTCCCAGGCATTGCCGCACACGATGTGCAATGCATCTCTGTCTCATTCTTAGGGTTGGAGAACACTTTCCGCCAGTTCACGTCAATGTGAGGGCAGATTCTCATACGCCCTTCGTGCAAGATGCATGATCTATTCAGGTAGTTCGCGATGCCGCTGCGCCTCATTCGAGGCGAGAATTTCGTTACAGTGTGGTAATCAAGACAGCCGTGGCACCACAACCGGTGGTAATACTCACGGCGCAGCCAGGGATCATCCTTGGTTCCAATGAACATATTTCCAACGAGCATGTGGATTCCGGTGAGCGGATGCGTAAAGCCTCCCCACGCACTGAAGCAGGACTTGCATAAACTATCGTACTTCAGCCGAGGGAGTACCATTCTCTGGAAGTAACGTTTGGAACCGGCATTTTCGGGGAACCGAAAGCCAACATATGTGTTTTCGGGACTCTCTTGCATGTAACCGAGAGCAAGACTTGCATAGTCTAAGCGCTCGTGGTATCTAGAGAACTTGTTGTCGTGGAAAATTCGATAAAAGACCGATGCCGCCTGGCGTAGGCAGTACAGATCGATGGGTCGGAGCAAGCCCATAATTTGGAGAAGCAGCTCGTCAGGCAGACGGAAGATGGGGGAATCTTGGTGGGGATTCCATGGAAGCGCGCGTTCTTCTACTGGTTCAGGATGTGTGTCAGCCTTACATCTATTCTTCCCTGGCAATTTGAGGGCTTGGGGGTAGACAGCCAACCTCCTGTCTGGGGCCGAAGCCGTAACAAGGCTAGTATGAGTGCTATGGCACGGTACATGGCTGTTCCATGAATCCTTCGTGCCCACCCAGTTGACAAGATCCGAAATAATGATGGTGACGGGAGAAATGGGATCGCCACAGAAGTCAAGAGCGGCCTACTTGGCGAAGAAAAGAATTTTCTTTCTAGATCATGCGCACCAGTAGTTCCAAAAGGTATCGCGAATCCAGTCTTTCTTATTGGCCATCCATGAACGTCACCGGGTATAGATACACAAAACACCTTGGAATCTCTTGTGGATACCTGAATGCTGATGAGGAAGCTACTGTCTACATTAATCGGCAATTTTTCCAAACTTTGTACCAATTGTAGATTGAAGCTCGGGCTTTCGAAGCACGTTGTGCTTGACATAAGACTTTGTTGAATGACTTGAAGATTGAGCATCTTGATGGAAGTTCTGTCGATTCGGACATGGTGCATCTCGTTGGACGTCAAGGTCGGGCTGCAGTTGCCCCGAAAACAAAGCCTATGAGAACACAAGGTGCTTTGCAAATCTAGCGGCTGATTTTGAAGGACTCCGCAGGGTTTTGAACACAGGCAAGCCATCTTACGGGTGTGAACCTCACCACCATATCTACATCCGAGCATTGCACTGTACTCCTTTTGAATTTGGGGCACGCAGAAACTAGATGTGGCATGTGAGAAAATGAGATCTTCTTGCACAGAGACACCTAACATGTCTATCATGGCCCATTTGAGACCCTGTTGCCGGCCCGACGTTGGGACATTGCCATCGGATGAAGCTCTACCCCGTCCCGAATCAGGCGTTGAATCATTCACCTAACAGACGAGGCCTTTTTCGGAGTCATTTTGATCTACGCATCACCGAATACGGGTAAGGAACTCTTCATTCAAAGTCATAACAGTAAAGACTCAGACACGGTAACACAATCGTTCTTCAATCTCAGGTGATACAAGACCCGAATATGATGAACCCAACATATCCCCGTGCCGTGAAGCCTGCCAAGCCGTCTTGGCATAGTTGATCCGTAGGGTTCACGCTCATCTGAGCCTCAGCCGTCCCAGCATGGGTATAGTGCCATCGCGTACAAGAAGAGGAGAGAGGGTTGGAATAGGATAATGCCTGAATCACGCTACATTTGATGGGGAAGTATTTCTCGACAAAACTGAGACGTCTCTGCGCCACGGTCACTCCGTATCTCGATTCAGCGACCCGACCCTCCGGTGCGGCCCGTTTTCGACCCTCGGCCGGACATCAGGTGCTCGGCCGGGTAGACTTGCATGCAAAAGTGAGGTACCCGCGGGGTTCCTGCGTGGTCCGCGTGGTTGGGTTGGCCCAAACGGGCCGAGGATCTCATCTGAAGCCACCACAACAGGGGAAGATCTGCTGTATCCGTTCTTGTAATGGTATGGTGCCGCAGATTGCACGGAGATTTGCTGCTGAGACAAATCTACATCTCTGGGAGCTTGGCAAAGAATCACATGACATTTGCTTTTTCACTTCACTCTTGATTTCCCATCGAGGCGCACCCAGTTGTCACTCAATATGGCCCGGGCATGATCATCACCTTGGTGGATGTTCGGAAACAAGAACTTAAGGAATGTTTTTGCCTGCCGGCGCATGTTTTTTTTCCTCTTCTCATAGCATACCCGGCGTACAATTCCCAAATGATTCCATGTTCACCATCGCACTTCGTTGTGGCCAACAAAAGTACTGGCTCGAAAACGCTCCGATAATCTGTGTTGTGGATCTCTTTTCACTCACTTTGAGAATTGTATGTGAGATGAAAACGATTAAAGATCTTCGAGATGCCCTACCTGCTTACCAAGGGATCACTATTTCCCTCGCCAGTTTGTCACCAACGTTGAAGCAGCATGTGGACCTCATGAAAGACATTGTCTTGAGTTCTTGGGAGGGGATCTGAGACCCATCACAGGCAAAGCTCAATGAGCCCCTGGAATCCTCAGAGCCTTATGAGCGAGCCGCTTTGGGAAATCCGCGCATATGTCTCAGACCCTGATTTTGAGCCAGTATGTTTTTGGTTTGGCTTCATCCCCGTCGGGTCGGCCGAGTCAGACATGGGATTCCGCACTGTTCGATACTGTCAACATCGGATTTCATGTGCCCGTCTGGGATACATGTTTCGAACATTCAACTCTTGAGACAGTGAACTTGCTAAACTGGTGATGGGGAATCTGTTTTCGAATCATTTTCGTGTCCCTAGAGCTCCATACTGACCATACTGATGATCTTGCTGGGTATTCTATCTTGTTGCAACTACATCTGGTTACTTGGGGCGTTAATCGCTCCTTGGTCTGCGACCATGGTGTTTGAATAACACCCCTTTCCTAAGACAGCATCGTTGCCGTCCCCATTCGATCTTGTCTCCGTGGATGTAAGTCACCTTGATTTCACGCTTTGCATATCGATACCAACAGTGAGCTGTAGATGCTGAAGAATTGGTGGTAGTGTGGCGGCATTAAGTGTCGAGACATGGCTTGAGTATCACAGCTGAGGTTTCAGTGCCGCAGCTAATATGATTGCGGTCGATGATAATAAACAGAAGACTTAGTATTGTGAGTTATATATATGAGAGTGCTGAAGAACCTGGACTTTGGACTGTGCCCCAACTTCGATATCGACAACAGCCTCCCTTGCGCATTGTCCAGTCTTCTTCTATGCGGCCCCCGGATACTATCGACCGGTTCACACACCTGACCTCACCAGACATCATGTACTCTCCTCCCTATTCGATCGGCGGCCACCGCAGTATCTCCCACGAGAACCGTTCTGTTTCCCGCGAGAATCGTTCCGTCGCCCGCCAAATCACCCGCCAACTCTCACAAGACAGAACTCCTCGCAACATGTCCCACGGCACCTCCCACAGAAGCTCCTCCCAGTCCTACGGCAACTCCAAAGATGCTTCGCGCAGCGACCCCCGCAGGCGATCCCATAGCATCTCCCACCAGGTCTCCCGCACAATTTCTCATGATCCTACCTGCGACATCTGCAACGACGCCACGTCTTGCCACAAGTGCAGACAAGGCTCCGTTGGCACTTCTCACAGCTCCTCCAGCGATGTCTCCCGAACCTTCTCCCACACCATACCGCAGAGCACCTCCTACACCACCTACAGCGGCGGTGACTCACGCATCGGCTCGGGCGACTTTTCCAAGAGCTTCTCTCAGAGCCTTCTCTATGGCGGCTCTTCGCACAAGGACCATGAAGGTCCCTCCAACGATGCCTCGAACGCGATGGCTGAGAGCTATTCACGCGACTTCCCACAGAGCACCTCATACGCCACTCGTGGAGGGAACTCCCATCACGACTCAACCGACTTCTCCCAGGGTAGACGTCAGAGCTCCCTTCAGAGCTTTCACAGGTCATCTTATGACGGTCATGGAGATGTTCCTAAGGCATTGAACTTTGCCCCCAAGAGTTCATCGCATATGGTTTCGGAGAGCTTTTCGCCCGACCTGCCTCAAAGTCCCTCCTGGGAGATTCGGACCGACTTCAATCCTCACGGCTCTGGCAACAACGATACTTCTCATGAAGCCTGCTGTGATATTTGCAGCGGAGGTTCCAGTAGTTCCTCCAATGAGGCATCTAACCACGTCACTCACGTCTCCCGCGATGGAGGTGGAGGTGGTGGAGGCGGCTTCTACGAGGACTGGAGTAATCACTCTCATCGACCGCAAAGCCCGACCCACGACAGGGCTCATAACATCTCTGGTATCATCGTCGGGGATAGGTCAGCCAAGGTGACCGGAGATGCACCCACACACAAGACCAGGGATGTCGACGGACCCACGAGCAACACATCCGGCAAAGTGTCCACCACGACGCACACCACCTCCAACAACGGGACCCCCAACGTTTCTGGCAACACCTCTACCCATGGGCACCCTAAGAGACATGATGGTCCCCATGGAGCCTCCAGAGACGTCACCAACAACAACTCTCGCGAGCAAACCGACGGAGGTCATGTTGTGCACCACAATCACGAGCATAGACCTAGTCCAAAAGGCTTTCTTCAAGGCATTACCGAGGATAGCGAGAGTACCAGAAGTCACAGCAATGAGTCTCACAGCCATCACCATCACCATTCTAAGCATAGCCACAGAGATGGTGGGCACAGCACTGTCTCGGATAACCCCGGTTCTGAGCGTAACAACACGGCCATCAGCCACCACAACGTCCCGGGCAGCAACACCCACGAGCATGGTCACGGTCACAATCATGGCAGTCACACCATCACCAACACTAGTAGGCAGAATGATACGACCAATAGCCGCAACGAGGTCCCCAGCAACAGCTCTAGCTCTCAGCGTGGACATACTCACGGTGGCCATACTATCATCAACAACAGCTCGACGACTAACGACACTACTAGAAGCGACAATGACGTCCCTGGCAACAACACCCGCCCTGACGGGCATAATCACAACTACACCAACACTGATACCAGCTCTTGGAACAAGGACACAACCAAGACCCATCACAATGTTCCGGGCAATGACCCAAGCCCTGATCATAGTCACGGTGGCTACACAGTCTTCACCAATAGCTCTGGTGAAGGTAAAGATAGACCGAGAAGCTATCAAATTGCCCCGGGCACCACCTCTATCTTGGAGCATGGGCACAACGGCAAAACCACCACGAGCACTAGCTCTGGGAATCCCAAAATCACAGGCAGCTACAAGGATATCACTGGAGACATCCCCCACTCCGGAAAACATCATCATACCCCAAGCACAGGTCTCAATGGCCATCCTCCTGTACTACACACGACAGAGCCTACTATCCCTCAGAAGCCATCTTCCCAAGGGCCTCCTCAGTTGGCACTACCTCGAGAAGTCCCTCAACCGGCAACTTCTCGCCCTTCAACTTCTAAAGGAGTACCTTCTCTACCACCAATTTCTCAATTGACAGCATCCCGAGAAGTCCCTCCTCAACCATCGACTTCAAACCCTTCAACTTCTCAAAGGGTACCTTCTCAACCGTTGGATTCTCAACCTCCAACTTCCCAAGTACCATCGTCTCAGGCGCCACCTCAAGCAGTCGCCATGCAAAGATCAACAGGACCTCCACCTCAAGGGCCGCCCCAAGAGCCTCCTACTCAGCCCCCAGCTCCTCGAGGACAGCCCCAAGGGTCCCCACCCCCAGGAACCTCCTCCCACTACGTTCCTGAGAAGGATCCCTTCAACAACGGCCCAACTTACAGTGAGACCAGCCATGACCACGGAGAATCAGACGAGCACCGCCGAGTAGGCAAACCCATCACCCGCCATGGCTGGCGACGCTTCCTCCACGGATGGATGATACACATCCCCGCCATTATCTTGACCGCCATCATCCTATGGCTTGCCTCGAGAGAACGCTACTGGTACGGCCTGACAGGCCCCAGCAGGGTCCGCCTGAGCCCCAAAGGCGTCGAGATTTTTCTTTTGTTTGCCTTCAAGATCTATGAGATCTTTGTCATTCTTTCACTTTCCTCCATGGCCATCAGCATGTTCCGCCGACGTCTCATTGGCGGCGGTGTACGTCTGGGCTTTTTCACCGGGGCCTACCGCGTCGGTGACTTTCGCTATATCTTCTCCCTGCCCTTTTGGCGCCACGGCCTCTTCAGTCTCTCCTTCTGGGAGATGATGCTCGCCCTCTTTGTTCTCTTCGCAACCATCTTCAGCCTCCTCTTATTGCCTGCCGCCGGCGCCTTGCTTCTCCCGTCACTCCAGTGGTACAGCATGAACCACAACAAGGCCTTCGGAGGCGTCAGCGCACCGCTCCTGTATCAGACGCAGCCCGACCAGGTATGGCCGACGCTCTTCACCGACGGCGCGCCCTGGAACAACACGCCAGTCTGCGTCGAGGCCGAGGGCATCTACAACGCCGCCTGTCCCGCCGGCGGGTTCACCACCGTCTGGAACTGGGCCAAGGGCTACTCCACGACCGGCCTGCAGGACACCGTCACCTTCTCCAGCCCCTCGACGAATCTCAGCCGTCAGCTGATGATCACCGAGGTCACCGCCGATGCTGACACGCGGGATCCGCCCGTCTTGTCGACCACCCCGTCCCACCACTTCAACATCAACTTCGGCCTGGTCAAGAACTACATTGAGAACGGAAACACAATCACTGAGGACGACTCTCAATACCGCCTCAGCACCCGACGAGTCAACGCCCAAAACCCGGAATCGAGCAGCCCAATCTACCAACCCTTCATCCAGTCGCTGTGCAACGTTGTCCCCAAGTCAGATGTCATCGCCAACAACGGCTCCCTGGTGTATCCGATATCATCCCTCAACTGCTTCGGCGACGCCACCTGTCTGCAGATGAAGCGCGCATCACCGGCCCGCTCCCTCGACGTGTCCGCCTGGGACTCGGAAGAATGCCACCTCCAGCTCATCACCACTGACTTCTTCGTCTTCCAGAACGGCACGCCCATCATCGAAGTCGCGTGTCAGCTCCCTGACGTCAACGGCGATTACCGCAAAGACCGTCTCTTTTCGTGCACAATGCTGGCAACCTGGGTTGCCGCCGACGTCTCGACCGACTCGAGCGAGTGCGGCGGGCTGGTATCTGACCTGAACGACCCCGAGGCCATGATCGAGACCTACCAGAAGACGTCTTTCAGCGGAAACACAGAGGGTTACGTGATGAAGTTCGACCCCAGCTGGTTCCAGTACCTCTCCCCAGTCTCCTTCGCATCGTCCGTCGCCTTCAACGGCTCCGACGCGTTGCGGTACTACAACCCGCCAGAGAGTCTCGTGCGCAACTTCGTCGACGCAGAGGTCGCGCAGAACATCACGAACCCCAGGATCACCAACAGCACCATCGACTCCGCGCGCGCCGAGGTGTTCCTGGCCAAGGTTTTCGGCGTGTACCTCACCGACGCCATCGCGCGTACCGGCTCGAGCAGCACGGCGCTGATACGCTCGGAGTCGGGTCAGTCGGCGAACCAACTCCCGGTGGTCAACTCCAACGTCCAGTCCAACGTCCATTTCAGCATCAAAGGGGGCACTCCCGCGAACGAGACCACCGGGCCGACGGTCGTGAAACACATTTCGGGCCGCGCCGCGCAAGACGACCTCCTCTCCGAGTCGATGGGCTTCGACTTTGGCGTCGAGAGGTACGGCTGGGGCACCGGCAAGCCGTCGCGGGCACTGGAGTTTGGGAAAGCTATCTTATACATGTACTTTGCCGTCCTAATTTTGTACCTGCTGACGGTTATTGGCGGTCTCATCTTGGAGCTTTGTGGCCTTTACCCGAACATGCGCGTGCTGAGCATCGTTCCCTGGTGGGATCTGCAGGGCTTGCTCGTCCTCGCGATGAAGACACCCCTGGCTGATGGGGACTTGGTGGATGCCGGAGCGGGAGTCACTTCGTCTCACGTTTGGAGGAAGAGGGTGAGAGCGATGGCGGACCTTGAGCACAATGTCCAGTTGGTGTTCAACGACGATACGGTCAGGGACGAGTTGGACAAGACTGGGAAAGTAAAATACTTCTAATTTCTTTTGCCGTATTGGATTTTCTATGTCTTCTTTTCAGCTTACCATTTAGTCAACTAAGCCCATGTTGTCAATGTTAATAAAGTCTTTGCTTTTGCAATGCTGAAATATCCTGTCGTGACCAATTGACTCGAGATCAGACTAGTTGGGATAGACTTCATAATGGGATGATTCCTTGGCCAATTTTCGTCATGGACGAGAACGACTACCCGGTGTCACAGGACCCCTGAGTTTTCCTCAGCTCCGAGTTGCAGCTCGAACCTGTTCTTCTGGTGCTAGGTCTAATAGCAGCTCTCAACTCCAATTCTTCTAAACAGACAATCTTTCTAAGTAAGAATAAGCTTCAGGCGTCCACAGGCCCTGCTAAATCTCTACTAGGGGGGTGGGTGTTACACAAAAGGAGACGACTCCTGATATTTCACGTTATACAAGGCATAGTACGAAGTGAGGAGCCGCTTAGTGAAGAAAATGCTTAAAAGAATGACGTCGAAATTTCGTCTCCCTTATAACAAGGCTTATATTTTGAGAACAAATATATCACGATAAATACAAAGGTGTGCATCGAAAAAGCGGTATTGGGGTAATCGATAGTCAATAAGAATACATAATCTCAAATCAGGGTAACAACAGCACGTTGAGCTTCAGGACCATACCAAACATCCGATTTCCAACCTGATACCTTTATAATGCCAATTCGCTGGTAGTGCGGAATTCGCATGGATTTCCCTAGCAAGCACCGTTGACTATCTTCTTTGCATGCTCTCAAGACGAGTTCAATAGTTCCTGGTGAGTTGTTGTAGGGATTTTCAGTAAACACCGTGGTACCAAGCAACATGTAGAGCGAGGGCTCGATGCCGCACTCGGCTAGGACGTTTCCACTATAATCCATATAGAGGTAGGTGCTCGACCAGTTAAACATATCTTGCATGGCGGAGGGGGAGAGGAATTGGGCTTGGACTGTGATAGTTGCGTGAAGGACGGCGCCGAAGGGTGCCTTATCAGAGACGAGAGTTTGGGTGCTGCTGATCATAACAGCGTCCTCTCTGAGACCGTATAACCAGCGACCAGAACGCTGATGGGTACACCAGGACCATGTGGGCGATTGCAAGACTGCCGAACGACCGCATTTCCTATATCTAGCCAGGGTTGCGGCCGGCGAAGAGGGCAGGTACGTGCCGGTGGTGAATCCGTCAGCTTTGACTGGGTTCAAAGTGGTGCATCCATCACGGCCCGTAGTGTATGGCAGGTAAGTTTTAATTGCGAACCCATCCCGATTGACTGCGTCTGGGTCGCGGACGTCCTGGTCGATTGGCAGGCTTCCTGGAACAGCCATCAGCAAGGGGGCTGGCAACCATGCTAATTGTGAGATGATGTAGGGTTTCCACAGCCCGGCCAAGTAATTTTCGGGGCCTATCGATGCTGCAAACTGTGTGGCTACACCAGCAATGGCCGGGAGACGGTCTTGCCAGACTGTAAGCTGACGCTCAGCATATTCCCAGGTGATATCGCGCCAAGCGAGAATCAGAGATGGGAGATCATTAGCGCCTGTCTCGCCATCTGATTGCGAGGCAGCTCTCAGACCTTTTTCTATCAGAGAATGCGCCAGGATACTTGGAAGAGTCGGACGAGGGAAACCACCAATGACCGTCCCTGTTATAGTCCACCAGTTGTGGAAGCTGTTGATCTCGCGGTCCCGACCTTCAAAGCTTCCAGTTTTGTCGAATGCGAACATAACGCTATGCGAGCTTGTCGTGCACTTATAACCCATGCTCTCAGAGTGGAAGGTAAGAAGACGGCGGCTCAGCGTTGATTCCTGAAAAGCCCAGCACCGGGACCGTAGGGGTTCAGGTCGTGCTAGCTGCTCCAATTCATCCCAGCCCCCTGCCCCGATCATCACTTTCCCACTGCGTCCATTTGGAAGATTCATGTCGAAGGCAGGCGACCGCCTGACAGGCCATTCGTGTAGGAATCCCTGCTCGACTCCGTGGCTAGCCTCCGCTGCGATAACGAGGAGCCAAGCGTCACGATAGATCTTGCCCATATGGGTGATCTCGTCGATTTTGTCGCGATCTTGGACAATGCACAGCGCATCAACCCAGACATACTTGATGCCCAACGCCCGCACAAAGGTTATAGCGTCACGGATGGATTTTCCTAGAGACTTGACGGAGATGGCGGCCAGATGGTCCGCAAGGTTGCTGCATGTTGTGGTGACCTTCTGAGGGCCCCCCCAAACATAGCCAAGAGCCACGTAGTTGCCCAGCTCGCCTTTCTTTGTTTGGTACAGCCTTACATCCTCATCACCCAGATCTTCGTTCTGTACTTGGATGAGACGTTTCGGTAAGGGTTGGGGTCGAGGAGCACACGATTGACCGGCTTCACAACATCTAGATATAGCAGTGTTGATCTTGGAAGCCCAGCCTCTGATATCGAGTTCCGCCGTCTGCGCGAGGAACCTTTCAGCCTCATCACCTAATGAATCATGTTAGCCTTTCATCTCTGCATCTGAAAAGGTCTGACTTTTGACTGGGCTAACCCTTATCCGTGAATAGAACACGCTGCCTGGTCCGGAAATCCGCTTGAGCAATACATTCTCCAAAGGATGCCGTGGTGGTGAGCCTTGTCCATCAACGGCATCTGTACTCGTCGGTTGAGTACGTTCATATTCGAACTTGAGGCGAGTACCAGGGTTCTCGATCCCGAAGAAGATACACAGCCTACAGCAAGGCTGTGGTTGCGACTCAAATCTCGGATCATAGCTGCATGTCGAGTTCAAGACGCACCCTTCCTCAGAATGCAGTTGTGCGAGGTTGTCGGTCAAGGAGAATAGATTCTTCCACCCATCACAGTAGTTAAGCGGATATTCTAGACGGAGGAGCTCGATGAGGTTTGCGCCCTCCGCAGGAGTGTCAGCGCTTCTGTGTGTGCATGCAGGCAAGCCGGCGTAGTTAGACATGATGAGGTGTGCCTAGTAGTTAAACAGGTATGAGATAGCGGGTTGACCGCATGCAACGAATGCTTGACCCGATCACAATACAATGGAATGAGGAGTGAGCCTTGGGCAATAGGGGAGAAGAAAAAAAGACCTTGACGGAGCGGAGTGACCGCGTGTATTTTATAGAATTGTGTGCTGCAGTCAAAAATGATGCAGGACCACAGGCTACAAGAGCCTGAATTACCTTGGCACAAACAGGCGAGAAATCTGAGCGAGGAAGTACGGAGCTATGTGAGCAGATACGGCTAGTAGCACCAGCAAGGCCTGCGAAACGGCGCCCCCCGTAACGCAAGTAAACTTGTCAAGCTCAATCAATCAACCAATCAATTGTGAAGTTATTGCTCGGCAATCAAGTCAATTATGAGGCCTAAACTTGATTGATGGATGACCTTATGGAGGGGCGCTGCTGCGAAATGTCATCCAAATTGAGGTAGCCTCAGAAGCTTTCAGATTCATATTACCTGCGAGATGGGTAGCAAGGCTGATTTTGAAGTCACCTCGCGGTCTTGATGTGCCTCGTACGGTTTCACCACTACGTCAGACAAGGCATTTTTGGGTACTCATTCAACATGATGGTTCGTGTGTTTGTACGTCTTGTCGCTTAAAGGTTCCTTCTGTAGCTAGTTGTATCCCGAAGACCGTTGTTTGCCATCATTGGCAAGAACACCAACCAATGAGAAGGCGGAACAATTTCTAACAGTGGCTGCGTTTCAATTTTGAAATGCAATTCAGCCATCATCCGGCTGAACCCGATGGGTCTAAAGAAAAGGCGTGGGGCAGGCAGTAACTGGCTGTGCTGGAGGCTACCTGGTTGTGCTCTAGGAAGATAGGATGTATGAAAATAGGAATGAAAAAAACCATAAAGATAAAAAAATGAAGAAAAAAAACTTCACGATGTGTTGGCCGAGCTACCAAAAAGGCCTCAGGCCAATCGGCAGGCGGCGCGATCCAATGGGCCGGGATCGGAAAGAATACCCACAAACACGGAATTGGGCACACCAGCAAAGCCCGCGTATCCCGCGCGCTCCCTGTCGCCTGTCCCCCGGGAAGACCGACCGGCCAAGACCGTGTGCGCTGGCTTTTTTTTGGTTTTCATCGGCGCAAGGAGCCGGATCGGGGCAAGCCGAGTCGGTGACGCAATTTTGCGTGCCTCACCGGTGGGAGGTCTCAGTCTGCAGTGCCTCGGAAAAGGCGTTGGGCGGATGTATTTTGAACCTTTGTGGAGTTAGCAATGCAGACGTTGGACAGGTGTTAAGGGGTAGCTGGATGTTGTGTGAAATCATGCCACCGTTGACCAAGCATAATGTTGATTCATCAGCCAGACCGAGGTGAACGAGATAAGGTCCAGGGGCGAAAAAAGAAGGAGGGAGAAGGAGGGGTCCCGCATTCCGTCACCCCACCTTCACCACCAAACTTTATATCATGGCCCTGCCCAGCCAACCCGGAGCTCAGCCGGCCAGCTCTCAGACGTCACTCAGCCAAGCTTAATCTCAACCTCACTCACTCAACTTCATTCAACCTCATCTGCACCATCTTCACTCATACAACCTCACATTCAATCCTACCAAAAGCCCACAACCACAAACATGGCCACACCAGCACCCCCCGCCGAGATGCGCCGCTGGCAGATTCCCGCCTCCGGCACCTTCATCCAGTCCCTCGCCCTCACCACCGTGCCCACCCCGTCCGCCACCGACCTCAAGCCCTCGCAGGTCCTCGTCCGCGTCGCCGCCGCCGGCATCAACCCCGCCGACTACAAATTCCCCGACCTCGGCCTCGTTGCCAAGGCCATGATCTCCTTCCCCAAGTCCCCTGGCATGGACGTCGCCGGCACCGCCGTCGCCGTCGGCTCCGACATCACCGACATCCAGCCCGGCGACCCCGTCCTCGGCCGCCTCGACCCCCTCGGGCCCCAGGGCACTCTCTCCGAGTACATCCTCGCCGAGCGCGACGGCTGCGCCCGCCTGCCCACCGCCTCCGGCGCGCCAGACTTCGACCAGGCCGCCGCCGTCGGCACCGCCGCCCTGACCGCCTACCAGACCATCGCGCCCTACGTCCAGCGCGGCGACAAGGTCTTCATCAACGGCGGCTCCGGCGGCACGGGAACCTACGGCATCCAGATCGCAAAGGCCCTCGGCTGCCACGTCACCGTCTCCTGCTCGACCCCCAAGATCCCGCTGTGCAAGTCCCTCGGCGCCGACGAGGTCATCGACTACAAGACCGCCGACGTCGTCGCCGCCCTCAAGGCCCAGGGCAAGGTCTTCGCCCTCGTCGTCGACAACGTCGGCAACGCCCCGCCAAACCTGTACAAGGCGGCCGACGACTTCCTGCTGCCCGACGGCCGCTTCAAGTTCGTCGGCGGCGCCGTCTCCTTCGCGCAGGTCAAGTCGCTCGTGCCGAGCATGTTCCTCCCCGGGTTCCTGGGGGGTGCCAAGCACCGCTTCGAGGCGTTCATGACCAAGAACTCGCACCCGGACCTGGCGCAGATCGCGGCGTGGATGGCCGAGGGCAAGGTCAAGAGCGTCATCGACTCGGCGTTCGAGTTTGAGGATGCGGTGAAGGCGTATGAGAAGCTGAAGGAGGGCAGGGCGGCGGGTAAGATTGTCGTGAGGGTATCTACGAAGGCGTGAGCATGTTTTTCATGTGTGATGTTATGTGAAGGAAACAAAAAGGGTGAGATGGATGCTTGGGAATAGGACTTCTGGCGTTGTTTTGCCTCCCGATTGGAATTGCCATAGGATTTTGCTATATCTTCGTTCAAATTAAAAAGTTATCATAAAACAACAATGTGAGGGTTTACAAAAAGCTACCCCATTTGCCATGTTGGGAGTGTGAATTGAGTTGACTTGGCCGTCAGCGCTAATGTAGGCACGCCGCCGGAGGGACCCGGAGCAAGCCGGCGACGACGACTCAATCCCTCCCCCTCGCGCTTGCTTCCGATAAAGCACGAGCCAGCCCGTCACTCTACTGGTTCATCTCATCCTCCGACTGACAGCAGGATTTCGGCGCTGTCAAACGTCTGTGTCGAGACATTTCTCGCTGACAGCTCCATCTAAGGCAAACGGCCACCGTTGGGCACGTTTTGCTCCGATACGCCACACAAAAGCCAGGGAGAATCGCATAATCTAAGTCTACATCTCCGAGACACCGTTTTGCTTTTTCCATGTACGGCGTAGATTTGCATGTGATGTCGTGATTCTGGCGGTGAGACTGGCCCAGCGCAGGTTCAACGGGTTACATTCGTAGCAATTGGTTGAAATGCTGGGTAAAGGGGAGGGGCCGGCAAGATCTATAATCAGGAAGGCTCGAGACCGGCTCCTAGAAATCAAAACCAGGAACCAAGGTTGGAGACTGGTTCATCAAGCATCAAATCATTCACATTGTACACGTCGTGTTGCCAAATTCTTCATTGGCTACTACCTCCCTTTTCCAAGGAGTTCAATCTCAATATCAGCCCTCCATTGGGCAACGACCAACCTCCCGCCGAGTCCAAATCCGTCGTCTGTCAATAAGCGTTTTCAAGGCCGTATGCCATCCGCCACCGGCGATCATTCTTCGAGCAAGCCTAATTAGACCTCCCCATTGCGAAAAAGAAAACAAAAAACACAGTTCCGTTGCGGCCGGTGACCATCCGAAAGTGTTTCCCCTCCCTGATTCTTTTTTGATAGATCGTACACACGCTCAAAGACCATACACAGAGTAATGAGTAGAGAGAAGAAAGTTTTCCCTGTAGAGAGAGAGAATGCATGAATTATCCTTGCCGCCCGCAGTAAAACCGTCCACGGGCCCAAAGAGATTCGTTTGCCGACAAAACCGCAAATCACAACGTGCCGGGGCACCCAGGTCACGGCCACTCAATCCTATCGCTGGGGACCTGAGGGACCAGTGTGCGACTGAGTTGGCCGACGACCACTACCTCTCTAGTGGTAGTTTCCGCCCCAGCCGCCGCGCGCCTGCTGGTTGTTGCTGCCGTAGTATCCACTGCCGTAGCCGCCCTGGCCGTAGGATCCAAACGGAGCAGCGCTGCCGTGCTGTCCACTGGTGGCACCGCCCATGCCGTAGCCACTGTTTCCGTGGAGGTTGTGGCCCTGGAGGTGGCTGGGGTAGCCTCCGTAGCCGCCCATCTGGGAGGCGGACTGAGGAGGAGGCAGACCAGACTGACCGGGGGTGTTGTTGGTGGCCGAACCAGGACGAGCGCCGCCGAGCGAAGGTGAAGGGCCGGAGCCGGGCTTGCTGTCGCCGAAGGGCTTCAAGTCATCGCCGGCGGAGGCAGCGTTAGACTGTGCGGTGCTGTTAAAGCCTTGTCCACCAGGCGACTGGAAGGAAGAGCCTCGGCCGCCGAAGCTGTCCTGCATGCCGCCGAAGCCGCTGGCGCCGGCCAGACCAGGCTGATTACCAGACTGGGCAGAGCCAGCGCGGGCACCGAAATCGCTGCCTAGACCAGAGGCCAGACCGCTATCCGCACGGTGCAAAGAGGACTGGCCGAATCCACCGGCAGGAGAGGAAGCGTGGTCATAAGGGCCCTGGGGCGACATTCCGTAGGGGTGGCCGTAGCCCTTGCCGTAAGGGGCGCCGCCGTATCCCTGCTGGCCGTAGTGGCCGTAGTTCATGTAGTTGGAGTAGTAAGCGTTGTTGTAGTAGGGGTGGCTGTTGTAAGGGTAGCCCTGCTGGCCGTGAGACTGAGGCTGGGAAGCTTGGCTGGCCTGCTGTTGGCTCTGAGCCGTGGGGTTCGGGGTGGTGTGGCCACTGTTCTGGGCATCGCTCGTGACACCTCCGTAGCGAGACTGGTTCTGGACGCCGCCGCTCTGGGGGTATTGGCTGAGGTTATCAGCCTGCTGCGATGCATTGTAGCCTCCGAAACCTCTCTGCTGCTGGGAGGAGAGGCTGTCCTGGTGACCCTGAGCACCTTGCTGGCCGTAAGGCTGGTTGTAGTAGTTGTAGGGGGGTCGGCTTTGTTGGTCGGCAGTGTAGTAGTTGGAGTATTCGCTGGGCGCAGAGCTGAAGGCTCCACCAGGCTGCTGGTTCTGCTGTTGCGATTGGGTGGGGAAGCTGTCGAATTGGCTCTGGGTGGCAGAGGGGTTCGACTGGGTGAAGGGATCGATGGGCTTCTGTTGGAAGCCAGCGGGCTCCTGAGAGCCAGCCTGGCCGAAGCGCGAGTAAGACTGCTGCTGAGCAGCGGGCTGAGGAGCTGGCTGGGTGTAAGTGACTGATGAACGAAGCTGCGATTCTATCATGTTCTTAAACATACTCTGGTTGGAAGCAGGAGGCTGAGGAGCGGCGCTAGCAGGGCCTACGGGGATATTAGCATTAATGGGGACAGGGGTTGTCGATATGTCAATACCAGTGGGCGTAGCGGCGGCCGCGGGGGGCAGGCCAGGAGCGGGCTTCTGGGTGCCAATGGCCTCGGGAACCGGAGCTTGTTGGGGAGCGGGGGGAAGAGAGGTTCGGGGGTGGGCGACGGGGGAGTCGGCGGGGGGCTGAGTTCTGGTCTCGGGCTCTTCGCGGTCACCATCGATGTCGTCCTCGTCGTTAAGGCTGAAGGCACCGAACTGGACAGCAGCGCGGTCTACCTCGCGGTTGCCAGGCATGCGCACAGCCTCCTCCTGGTCCAGAACACGGCGCTGGTAGCTCGGGGTACGAGAGCCCCTCTCGGTGGTGGCCTTGATGGCTGAAGCAGCAAAGCCGCTGTTAGCAGTGGGGACAGCAGGGCGGATGGGCTGGTGTTGCTGCTGCGAGGCAGACAGAGGGGTCGCGGTCGCGCTGGCGGCAGCTTGGCGGGGATCCCAAGAGTCGGCGGTCGTGCTGGCAACGGTAGCAGTCGCGGGTGGATGCGATTCGTCGACTACCTGTTCAAGATTCGTCTCAGTGAGTTGGTCCTTGGAAGGCGGCAAAACCACTTCGGGTTCAATGACGGTTGGTACTTCTGCAGGAGCTGGTTCTTCATGTTGAACGGGTTCGGCGGCGGGGAGTTCAGCGATAGGCTCCGGCTGCGGCTCAGGCTCGGGCTCGGGCGCGGGTGTAGGCTCTTCAGCAGGAGCCACGGGAGGCGGAGACTCGATGGGTTCGGCAGGCTTAGGTGCGGGCTCCTCCTTGGGGGGCTTCGGGGCGGCCTTGGGAGCGGTCGACTGACGGAGCATGCTGGCCCACGTCTTGGGGATAGGAGCGGCGGGCTTGGCGGCCTCGGGTGCAGCAGCAGGAGCGGGAGCGGCGGCGGGCTTCTCGATGGTCTCCTTGGGGGCCCAGGGGTCCTCGGCGGCGGGGGCCTCCTTGGCCTCGGAGGGAGTGTTCCATGCGTTCGACTCCTCAGTAGGGACGGACAACGGCTGAGCATTCTCCTTGGTGTGGCGGGTACCATTGGTGGCTGCCGAAGCTCTGCCACGGCCACCGCGAGTGCCTCCTCTTTCAGTGTTCCTGCCGCGGCCGCGACCAGCGTCCGACACGTTGCGTCCGCCTCTAGCGGGTCTGGCATTGGATGAGTCGATGATGGGGTTGGCAGTCGAGGGGTCCTTGGCCTTGGAGCGGGGGGCCTTCTTTGTGACCTCACCCCATTGGGAGATGGTGCCTGGAGTCGAGAAAAATTAGCAAAGAAAGACCAGATGCGAAAGCAGGTTCAGCGAGGTGGAATGGGGGATAAGCGCGAGGGCAATTGCGCAAGGCTGAAGATGACAGCCTGACGGGGCAGGGGGGGGGGGGGGGGGGGTGATATGTGCGCATGATGGTGAGCGGCGGCGGTGCGTACGTACCTTCAGCAATGCGGGTGACGGCGAGGTTCTCGTCGCCATCTGTCTCTTGGAGAGCATAGAGAATGTCCTGCTCAGACCAGTCGGGGAACAGCTCCTTGATAAGAGGGGTCTTGCTGCCGTATTGCTTCTTCAGCTCGCCGAGCTCGCCTTGGTCCTCAAACGCAGTCGCATCGTCGGTGTCCTTGTGGTCGAACTTATCGCCATTGGTTCTGCCTTGGGTGCGGCCACCTCGACTGGCGAATCCACCTCTTCCACCGCGACCAGAACCTCTGCCGCGCGAGGCGGCAGTCCGAGTCTGTACCTCAGACATTGCTGGGTTGTGATTGTTTTGTGAGGTTGGGTTGTTGGAGGATTTTTTTTTCCAGGAGTGGAAAAATGGGAGTCAATTAATGCCGGCCGGTATCGACACGACAGCTCTGGTGGGGGGCGAAAGTTCAGCGGAACTCAGGCCGATGTGAAGAAGGAAGAGAAAAAAACGGAAAAGAAAAAGGTGCCGCAAAATGGGGGGTTCGACGACGACGTCGTGGTCGTGGCTGACGGTAGACGAGACAGGTGAGGATTTGGTGGTGGTGGTGGTGTAGGTGGGAGAAAGTGAGGTGGATGATGGATGAATGTGGAATGTTGTGCAAAGCAGCCAACTGGGTGCAAGGTCACAGGTGCTGGTGGTGCGGTGCACTGGGCTACGGTACCAGCTTTGCTGCTGTCTGCTTGGAAAGGGAGGTTTTTTCCCGTCCAGGCTGCTGCCAGCACTGTGAGGTGGATGATGCCCAGGGAAGGGAGATCCAGGCAGGCAGGCACCTCTGATGGTTGGTGTCGGTACCTTCGCAGCTCAGTGGCCAACGTCAGTGGTAGCAGCAGCGTCAGCGAGGTGAGGTGGCCTGTGGAAGTGGACCACCAGCGAGGTCGATGCCCTGCAAACTGTGGAGAGAACCAACTGGCCCCCGGGAAAAGGTACTTGCCGCTCTCTTGTTGCGTCCCGTCCAGGGCAGTTGCTGATGCTTTTTTCCCACTGCTCCTGCTTCTTTTTTGCTTGCTCCTCCCTCAGCGTCGTCTCCTCCAGTCAGGCTAAGGTTTTTGGGGCCCGAGCGACCGCCTGCAGCGAATGACGCCCCCCTTGCTCCGGATACGGCTAGCGCGGCTTGCATTTTGCGGGCTTATGCAGATCCACTGCCTCAATCGACAGGCTGAGTGGAGGTACCGCTACCTGTCTTTGCCACTGACGAGACGCCAGATGGCAAGTAGCCGCACGTACTTATACTGGATTGTGCAGTCGCTTGCCTGGCTACCTAAGGCAGGTACCTCCGTACCTTCTCACTGGTTCCTGACTTTTTGGGGGTGGCCTCCACTCCACTCTTCTTGCTCTTTCCCTTGCCTGCCTGAATCTCGCCTTGAGCCCTGCTATTCGCCGTGCGGGAGGATGAGGTAAGAAGGCGACACAGTCACGCACCTTGCAGAAAGGGACAGCGAGAGACTCGGACATTCGTTGAGTGAGCACTCTGTCCTACGGCTAGTTTAAGTCAGAAGCTCAGCTCCATCTCAGCTCGGAGCAGGAGTTGGAGCAACCCGCCACGGTCACCCTGAAGCAAGAGGGTCTCATCTAGCGAAATGCGGCAACAGAGAGAGACGGAAACGATCAAAGAAATCGGTCTAGCCGTCACAATCATTCAGGTTGCGACAACAAGCAGAGCAGCAAACATGCACAGCAACCGGCACCAAGAATGTTGCAAGCTCCGGGCGACTGGAGATGAGTACTTCTAGAAGATGGCCCAGCCGTCAATTGAATTTAACCATGAATGCCATTGTTTCCAATGCTGCCTGCCAGTACGGATATCTCCCGCCGGTCTGCTGCATCGGCCGAGACGGGAGAACAAGAGCTTGCTTTCCCTGTGCCTGTGTGCTGCTTCCAGCCCAGCTCCAGGCAAGCTTGTCACTGCGTCGTCCGTGTCGCGTAGTGTCGTGTCGTCCCTTAATTCTGATGCCATGCCATGCCATGCTATGCTCAGCTCGCGGTTCCCTCCCGTATTGACTCTCGCAGCTCCAGCGCCTCCCCGGCTGCTCTTGTGTCATATGTCCCGAGGCCTGGTGCGTTTCTCGGGCACGAGGCTGTATTCGTCACCCAGTGCCACCAACCCCTGGCCAATACCCAAGCTGGATGGGAGATTCGTGCGATTCTCGACGTAGGGGGGGCTCGGGAGCTGGCGAGAGGTAGCCGGTACAAGTCAGATCTGGAGTTGCATTGGCAGGACGCGCTGGCAATGGCTGGCCTCGCGTGCTTTGAATCATGGATCTGGGCCTCGTGACATGTACACGGGACAAAACAGGAAAAAACAGCGTCACAGTCTCCATCCACTCAGGCTTTTCCAGCCCTGGCCAAGAAACGTGAGAGGTCTTGACCCCAGTGGCGGCCTCGGTACGTACCGGACGTGGGAGCTCTTTCTCTGCCGTGGCAGCGTGGGCGGGCTGCTGTCAGATCCAGCCTGGGCTTGCTGGGCTGGACTGCCAGCTCAGATGCTGCTGCCTCAGGTATCCCTAGCCGAACTCCGCACTTTCAATGTCATGTGACCCGTTAGTGGCATGACTGTGCCTGGCTCCGCGACCGACATCACTCCACAGCAAGACGATGATGCGTATCTGACCCCGAACCTAACGGCCTCGTGCACATCACATACCACCCACCGCCTATCTCGTCCACGCCTCGCCAGCGCCCCGACGACTCCGACACAGACAGTCTCGACGGCTGGAATTCTAAACATCACTCGAAAAGGCCACCAGCGCCGAAACGCTGCGCATCCGCAGACCCAGAATCGAAGCACCCCACCATGTTCACCACAAAGCCTCTGAGCTCCTTCAAGAAGGCCATCTCGTCTATCCACCAACCCCTGCCTCTCTCTACGCGGGAGTCGCAAAAGCTGCTCAATGTTCTAAAGACATCATTCCGTCAGAACCTCGACAAGGAGCATGGCTGGACTCCCGAGACCGCCGAGTCATCGGCTTCGCAGACGACAGCCAACAAGCCTACATCTCACAACGCCCACCACCGCCCGACAGACCGACATCTTCGAACAATCCTTTCCAACCCCCTCTTCAAGAACAGCGAGAAGCCCGTCAAGTTGCCGCTGACATCGCCGAGAGATCCCATGGACGTATTTGAAGAAGCTGCGGCGAGGGGCATGATGACGAGGAAGGCCGCGACTGGCTGTCTACGAGCGACGCGCAAACAGATCCTGGAATCCAGTGTCATCTCACTCCACGACGCCATGGCAGACTCCATGGCAGGATCACAGGTGCTCCAATGGCTGAGGTCGTCTGGCCAGGAGCGGACGTTGGAGTTCCTCGCAGACAAGCCCTTTGTCTTTGAGCTATCGCAATTTCTGGTCGCCGAGGGATTGGAAGAAGTGCTGTGGGCGTGGGCAGAGCGGATGGTGCGGAGTGAAGGCCCAGAAGATCCGAACAGCATCATCGTTGGTTCGTTGGTGGCCAACCTGGTCAAGGCCAAGTCCAACATGTACGACGAGAGTCTCGACACAGCCTACTCCGCCATGCTCAGAGCCGATCAGACATTTAAGACGGACGCTCAGAGACGCAACATCCTTCTTGCGCCATGGCATGTTCTTTCCTGGCGGTCGACTGTTGAGGCCTGGAAGAGGCCATTGCCGTCTGCCGCCTTGTTCGAGTCTTTCGTCGGCACTGCCAACCACATCCACAGACCGCTCAAGATTGACCGCGCACATCTTGACCTCCACCACCCAGTAAACCCCAGCCACCAACGAGCTGTTGGCTTTCTTGAGGGCTTGCAGGCAAATGACAAACTGGCTCAGCTTTATGCGGCAAACAACCTCGGTTCGAGGGTTATCTGCATGGGCATGGACGCTGTCAGCCACCTTACGCGCCTAGGCCGGGCAGATGAAGCAGAGTCAGTCCTCCGTATCCTGCAGTCTAAATTTGCAGAAGAGGTATGGCAGGAACGTCCTAGACATGCACTCCGGGCGTACCCAGTTTGAAGGCATTCCTTTACGGATCACGCATGATAACGTCATTGGAGTCCCGCAAGACCTGGGCCAGACCCTCATGAGTCGAGGCGTCTAGCTTGTGACATGAACCGGACTCGACATTGCCAACTGAATATAAGCTACTCATCTGTGGGGCTGTTCGAAACGAAGCACCCGAACGGACAAGCTGGACTCTTCCCCAAAGATGAGAGGGTATCGAATACCAACATGGTACAGATACAGGCTACGAATTGCGAGGACGCATATCGCCGCTGTCTATGTGCAAGGCGTCACGCCAAAGTAGCTACAAGCTCCCATGGAGCATGTGTGCACACACGCTTTTTTTGATTAATGAGATACCCGAAATATAACGTCAAACATTCACCACATTCCTCACAATTAAACGTGACTTGGGCTCACCCAGCGTATGATTTCTGTCGGTACTCTGAATTATCTATACAAAACTCTTAACATCTTCTCCCCAGCTCCTCAGACCGTCCACACGAACTGGCTCAGCGTTGCCGCCGTGTCCAGCTCTTTGAATGCCTGACCCGCGTTGTTGACGAGCTTATCTTGTTTCAACAAACGTCTGCCTTCTCTGCTGCCGACCTTCTGATCGACGGACTCAAGAACCACCTCCGTGGCTAAGCGTGAGAGATGAAGGGGGTGACCCCACACGTATCGTGGTAAGCCCATTGCCCGAAAGCCTTGACCCAACTCGTCCTCGCTGAGCTGCCCAAATGTCTTCATGAAGTTGGCGCAGTACATAAAGATCCCGAAAAAGTTGAGGCGGGAGATTGGGGCCTTCCCCTCCAACTCTGGGATAACCTTGCCCTTCGCTCGCTCCATGTACTCGGCCAGCGTTCGCTCCCGGTGCGTGTCGCGAATGTTTCTGTCTTTCTTCCTATCCGGCCTACACTTCCAGCACCTCTGTTTCTTGCAGGGCACTACGCCGTGTACCTCTCCAAGCCAGTCAAGACCCTCGGAATGCGACTGGCGATGTTGATTCAGCAACCACATGATATGCTGCCCTCTCAGGGGCTTGGACGTGAAGCCGTACTGCACGCGTGCTTGCGTTTTATTGATGCCGCAGTTGAATACGGTGCGGCGGAATGTGGAAGCGAAGTTTCGGTCCGGACGGGCACCCCGAAAGGTGTCTTGTGCCAGTATGTCAGCGAGCTCGTCTAGGAGAGGGATCTTCTTGACTCGCAGAATGTCAACTCGGCGCATCGCGTTGTAAAGGTGGAGGGTGGAGTTGACGATGGCCCAATCCCAGCAAAGATTGGCGCCGTGGACGGAAGCCTGGGTCAGCAACTCCGTCAAGTGGTTGCCCACTGTCCATGCAGAGCCATGATACTTATCGAAGGCACGCTCGCTGGCGAGGGCAGTCAGGCCGTCGCGGAAGTTCTCGAGGTAATCCGCAGCTTGCGACCAATCCGCGAAGTTGTTCATGCTCTTCAGGAATTCGAGGACCGGGTCGACAGCGGAACGCATCTCCAGTGCGAGGCGGACGGGTCTCAGCCGGCACTTGGCTGGGCTCAGACGACCTTGGGTCACCGAGGCAGCCAGCATGAAGAGGTCCATGGCGATGACCAGATTTCCGGGCGCGGTGTGCTTCATCTCTCTGAAAAGGGGTAGCGCGAAATCGAAAAGAGGTTCGCTGTGGGTAACCCGCGTCTCATTTCGATACTGCTTCAGCTGCTCAAGTTGCGCAATGCCTCGGGTGCCCATGAAGTCGGCCTTGAGAAGGTCGAGGATCTCTCTCAGGTGAGTCTCATCCTCTTGCGGCAATCGAGGGTCCTGGTCCTGTTCCCGGTCCTTGGCCTTCGTATCACGGCGACCGGTTCTGACGTGACCCGTGGAGGGGTCGGAAGACACGAACATCATCATGAGGGTGTTGATGTCGGGGAGTTCTGAGCCGTATTCATTCATGGCCTTCGCGAGAGTGTATATGCGTGTGGCGCAAGCGATGTTGTTGGCGGCGGCCTCGGCGGACGGGGACATATTGACAATGATAACCTTGATACCCGGGCAATCGGGGCACGTCTTACACTTGGTCGAGACGCTCTCACAAAGGTTGATGAAGCAGCGTGGCATATCCTTGGAGATGGCGTGCGCGGCGAGGGACGTCAACCATGCGGCCACAGGGAGGGGGAGCTTGTCGTTGGCGGCGTCGTGCCAGTATCCCTCAACTTGGGAGTAAACGTTGCCCAATTCCTGGGAGCAAGGTCAGTGGGTGTAAGACGAATGGAGAGAGGGCAGTCTTCGTACGAGAAGGAAGTTGGCGGCCTCATAGAACAGGCGGATCGCATCGTCCTCCAGCACGAAGTCGGACTCGTCAGCGTCGGGAGCCGGGGGGGCAGATGCAGGGGCCGTCTCGTTCTCCGACTCTGAGTGGCACATGTGCTCATCGATGCCAGTCTCGGAAGCATCGTCCTCGATGTCCTCGACTGTGGCGGCCAGGGGCGCGAAGGCGTTGGCCGTGGTGACGTTATTTTCGGACTCATCGACATGAGAGGAGGAAGAAGAAATTGCGGAAGCGGTCGTCAACGACGAAAGGATGTCAAGAGTACTCTCCAGTCTGTTCAATTGTCAGTTCTATTGAACCAAAGATCGATGGCTGGTAAGCTTCACCTCTGACAAAACACCGCATGGCCCGGATCACCGGCGCCGTTCTTCTGATAGATGTTGTATACCTGCTTGCGCTTCGTGATCGCGGTTCGAAGGGAACTTAGGATAGACTTCGGGACGACGGAACGAGCCTCCTTGACAACCCGTGCCGCGGCGAGTATGTCTCCCGTCGTAGTGAACTTCTTGGTGGCGGGATTCTCAAGCCTAGCCTGGCACAAGAGCCACTGCATAAAGAAGTTCGTGGAGGATTTGTAGTCCCGGCACAACTCCGAGACAGAGCTGTCGAGAGTGGGCGCCATCTTGTGATGTTGATGGCGGTGTTTGGGTTATTGGTTGTGATGAAGGAGGTCTGGATGTGAAGGGGTTTGCGGAAGGGAAGTGGTGTGTGAAGAGGGTTTGTTTGAAGGAAGCAGACGTTCCTGAATTTGTTTATTTTGGAAATGGGTGGGTGGGATCTGGATTTGTTTTGTCGAGTCGCCAGTGAAAGATTCTGCAGTGAGGGAGACGTGGGAGTGGGAGGTGTGTGGCTTGTAGGCGTGGTCTTTCACGCGGCTTCATCTCTCGAGCCTTTGAGATGGGGACAGGCATGGGGCACGATGTGATGTTTCATGGCACAGCTATGGAACAAGGCATTGTTCTTGAGATGCCCTGTAAGATGGCCTACATGCGAGAAGTGTAAGTACGTTTTCAAGATGGTGGTGTAAAAAAAGAGCAACCACAAGTAAGTAATTCAACATTCAACAATGGAAGCAGAGTTTTATCCCAATTATTCTACTATCTCCGTTGTTCTCGTTGTTCCTCTCGTCCCTCTCGTCCTTCGGATGTCCCACACTCAAGCTTAAGAAGTAGATAGGCTTCAGCCCAATGAGCCTTCTAACCGGTCGTGTCCTTCACGCGAGATCCCAAAGAAATCTCGTGAGCTCCGCATCTTCTGGCTTCCTGCCCTCCTTCATATCTTTAAACATTTTCACTGCACTCTGGAGGAGTGGGTGTCCCTTTAAATGTACCTGCTCTCTCCTGGTGCCATTGAAGTTGAGGTCAATCTGCTCCAGTGTTTCTTCGACAGCAAAACGACTCAGTTCCAGCCCATATTCCATGTCACTTGTCCATAACCTCTGCTTGGTGTACTCCACCTTTAGACGTCCCTTGACTCTTTTGGCGAATTCATCCAGCATCTGGGAATACGCTTGAAACAGCTTCAGAAAGTTGAGGCGCGACGAGGGACTGTCTTCGGAAAGCTCTGCAGCCGCTGCATCCCGAGCTTTGGCGGTGTACTCGGAAAGCGTGGTCTTTTCGTATTCTCTGCGGACCTTTTCGATCTTGTATTCCCATGCTTTGGACTTGTGTTGCGCGCAGTTTTCATCGCCGCAGTCGTATGCTATTGGGACGGGGTTCTTGTAAACCCTGGTGAGGAAAACGGGATTCCGGCGATGGAGGTCTTTGTGTTGGGTGACAAGTGAGAGAAACGGGTCGCCTGCTCTGAAATGGCCTCTGAGCAATCCCTTTTCCAGGTTGGACGCTTCCGATGTTGAGGCTGAATACTTGTGGCTTTTGTATACTATGTAGCGGAAGGCATGGAGAAACCCACGACATGGCGGGTCTCCTTTGAATATTTCCAAAGAAAACATCTGAGTAAGCTTGTTCAACTCGCGGTTCTCCGGAATCTGAAGTCCCTTGACATTCAATCGGCGCAAAGCATTATAGAGGTGCAATATCGAGTAAAGAACGCCGTATTGACGGCACAGAAACAAGCCAAGGCTTGTTGCGAGCATCAGAAGCTCCACCACGTGACAGCCCATCGTCCAGGGGGATTCGTGATAGGGGCCAGATTTGTATTCTTCGAAGTACTGCTTGATTGCATTGCAAAACCCATCCGCGCAGGTTAGTACAATGGGGTATTGTTTTGCAAAAGGGGAGTTGGGATTCCGAAATTCGTTAATGCACTCATGCACGTCCATGGCAAACTGGAGAGCCGCAGTCCGGTATTGAAGGCTGCTCGAACGAGCACTAGGCGTCGATGCAGCGTCTTCTGTTAGTATGAAAAGGTCCATTATAATGACTTGATCCCACTGTGGGACACGCGGACGCTGCTTTTGGAGGAAGAATCTCAGAGTCAGATCAAAGAAGGCCTCGCAGATCTGATTGCCCTCGCAGTCGCTCGTTCTGCAGCTCTCCACCGGCACAATCGCTCTGGAACCGGGCCCGCTTGTTGGCAATGCAGTCTTGACCGCTTCGAGAACGCTATGAATCTGCTGTTTGCGTGCCTCTGACCACCATGACGCTGTCTCGGAGGTCTTTGTACAATCGATCGTATACTTGAATGGGCACTCTGTTAAGACGCGTAGGCTCCCCTGTATTTCGGGGGCGTCGAAGTCTCGAATCTCCTTGGCATATTCTGCCATGACGCAAGCTGTCATGAACATCCTCGACGCCGACTTCAGACACTCATCGGGGTCTTGGTCGTCGTCGAGTCGCCGAATAATACCACGGATTACGGATTGATACGAATGCGCGCTGAAATTGTGCATGCTGCAAAACAAATCAAAATCATGTGGAATGTGGCCACGGTCGCAAATTTCGTACGCGACTAGATTGGTAAACCAAGCAGCTAGAGCGATGGGAGCCTCGCCTTTGGCCGCCTGTTCCCATATCTCTTTGAGCTGCTTGTGCACCTTGTTCATTTCCTAAATGGACCTCAAAGTCAGAAATCGTATAATCCAGGTACTAATTCTGACGAGTAGTCTTACAAAGAGAAACTCCGCCACAAGTTCGCATTTGGTCGTTCTGTCGTTCTCCAACTCGAATCTTACCGGCTGTTGTGGAGCAGTATCAGGCAAAGAGGGGGCAGGGATAGCGTCGGGAATAGGGATTGTAATGGCGTTGTGGCTGCTCTCCGAGTTATTGGGTTTAGAGCTTTGAGGCGAGTCCTGAGTATCGTCGACAGGCAAAGGTGCAAAGGCGTTCTTCCACTTTGTGTCTTCAGCCTCGGTGACGTCGTCGACGAATGCCACCATGTTTGACTCAAGAGGCCACAACATCGTATGTATCTCTTCGAGCCTGGGTTGTCTTAGTTAAAGGGCCGTCTATCAATGAGTTGCCATGTAACTTACTTCCAGACAAAGTTTTCATGGCCTTCGTCAGCGGCGCCAGCTTTGTAAAATATCTCGGAGACCTTGCGTCGGTATTTAATGGCATCGCGAAGCGAGTTCATGACGGAAACCGGGACTTTAATTAAACTTCTCTGCACCTCTTTCGCAGCATTGAAAACTTCAGCGATGCTTGTAACCTCGGTGGCGAGAGTGGCCCCTTGGCTCGCTGTGATGAGGTGTTGACATCGTAGCCAACGTACAAAGCAACTTGTCGCGTCTTTGTAAGACTTGTGCATTTCCCGCAGATTCGGCTGGTCGTGATCCAAGTCCATGGCTGATGAGTCCATGGTTGGTGAGGCTTCGGTTCACTGAAAACCTGGAGTTTGACAGAGCACTCCATCGTTGATGCAGAAAGCTGTCTTAATACGAAGATTGAATACTTGACAGGGGAGAGAGACGTATGATTTGAGAGGTTCTATTTTGAGTCGCGCACCGCCAGCAGTCTTTGTTTGTCATCGTGTTTGCTTAAACAATGGCGAAGACATCAGAGCCAGGGGATGATGTTTCTTCGATAAAAATGGACTCGATCACTTCATTGAACGAAACCCACTCTCTCATTCTGCATGAATGCAAACGGAGCCTGGCTGGGTTTGGTGTAACGTACACTACGGAAGTCGTCATGAAGTCCCTGGATGAATGGGACGTGGTGAAGTCGGAACACTAGGGATGCAACAAATGGAGGCAACAAATGGAAAACCTGGGCGGACAGAACTTCTGGCCCATTTCCTTCCTTGGCATTGTTACTGTCTTCGCTGCGATTGCTTCTATCCGTGCCCGTCGTTCCTGTGGTTTACATTCGTCATTCTCGGTGTTCCCAATTGTTCTACTCGCTGCCTCCATTATTCACGTCCTTCTCTTCATCTTATATGCTAGAATCCCAATGGCTCCCACTACCTCCAGGGCCTCCGTGTGTGCAGCCCAACCTCGAATTTCTTGACTGTCGCTGTCGGCTACACAAACACGTCGCACGCGAGTGAACAAAGACCGACATTGTACAAGAAGCTCAAAATAGACACAGCATGAGCAAGTCCTCCGAATTCTTGAATCGCATAAGTACAGAAGTCATTTCTTGCGACTCTTGCGGTTTACAAGAGAATGTGAGGCCATTGTCCTGCTGTTCCTGTAACCTCTACGAACGAACCGCCATTGCAAATACAAGATGGAAGTTACTCTGGACATGATCACAGTTCAAAACCAATTGAAGCTCTACAAGAGCTCATCCAACTGCTTTCTGAGATGGCTATGGTGCGCCTATCACCAAGCAGACCCTCGATCCGCTGCAGGAGTCAAGCCTTTCAGAAACACACGCAATATCATCAAAGTTTCTCGTACCGTCCGCGATGCTGGTCAGTCCGTTCCAGGTTCCGTTCTTGGGGCTCTGCGCGACGCGATTCGATTTCGGAAGATGGTGACTCAATCATATGAAAGCTCTGGGAGCGGCGATAGCGGGCATCGCTATTTTGTTAAGAGGTACGTGTCAGCTGTTGACGCTCAACGGACACCCTGCTAAGCAGCGCTGTATGCAGGCTTGAACAAACGCTGGCCATCTTGCAGCCACTGGAGACGCAAGACGTTCCTTTCGAAGACTATGTGGGCCGTCAAGAAGATGCAGGACCTCGTAGCAGATTGGAACAACAAAACAATAAGTTTGCTTCCTTGATGGAGGGCCTGAACATCTCTCCTCACAGTTCACCACCGCGAGCGAGCAACAGCGCGACGCCAGCTGCTCCGACATCGCCATCTCCAAGCAGACCAGAGTCCGAGGCTGAACCAAAGAAACCCGAAGAATTCGTCTTGGACGATGACGACATCGGCGTGGCGTATGATGCGGCCCGTTTCCTGGTGGTAAGACTCGCCCATGCCGTCCTTTCTGTTTTCAGTGTAGCTCACGATGGATGTCCCAGGATATAAATCTTTTTCATATGCAACTCCATAATGTTTGGAAAGCCGCAGGCGAAGGCAAGATTCCCCTTCTGATTGCCGCCTTCCAGTCCAACTGTGTCGCGTACTTGAACTACCGGAGAGCGCCAAAGGTAGATTGTTCCGCCTTGTGCCTCTTCTCGAAGCACAACTGTAATTGCCAACAATGCTACCTCATACACTACTTTATCCGCCACTTGACGAACACCGGACATCCGGGCATATTCGTCATTCTTGCGCGGAAAATGTGGATGATTGCCAGCATCATCAACGACTATGGGCGAGGATTGGATTCACGTGCAGCCGGTCTGCAACATACCAGACTGCCCAGATCAGTTTCGGACTCCACCCTCGTCTGAGATCCCTCGCTTGGAAAACTTCCTTACAAAGGATGATCAAAAAAGGATTCGCGACCTTATGGGCGCCATTCAAAACCACCAGAAACCACTGGACCGTGGAATCAGTGTCGTGGAGATGATTAAAGGGAATCACCTTGATGGATTCGTCGACATCTGCGAGGCCTTCTTCGACTTTGGGCAGGCGTTCTTATTGCAGAAAGCGCGGGTCGCCCATGGAGAAATGGTGGTGGCGATGAGCATAATTCTTCAGATTGAAGCGGCGACGTTGCCATACCCCCATTTAAGAGGTAGCGCCTGTCGTGCTCAAGGTCTTCGCTTCGCCCTGGACGTAACCGAGGCGCTCACACCCTTTCTTAAGGCAGTCCAACGTTACCACCCAAGTGGCAGCATCTTTAAAGGTCTTCAGACCCTCCTCGTAGGCCTGCAGGTGTATAAGAGCGATGAAAAGCTGGCATCTACCACGACTCTCCCTGGACTGTGGGTTGTCATATGCTGGACATGCTCACAGCAGCTATCAGGGTCGGGGGACAGGCCTGCAGTTACTGGGCTGTCATCAGGACGACACTGCACCTCTACAACGCACTGCGGATCAGAGGCTTCGACGAATTCCAGATCCCGCAGATTCCCGTGCTAGACGAACTATCCGGCATGTTTCTTCAAGGGTTCTTCCTGGGGACCGTTCCGAAACACAAATTCCTCTCGTCCTTTCGTTTGGCAGTTTACAATAGCCACCGGATGAAGCGTTCCGAGACTGCCCAGTTTGAACGTGGACTGGACCTGCTTTCACCATCTAACGAAGCAACCTACTGGGGACTTTGTGACCAACACTACACTAACCACCGGGTAAATGGGATATTTTTGTGCAAAATGTACAAGACTGAGGAGCCAGGATGCGACGACAGAAGTGCTGCACAAATGCAGGCTAATATTCAAAAGGTCAATCGTGCCCGTGACCTCCTCCGCCAAGATACTTGGTCCGGGTACGCTAGCAAGAGCCTTGAGGCGGTGCTGTCAGAGGTCCAGGGGTCAGCTCCGATCGCTCGAGTCAACTTCTTCGAGCTGTTTGGGTACTGCTAGCCGTTGCTGAAATGCTTTGGTATCTCGCTGTTCCAGAGGTTCAGAACAAGTACAAAGAACAAGGGCTATGGAAGGACTGGATGTACCACGGTATCTCAGTTTCAAGATTTGCTGCTGAGGATCTTTTGGAAATCCTCGACGCATTGCCCGGGAATACCAAACGCGAGAGGGATCTTCTGGCTCAGGAACCTTTATTTCGACATGCTGTGAGGGTTTTCAAGGCTTTCAAAAAGTCAGATGCAACTTTGCAGGACTTTTTGTGGAAGATTTGATGTTGATGGTGCAGCGGTTTTGGCAACGACCGTCGGCTGCCTTGAAACAATTATATTGGCTTTAAAGACAATGGTCATACAGTAGTTCGAGTCCATGCGCCGTATCCTTTCATGGGCTCTCTGTCAATCGATGTTCACCCACTTTGGGCAGAATACAACCGGCTTGAACTAGAATGGCTTCTCCCCAAAGTACAGTTGATGAAGATCGGTATCTGGGCATGTGCAGACAACAAAGACAATAATATGGCTGACTGAGGCGCCAGAGACGCCACAGGGAAGAAGTGGACGTCAGGGAGGACGGGGGACAAGAGGGACAACAGAAACGACCATGGAGACGGTAAGAATAATAAACATGTTACGGAATGTGATACGTGGGATAGTGAAGAGATTCATGGAAAGCATACGAGAAGCTGAACGATCGATGTGTTTATGAATGAGCAATTCGTCAAAAACATCCTTATGCATTGAGTCTAACAGCAAAGATGCAAAACCACCTGGGTATCTTCTCCTCACTATCCTTGCCTTGCAGACGCCTTTCGCCAAAATACCACACCAAATAACCCAACGACGTATCCTATCTAAACTCTCGGGCACCAATCCTGCGTCCATTGACCAAGCTCCTTCTCGCCGCAGACACGATCCATATCATCCTTCCTGAGCGCAAGAAGTACGTCCCACGGCGCGTCTCCCTTCGTGATTCCACGTCTCTGCATGATGTTCATGCTTCCATCGTTGGCAGAGTACGTCTTGCGCACGAATTCCGCCTTTCCAGCAGTGCCAGGGATCCGAAAGTCGACGTCGGCGCCCATGTGAACCCAGACGCTGCAACCGAGGCCTGCATGGTCAGGCTGATTCGCTTTGCGGAAAGCCGCGCCCTCTATCGTGGGGTCCTCGAGAGATGCGGTGAGGGCAATGCGAGAGGGGATGTAGTCGGGTTGCTTGACCTTCTCGACCGCTTGTCTGATCAGCCACGCCGCCTCGAAAATGGCAGTGCGTGCGTCGCTGGGAAGCTCGCCGTTGTCCTGAAGTTGCGTGAGGTTGCCGACCTGATCGCCCGCCATGGTTTGGGTGTAGATGTTGCCCCAGGCTGTAGCAGGGAAGGCCGGAGAGAGGCGAGGGCGCGCGTCGGCTGCGGTGGTAAAGTTGGTGTCATCGGAGGGCGACAGATGGGGAAGGCGCGACCGAGTGACGTGGACCCAGACCATGGCGGAGAGAGTGTCGGCCATGGAGACGAAGGCAGTGCCACCGTAGGTCTCGCGGAGGTATTGGAGGGCCTCCGTCTGAAGATTCTTCAGGATTATGTTGTTGAAGCTGAAGATCTTGCAAACCGCGCGCGGGGGCTTGGTCTTGGCGGGAGCGATGGAAGAGGCCTCTTTGTTGTCGGTGAAGTCATACTCTGGGAACTCAGCACCTTTGATTTCGGTGTTCTCGTACACAGACAAGCTGGGTCTGGCTTTGAGCTCTGTGAGCCAGGCTGGCTGCATCTCAATGGCTGGTTCAGGGAGCGAGCAGGACTTCATCGACTCCTCTTGCGCGATCTTGCCGAAGTACTCGAGGAATGTCTTGATGAAACCACCGTCGAAGATGCCGTGATGCGTCGAGAAGCACACAAAGAGGCCACCGCCAGTCATCTCGGTGACCTTGAGAGTGACAGGAGGGCAGGATTCTCCAGGCTTGGGATGGTTTGGCGAGAGGGACAGGACGTCCTTGTCCATCGCAACAGGGGGCATTCCGAGAGCCACCAGCTCCTTGTAAGTGTAGCCTGCAAGATGATTGATGCGCTCGCAGCGAAAGAGATCAGGGCGTCGGGCGAGATCCAAGGCCTTGTCGTCCAGGGTGTAGGCCAGCTCGAGGCGGTTTCGTCCCGTCGCGGCGAGGCGAATCTGGCCAGCCAGAAACGGCCAGCGGGCGAGGGCCTTGTGGAAGCATTCTTGGAGGTGCTCCTGGGTGGTGACAGAGTCGTATCCTTCGCTAGTGTTGAGCGCGAAGATCGATCTCACGTAGATCCTCGGAGCGATCTGGTCGAGAGGGGAGAGGGGGAGGACGTTCAACGAAGTGAAGCGCATCTTGTCCGAAGTGTCGTGGGTTGTGGGATGGGATTGATTTCCAGAGTAGACGACGAGGGGAGGAGGGATGCGGGGAGAATCTCGTGGCCGAGGAGAATCTTGGAAGATCTTGGGAGGGCGATAATTGTCCAAGAAAAGGGTGGTGAAGGTGGGGGTTAAGTTGTACTGGTGAATGAGGTGAGCAGCTTTTGCGCTCTGGGTGAATGTGAGAATCACCTGGCCCCCCTCCCGGCGCACAATCAGAGCAGGAGCGCACCTGCCTTGAAGGAGATCCCTCCAAGACGAGCGCGTGGTGACCCGCGTCGTTGACATGCCGCCAGGCTTCCGAACGCCGAGAGACGAGAGACGTTCAAGGAAGAGATCATTGATCGCGGCAGATCCCTGTCTGTGAAGCTGAATGCGAGGGTCGGACTGATGAGGTCGAAGAAAGTGTGAGTTACGGTCTTCGGCCTGCAACACGTCAATATCCGCTTGGCCAAAGATGGCTGGGGTTGACGATCTCCTTGTGATCATTTCCATGGTTGCTATCGTGAGACCTGAAGACTTAGTTGGTAATTATGTGCTGGGTTGTTGTGACGATAATCTGGATGGGAGACGGAAGGAGTATGTGCGTGTGTGTGTTCGTAGCTAGAGAGAAACTGGTTGAGAAATGAACATTTCCGAAGGGAAGATGATGGCTAGTAATATCTAGTCAACATGGTATCTCCGGAACGCTGTTTGGCATCAAGGTTGATGTCTTGAGTTCGTTGGTAGGTACCATTTCGGTGCATCGCACCAAAGAGGCAGACAACCTTGATTCTGAACAGCCAGGCCTTAAATCGACAGGTTTCGTAGACTGACTTCACAAAGTGAATGTTCAGCAAAAGTCCTCTAATAATCATTTTAATGGTTCTCAAAAATTCGTTGATTGTTGTCTGAAGTATGACGGTTTCAACATCTATCTCACAACGATGTCATGGATTTCCATTGAACCGCCTGTTTTGCCTATGCTACCCGACACCAACAACTATTGTTGTGGGGTCATGCATACTCTGCTTTACTGTCGTCGTATCTGCGATGGTTGACATCGGCATCGTTGTTCTTCCTTCACGATTGCAATCTTGTTGAATGTAGAGTCAATTGAAGGTTAGAACAATGAATTTTCTTGAGTAGCAGAGGTCTGATGTGGGCGGGTAGAGCCCTCCTATGTACATGAGCCACCCCTTCGCCAATCCTCATTCATTCGGAGTCATCAACCACCGCGATGTCGCCACAACAGCGACAGGCAGACCAAGACTCGCCCGTCTGGAGAAGGTGAAACTCGCAATCAAAATGTTGCTGGTCCTCGTAGCCCTCGTAGCACTCTTCGAAACCCGTGGGCTCACCCCACTTCTTGTGGTCGCACCACTTCCATGATTCGGTCCATCCGCAAGCCACGTATCTGGATCCTGCCGTTGCTCCTGGGATGATAGTAAGAGGCTCGCATCCTCTCATGTCTCTGCCGCTGCCATTCAGGCTTTCGTCGCTTTCATGCCAGTCCCGTCGTACTTGATGAATGAATTGGACTCCCGCATCTTGAAGAACAGCGCGAGATTCGCGAATCCACTCAAAGGTATGCGTCCTGTCATAGCTCACCCGATGCAGTAAGGAGAGGCTTAATGTTTGAAGACAGGGGAACGAGCCATGCCTAACGCTATGGGCCAGGGACGCGAGGTTACCTCCCATGTTGAAGAAGGTGTATAGAATCTGAAAGTGCTTGATGTTCGGCGGAAGGAACCAAAGAATACTGCTAGAGGGCTGAGAAAGACGGTAGAATGACTGTTGGTCGAGGGTTAGATCTTGCAAGACTTCGAAGTCTTCGAAAGACGCGATTGGATCGTAGGCCAGTCTCTCCTGAAGTGCAAAACTACACTGGTCATCCTCCTCAAGAATGCATCGGAGATCTTGGTTGCCTGTACTTGGGATTCGGACAAAGCAAAGTCTTCGCAGCGTTGTCTTCACCTGCTTCAAAGACGCGTTGTAATCTGATGGATACCAGTCCCAAACAGGATTTGGGAAGTAGTACTCCAAGTCCTCGAGTGCCGAGCAGTTTGAAAGAAGAACCTCCAATGAGTCTGGGTCCAGCCCAACTATAAAGAGCTTCTTCAGATTAGCCATTGGATTCTGGTTGGCGAGTGGAACCCTGCCCGAGTCCGGGGCAAAGTCGATGTACAGCTCCTCCACGTCAGAAGCAAACGATCGTGATTTGAGCCATTCAGGCATGTGAGCTCCGCCGAAGCCTCCGCCTCTCAGTAGCATCCTCTTGAGTCGCGGCAGTTTGAAACCTGACACAACACATGGGCATCTCTCGCCGTCGGCAGCTACGAACAACGACTCCAGACTTTCTGCGGTTTTCACTATTGTGATCGCTTGAATCCAGCAACGCAAGGCATCCCGATTATGGAAGCAAGTACCAAACCAATTCAGCTCTGTAGATGCCTCCATCGCTGTACTAGCCGTCGCCGTCGTTGTCGTCGTCGTCGTCGCCGTTGTTTGAGCACCCTGCATCCAAACTTCCCTCCTGCCACAGCTGCACATAGAAGTGTCCTCCAGCGGTCCGGGAAGCTGTCCGGTTTGAGCCACATGGCTTTTGAGGAGGGTGTAGAGTTCGCGGATAACGGGCATGCTTTGGTCATTGTGAACCAGTTGAAGAGATCGAACCATTTGGTTCAGGTCAGGGCGCTCGATAATGGTGCGCAGGAACAATGCAAGTTTGTCATCACCTGGCATTCGCCACGGAATGCTGTGTCTTTCGATTCCGTTGTCCACAACCGGAGCCAGATTTCCAGTCGCGTAGTAGTGATAGAGCACTGCCTGCCCTAGGTTGAGCAAGGCGCGGCTGGTGCGGCACAACTTTGCCAAGGCGCGCTTGTCTTCGATGGATTCCTCTTCATCGGCATTCACGAAGTGCCTCGGGTTTCGGCAGTGGTAGCAGAGCTGCTCGCAAATCTGGTTGAGGATCTCGGCAGGGAGATCGAGCAGGTTCGTCATGATGAATTTGATTTGCCTGACAAGGACTTGTCGATGTACGAAAAAAAGAAAAAGGGAAGCGGTGAAAACTTTGTCGAGGTGAGAGTGGTGTCGTAAAAATAAAAGGTCGTCAGCGAAGGTGAGATTTCGAAGATGCGGTAGCGGCATGGCCCCACCCGTTTGCTCCGAGAAGGCACTTATGTGGGGCCAAGCTTGACTGCACCTTCCCGCTGGGAGTACTTTGGCGGCGACCAAAGGCGCAGAAATCGACTTGCTCGTCTCTTTGTCACCTTTGCCCCCTTTAGGTTGTCCCTGAAGAATCCGCAGGAACACTCATGATATCAAAGTAGCTTGAATCGAAGAACAGATGAAGAGTAGATGAGAAACTGAATCAACTAAAGCTATGCGGTCTTGATTGCCCGTCAAAGCGGTAGGAAGATTTACAATTTGATCCTATTTCCCGATTGCCATGTAGTTCTATCTCTCCAAAATTTCTTTTTCGAATCTATTTCCCCAAGCTGTCAAAAGACTTCTCATCGTGCGTGTACATCTTCTGGTTGTTCGTCAAGTACGGCAGCTCAGCCGTGTTGAACACGGGGCGCGAGAAGCGGTTGTACGCGATGAACGTGTCGCGGTCGCCGACCGTGGCGTTCTTCGGCGTGGGCACATGCATCGACACCCGACGCAGCTCGACGGCGTCCTCCTGGATGGGCTTGACACCAGCGTACTTGTAAATCAGGTTCAGCGCAGGGATTGACAGGCCGTGGACGACGATCGAGAAGAGCACCAGCCAGTAGACCACCGGAATCATGACGCGGACGAGGTTCGTCTCCTCTTCGTCGCCCTTGCCAAGCTCTGGGAAGAGATGGCGCGTGTGCTCGACATAGAACACGGCGCCGGCGCCGATGGGACCGAAGTAGCCCATGAACAGCGCCTCCTTCCAGTTTTGGCACACCTTGGGCATGATCTTGTAGCACATCAGGATGGCTGGGATGCGGCGGAAGAGAAGGACCAAGCCCCCGAGCGCGAAGAGGCGGCCATAGGTGAGACCGGTGACGTCGGGCTGGTTGAACTGATCCCAGGGCATGATTGTGCCGATGTACATGAAGCCTCCGAAGTTCAGGAGGACGTCGACGCAAGAGTTGACTTCGTCGTGGCGCTTCTCGGTCTCAGCAAGGAACTCGCCGTCCCAGTTCATGGCGTTGCCGGCGACGAAGCAAGCGAGGAGGTCGTCGGTACCGAGCATGCCGCAGATGCCGACGAGCCACAGCTGTGAAGACATGGTTAGCTAATGTGTAGTTGACGCCGAGATTTTGATGACTTACGCCAATGGCGGTGGGGTAGAGAAGGTAGCTCTCGGAGTCGACCCATTGCTTGCGCAGGGCAAACTTCAATGCCTTACCGGAGCCAAAGCCGACAACGATACCGATGGCAACAGACATGAAGACAATGTAGAGCCAGGTCTCGACGACCCAGTTGGTGAGGGCCACGCCGACGCCGCCACCCAGACGACCGACTCCCTCCTCCGAACGAGCAAAAAGACTCATGGCCCTCTCGGCGACAGAAGCGGTCTCATGTCCTTCGCCGGCACCAGGGATGTCGGCGTGGCGGATGAGGTAGACTGCCAGCATGAGGAAAGGGAAACCTGCGTGATTGTTAGGTAGGTGAATTGAATCGATTACATGGGGTTGGCAACATACCAAAGCCGTCGTTGGCACCTGCCTCAGAAGAAATGATCTCGCGCAGGGGGCGGGCAACAAACTTGTCGGCGAAGGGTCCTTTGGCGATGGCCTGGGAGAGAATGGGGTCGGTGCAGGTGACGCAGGAGCCGATGACGAGGGCGGCCAGCAAGGTGATCTTGGGCACCGTAGCAAGCATGCAGAGGGTGGTGCAGAGCCACATGATGGTCATGATGGGAAGCAAACACAAGGCCATCTCCTTCCACCGCAGTTGCTGGTACTTAGCGGGCAGCTGGTAGCCGGCGATGACCAGCTGGACACCAATCATCACACGAGCAAGGCCCTGGTAGTACCATGTTGGTCAGATCGGGTTCGAAATCTGGGGTTGGGGAGGATGGGGCAGTTGGGCACGAACCAGGGTGATGGCGTTGGTTTGTCCCTCCGTTGCAGAACCCCATCGTGTGCTATCGAGAAATTTGGCTGCTAAGGGACCGAGCAGAACGCCAATGGCGACCGCGGGCACTGAGGGATGCTGCTTAGTATATGTGTTGGATGGAAGCAAGCAGGATCTTGGTCACTTACAGGCTTCACCCAAGTACCACTTGCACTTGATCTTGACGGAGATGATGCCGTACAGCAAGGTGAACAGTCCTTTTGACAAGGGTCAGTACACACCACTTGACGGATGATCAACCGCATCAGCCCATACCAAGGACGCCGAGAACAATGTTCAACTCGCTGACATCGAGGGTCGGCATCTTGAAAAAGTTTGAAGGGTTGTCGCTTTGTTTGTGGTTGAAATCTCTTGACCAGCAAGACAGGTTGGGTGGGGTTTTTTATTTTCTTTTCTGATAAGACGCCGTTGACAAACAAACGAAATGGGCAAGAACGAAAAACCGAAGAGAAAGAAAGGGTAGTTTAAAGGGAAAATTGAAGAGAATGAGGACCAGCTTGGCAATTCACCAGTCGGTCTTCCCGAAGTTATTTAAGTTGGCCCACAAAGATTATGATGTTCCTCAATACGGCAGACTACTGAGACACTTTTCCAGGGGAAGATGTGTGGTGGCAGTGGACGTGGATCGCCCACCCTGTCGGAGGCTGCACGTTGGCGACGTCAAAAAGGCCTGGCACCGCCGAAAGGGGCAATGTGTGCTGCAACAGGCCCCGATGAGTGAAGCTTGGTCAGATACTACCACATACCGACGGGCAACGTCTCGAGCGCGGCCGATCACGCCTAGCGCACCGAGAGAGGCAGCGTGTTGGAAAGAATGCCCAGCCTCAGGTGAGACGGTTCCTGAGCAAGCAGGCGACGCCACCAACGGTCGCCATTCGCGGCTGGGCTGCGGAGCGCGGTGACCAGGGCGGCATTTCATGTTTCTGCTAGGCCTGTGGAGAGATTTCGCCGAAGCGGCGGTTGGCGGCGCGCAAGACGGGTCGAGACTGATACTTGAGCAACGTCACAATGTCTTTGGTCACCTCTTCAAGTGCCGAGATCTTGATTCATGAGATAATTATGGTGCCGGCCTGTCCTATTTGATGATTGATGCTTTGCAGATTGAGAGAAAACCAACCACTAGAGTTCCAGAGAAAGGAACCGGAATGCAACGAGGCTGCTAATAATGAATTGTGGGTGTTAATAGGCTTCGCCGAGTATCTGTGGTGTAAATGCCGTGCCAAAGAGGGATCGAAGAGGCTGTCTGTCTGTGGTGAAAGGGCGGATGAAAGATAAACATCCCGCGGGCTTCGAGTTTCGCGGCGAGAGATAAAACGGCCAAGAACCCCGCCAAGTCGTCGGAGTGGCGATCGTCAGCGAGTGGACGCGTCCGATGGGATTTCCGCCAAGAGGCCAAGATGCCAAGCACCAATAATGCCGAGTCCCGCCCCATTTCCCCTAATGGGCCTTTGGGGCACACGAAAGTGCCAAGATGCGTTCTAAAAAAAAGTAGGAGAGAGTTCAGATGACTTTGGATCGACAAATCCGCCCCGAGAGGTCCTATTTGAATATTCGCCTGGTAGGCTGGGAGCATAAATCACAGCCTTGTTGTCCAGGCGGAGACAGCGGGGAAACCGACCTCTGGTGCAAAGCATCCAGCTTCAAGTAGATTAGCTGATGGCTAGAGACTATTAGGCTCTCGGGAAGTTGTATGTGCAAGTAATACACATAGTGAAGGATTCAAGGGAAAGATCAGAGGGCGGGTCTCCAAGAAAACGTAACCACCCGTGTTGGGTGCAAAACACTCATCAGTACATCGTGATAGAATTGGTTTAACAGGTGTCTCACAGAGAGATAAATCCCAAAAATAACCATTTGAGAAAAGATGGAAAGCTCAAACGCCATGGAAAATTCCAGCCTAGGCGCCGCGGAGATGCTTATTCCAAGACCCGAGTAAGGCACTGCGGATCGTAGAATGTAACCTCAGCGTGAGCCGTCATACGGCTGCATCCCCGATGGATGATACGCATACGTATATGTATGTCGACCAACAACTGTTCCGCACGTGATTTCTCTCCCATCCCGTCGGTCATCCCATGTCTTGCAGAGAATGTCGTCCGTTGCCAAGCACGGGCCAGTAGAGGGGGTCTTCCGTCGCCCAGCACGGGCCAAGACGTCGGGATGGCCCCACACCCGCTGCTTTTCGGAGCGGGAAGGAGCTCATGTGGGGCCGGTGTTGGTCGCGCCTTCCCGCTGAGAGTATCATCAGTAGGGGCAGACACACCACGCACCTAACGAAAAGTTCACAACCCAACTTACCTACCTTACCTACCTGGAGGAAATTTTGTTTCCACACGCTTCACCTTGGAGCGCCCTGTAGGGAACGACGCTCGGAAAAGACGCGGGCTACCTCATCCTCACCTTTCCCATGAGCACTCGGCATCTCAGAGCTTGCCCCGGCTCGCCCTCGTTGCGACTCAGAACCAAGTCGTGCGAAGATTCTGAGGCCAGCCTTGGGTAGATCGAATCACCTCGCCGATTGGCCGAGATTCCAATTATTTTGCTTTCCATCCGACAACTCTACATCTCTCCGTCGCCATGGATCCCTCGCAGTGGCGGGATTATTACAGCGACTTGGGCGTCAGGCCCACTGCCACATCGCAAGAAATCGGCCGAGCATTTCGGGAATTGGCGAGAACCACCCATCCAGACAAAAAAGCACCCGGAGAACGTAGCGACTCTGGCGAGTTTCGAAAGGTGCGTGTACATTCGATTGGCGATCTTGGCCGAAGCTCCTTTCTCTTTCCCTCATCTTTGTCTTTTTTTCTTGCTCTCACGCCGAAGATGTTTCTTACTGACAAGAGCTCCGCATATAGATTCGTGAAGCCTATGAGTTTCTTGAGGATCCAGCAAAGCGCCGCAGGTACGACGAGTCCTACCGCGACTCAAAGAGATCCTACGACAGACATCGCCAATGGCAAGAAGCCGAGGCCCAACGCCAGACTGAGGCCGAGGCACGACAAGAGAGCGACGAGGAAGACCAGCGAAGAGAGGAAGGGAAGCAGCGCAGAGAAGAGAAGCGACAGCAGAGAGAGGAAGCACGCAAGCAAGCCCGGCGAGAAAGGACCAAAAGGCGGAGGGCTGCGCGGAGAGAGGCCAAGAAGGAGCAAAGAGAGACCGAGCAGCGCGAGGCTCGACGACGCAAGCAGCAGAGCATCAACGATCGGCGAAGAAACCAGCAGAAGGAAGCAAATGCGCAAAGACAGGAAGATCAAGCAAGATTCGATGCCCTTCAACAAGAGGCAGTACGATTGGCTGAAGCTCGCCTCGAGCAGGACAGACGAGAAGCGCAACAGAGAGCTCGCGAAGATGCATGGGCGACTTACTTGACAGCTGAGAAAGATCGGCTGGCCCTCATAGCTGAGCAACAAAGAGCTGAGGCCATCAGAATACAGGAAGAAGAAAAGGCCGCGGCAACCAAGAAGCAAGAGGAAGATAGCCGACAAGCTCATTGGAAGGCGGAGCAACAGAAACGTGAAGATCAACAAAGAGAAGAGGAGCAGAAGCGAGAAGCGTTTCGCAAGGTCGCTCAGAAGAATCGACAGCTCAGAGAAGCAGAAATGAAGAAGCGATGGGGGCAACTGAGACTTGAAGAGCTGGAAGCCGCGCAGGAGGAAGCAAAATTATGGAAAGAGAATTCTGCCAGAGAGCGTCATCGTCTGCGCCAACTCGAGACTAAGGAGCGATCGAAGAAGATGGCGAAGATGGTCAGACTGTAGCGCGATAGAGCATCGGAAGTTCATTTAGATGAGCGCACGCTGGCTGAGATGCTGTACGGAAAACATGGACGCTCAAAGTGTGGCCATGCTTGGTTTGGGTGGACTAGGAAAGCGGGCGGTTCGCGCCGTGGATCATGCCGGGGGAAGACGGTGATATCAATTTTCGAATGTCCAATGTGTGGGATGAAGCTTTGTCCGAAGTGCAAGCTTGGTCTGGCCAAGGCAAAAGCAGCCAAGTCGATCAAAGGGGTTTGGTTTTGAACGCAATAGGAACTTGCAAGGAAGATTGACAGGTTGAATGATGTCTGGCAGAGGTTTTGTGTGTATGATTCGTGCCTACCTGGATGAGGAAATGACACGATAGTTTTCTTTCGGCCAGAGTTCCAACTCAGTTTCTAGTTACTATCTGTCCAGCTGAGAAAGGCGTGATCTATCTATTTACTGGATTACATATGCTTCGAATGTCATGGAAGAATACCGACGGCGACGGAAGGGGTGACGGGGGCACCTTCCCGCTCTCAGAACCATGAGCGAAGGCAGACGTTTTAGACGAGAAATTTTCACCGCCTACTCAGGTCTGAACAAAACAAAAGTGTGATTCATATGTCCAGGCGCTGAACTCAGCGCCGAAAGTGAGCAAAGCTTGGGAGGGACTTGGGGGAAAACCTGCGAAGGAGTCTTTGTGGGTCTCCACGTCTGAAGGTCGACCTCTCCCGCTAACTCACCTTTCTCACAACAACTGGGCTTCACAATTACAACGCCTCAGCTGAGGTCCCAGGCGGAAATTTCAAAATCACGAACCTAACCTGCTCATAGTAGCAGACAAGCTACCCAAACGGCTGCACGAAACCACATCGCCTCGACTCCGTCGTTTCCCCTGAAACGCAGGGAACCTGTGCTACTGCGCGAAGTATTCCGCGAACACAAAACCAACGCGCCTTATTCAGAATCATACGCAAACTAGAGGCATCAACAGCAACAGCACATCGTCGCTTTCTCATTGAGCAGACTTTGCATGTGTTACCAGAGCCGACCCACACCAGAGTTGAAATCCGGACCGCCTTGCCAACCCGCCAGCCGACTTCTCCCATGCGACAAAGCATCGTCATTCGCTCACAATGAATCCCCCAGAGACTCCGGATTACTACACAGATCTCGGCATCGGTGAATATGCGACACCAAAAGAAATAAAAAAGGCGTACACCAATCTTGTGCTAAAAGTCCATCCGGACAAGCAGGCTCCTGGAGCTTGTGGAGACACGCATGAGTTCCGCAAGGTTTGTCGTCCTCTGCAAAAGTTCTTGTAGCCTCAAGATTTCGACTGGCACATGTCGTACAGGTGCAGGAGGCCTACCAAGTTCTGCGAGATGTCGCAAAGTGTGCGAAGTATGACGCCCAGTACCCGGAAATTCAAAGCGACTGGGATGAGTACCGCATATTCCTCGAACGCGAGGCCGCAAAGGCGAAGCGGAAGGCCGTAAGACAAGCAAAACAAAAGGCTGCAGAAGAAGCCGGAAGAAAGGCTGCAGAAGAAGCCGAACGAATAGCTGCAGAAGAGGCGGAACGACGGGCTGCAGAGGAAGCCAAGAGACAAGCTGAAGAGGAAGAATCCAATCGTCAATGGGAGGAAGTAATCGCTATGCAACAGTCTGGAGAGGAGTGGGAGTGCCAGATGGAAGCATTCCTCGAGGAAGAACGCAGAACCAAGATGACCAAAGCATTCCAATGGGAAGCAATTCACGACCAGATGAGAAAGGAGGAGCTTCGAATGGAGGAGAGAGAACGAGCAGAAGCTTTCGACGACATCCAACAGCAAATGGACGCGGACCGCAGAAACATACTTCAGCCTCTGGAACAGAAGCGGCAGGAGGAGCTCCAGGAGGTGGAGCGCCGCTACAAGAAGATGATCGATAAAGAGGAGAAGAAGTTGAAGAAGCGTCTGGACGAAGAGACAGCAAAAGCCGAGAAGGAGCTTGAATCCAAATGGGCCATGCGCCGACAGCGCAACGAGAAGATCAAAGCTGTCAGACAGGCAAAAGAGGAGTACGCGGCGTTGCAAGACCTGCACACACGTCAAAAGGCGTGGGAGGAGCAGCAACACAAAGCTGCAGAGGAAAGAGTCAAAGAACAGCTCAGATCTGAGGAGAAGTAGAGGAAGAAGCGGAAGGCAGAAGAGGAGCCCAACACGGAGGAATGTGAAGCCGAGGAGCAGCGCGAGGCTAAAGAGCGACGAAGAGCTGAAAAGCGACGCAAGGTTGTTGAGGAGCAACAGAGGGATTGGGAGCGCTTCCTAGAAAAGGAAAGAATCGCGGAGGCCAACGAAGCGGGTCGGAAAGCGAGCAAACGTCAAGAAGCCACCGCGAAGAAGTTTTTCATAAGGAAGAAGGAGAAAGCAGCAGAGGCAAAGAACGCCAAACCAAAGCGCAAGAAAATGTAATCACGAATGGGGAAGCTGAGATGGGAAGCGGAATTTGCGGGCTTTGTGGGCAGAAACAGGCGGAGTCCCTATCTGGATGTCTCCGGTGCGACCTGCTGACTCGTCCAAAAGGCAAGTCAAGACTTCAAGATGCTGAGGTGTGTGGAACGGATATATAGTGTTGAATTTGTGTAAAGTAGTTCTTGTCTCATGACACATAGACAGAGAACGCTTTGCGGTCACGAAGTGAAGAGTGTGACAACGCGCGACCCTCCAGTCAGACATTAGACTATGTATTACTTACTCGTAATTGCCTGCTATATCAATTGACCAAGTTACGTTCCTTGTACCGCTCACGCCATCTGCCTTCATCACCGTCGTCGTCGTCCGTCCCGTTCTCTGTCGTCGTCTGTCGTCGTCCCCTGTCGTCGTCCCTGTCATCGTCCCCTGTCATCGTCCCCTGTCGTCGTCCTCTGCCGTCGTCCCCTGTCGTCGTCGTCTGCCGGCGTTATCTGTGGTCGTCGTCTTCTGTGTCGTTCTATGTCGCCGCCTCTGTTGTGGCCGTTGAACCGCCGCAAATATGTTCTGGGGGTACCTAGGTGACCTTTAGTGGGCTGAAAGGACTCTTCCTTTCAGCCACCTCTTTCACGCCTTATCAAGGATGTAACCACTCTGTAGAACTCTTCTCCGGAAGCGTTTGGTATCTTTCGTTTCTTCCATTCCCGCAAATGTCCGCGGAGGTCGTCCAGGAGAGCCTCTTCCTCCATGCGTCGTTGTTCCTCATCCAAACGTCGCAATCTCGCTATTAGTCTTCTCGTTTCCTCCTGTTGCCATGCTCGGTATCTTATCCACCCAGGCAGGGAATCGAGGAGGTTGATATTGTAGTTCGCTCTCTTCAGAGGGTCTGACAGGCATTCATATGCCTCCCGGATCTGTGTACAGTTAGCCGCTTACAACGCACCGACATTGCCGCTGGCATTGCAACACTGAGCTGGAGAATACCCGTTTGAAATTGTCATCGGCGGCGCCAGGGGCTTGTTTATCAGGGTGATGTTTCAGGGCAAGATCGTTGTGAGCTCGACGTATCTGTTGCTCTGTTGCCTCCAGGTCTACGCCCAAGTCTCCGTAGTAGTCTGGGGTCAAAGGAGGCTCCATGGTGGATGTGGTAACAAGGTGCAAGTGCAAAGGCCAATGAGGATTCAACGATTTTGTTCGAATGACTCGTGTCTTACTTTGCGAAGGGATGCTGACGTTCAAGTAAGCTTTGAACTTCGGTTGAAGAACATTCAGGCATTGAACCCGGATACCGGGTTACTCGAACTCGCTCACGCCCCATTGTGACGTTTGTCTGTCGAGTCAGATGTTTTTCAGAACTTGTTTCATACTGAATCACCAAGGCCTTAAGCCTCTTTGACTCGATCATTGTGTGTTGGAATTGTCTGCTGCAGGTCACCTTCAGAGTGACCTTTTCGGAAGCCAAATGGAACAAGACGCTTTCTATCATGTCAAAGATTGGTTGGAATGGCGCTGGTCCCATCGACCGTAAGTTAGTAGGCCATCTACGAGAAATGACAATGAGTGAAATTCGCATAGTCATTTTGGAACCAAACTCAAACTTGGAATTGTTTGTTTGTTTTGTATTTAACGCCTTAGCGGCAAGGGCGCAGCCGCCCTTGCGGCAGACCTCCCGAAGGGTATGTGGCGTGGAGGGCCGCAGGCTCTAGCTACATACTCTGCAGTACACGCCGCTTCCTAACGTCCTC